ATTCAGACGGAAGGAAATTAGTGAAAGAATAATAATTAATACTGTTTTAAACTTTATATGGATAGATAAATAAAAACATAATTTTTATTTATCTCTATACATGTAAATAAGAACAAGGGTAGTATTATATTGTGTAAATATAAGTTGTTTAATAAAAGATTTCAAGCTTTCTTTGTTTTTTTTCACCAAACAAGTTTATTTGCTTATTGATAAAAAAAAAAAAGGTTAAAAAATCTGAAAAAAGTTACAAGTATATACTCCAAGCTCAAGACTTACAGCTACAGGTTTATTAGCTTATTATTATTATTATTATTATTATTATTATTATTATTATTATTAAGAATAGCATTTTTGCTTAGATTACTGAGCTCAACGTTGTTTTACATTAAGTGCATGTAGCATTATATCCATGGAAAACTCAAAAGAAATTACAGTATAAATATCAAAGCACGACGGAGTAAATATTGTTTGATAATTGTTATCAATAAATTGCGAATATTCATTAATTTCTCAAGCTATTATTATTTGATTCGCTGAGTAGTTATATTTTGATTTTGGTTTTAGAATGAGTAAGAGATTACAGTATTTAAAGTGATGATATTTAAATTATGTTTGAATGGGATGTTTTAAAATTATTATAATTTATATATTTACATAGTAAAAGTGGATAATTTTAAATTATTATATAATTTTAATTAGATAATTTTTATGTAAAATATGAATAATTTCAAATTACTTTCTTCAGAAAGAATTTAAAATTTTCTATATTATGTTTAACTTTTTTGTATTTATTATTTATAATTTTGTTTATACTTTACTCAAACTCCGAGCATTTTTTATTATTGCTTTTATTTTTTAAAAATTTTAAAAAAATTATCCAAACACAACCTTAAAATTTATTTTCTTAGAATTTAATTGTAAACCCATAGAGACTAAAATAAAACTCGTGTATATTTAAATTTAAAGATATTTGTGAAATAATACTTGAGAAGTAAAATCATCAAAGCTTAATTTAATATCTAATTAATTTTCATTCACTTTTAATTCTTACAATATATATATAACTTTTTAACTCCTGACAAAATATTAAAAATACATTATTTGTATTAAATATAGAAAAGAATAAAATATAATAAAGACTAAACTAAAGTTTTAGAACACGTTAATGTGTTTGTATTTTTAAAAAGAAATTTATCTTTTAAAAATATAAACAAACACGGTCTTAGTAATTTAGAAGAATTAAAATATATTTCACCCTTAACTTTTTTAATGATTACTTTGAAGGCATAGATTAAAAAAACTTTGAAATAATTTATTGAAAAAATATTTTTTTATCCTCATGATCTTATCCATTTAAGTATCTGATACAGTAATTTGATCATTATGAATGTGTAAAACATTAGTAATAAACAACTACTTTCTCAACAGTGATACGAAGGATCAAAGGCATTTCTGAGGGAGAAAGAAAGAAATAATAGCGCACCTTGACAGTTGATACCAAGTGCTGCTTTATCATAATCACTATAATCACCGATACCAACCAATAACAGTTTAGAAGTTTCAACGATCCAATTTCCTGCGTAAGAGCATAAAAGGAAGAACTTGACCTTGGATTCCTTTCCGCACTTTAAAAAACAACTAGTGCCGTATGTAGTGCACAAAACACTCTTTTTAGTATAGACATAACCACCAAAGTCTATAGCCGCACTTAGACATGGAAGAGGGAATCGAGTTTTCAATCCCACACTTGTACAAATATCGTATATTCTACGTATACACTTTTATCATATAATTACAATTAATTAATATATATATATATATATATATATATTTGGTTTGCACTACTTAGTAGTTACATATATAGAGTTTCTCAAATATAATTCATTTTTAAAAAACTCAGATTGTATTGATCGTTGCTTACGAATCCTATCCACAGTTTATTTCTATTAAATTATATCTGTGTATTTGAAAAATTTAATGTGTGAAATTAAAACTTTTTCTAAAGTAGATTACTGCTTTGTCATTGGCTAAATAAAGTGACCTCAATCGATGAATGATGTGATGATGCATTCACATCCATCCTTAGACGTCATCACAGCAGCAGAGCATGCACGACACATGCAAACGCCGGCCAGACCAGCAACGCCACAGTCGCAAGTCTTCTCTACTTTTTCTATTTTGTTAAATGAAAAATTTATTTTTTATTTTTTTAAAACTAAACACAAGATAAAATGTGCATGATACATAAATTTGTTTCGTGTAAACAACTAAAAATAATATTATTAAATGTAAATTCAAATTTAATAAAGATTAATTTGTAATTTTTATATAAAATTAAATTAGATTTTTTTAATACAACTCAAACTTCAAGGGAATGTTAAAAACAAACTAGTTAGTGAGTTAGTTAATTGTCCATCTCATAATTTAATCGATTAACCATTTGGTTCAGTTTGATTTCGGTAACATAGTTTAAAGGTAGGAAGGACATCCGTGCTAATTGTGAAAGATTAATTTGACAAATCTACTGATTAATATAATTAATCATTAAAAGTTAGTCATCAAGTCTTAGATATATAGCTATATAAAATATTTAAGAAAGTATTGTACAGTTTATAATTATCATACTATACTTTAAAACAAAAATCTTTTTATAGAAGACTATAGTAATTTAAAAATTAAAAATAAGAACAGTATTAGATGATTTAATAACTACAAATAAGTTATTTTAGTTAACTTAATAATTTATTTGACCAACTTATAAGTTTGTTTGATCAAAATAAAAATGTTTGATAAACAAAATTATTTCATTAGTTTATAACATTTTTCAGATGCTTGAATATATAATTTATAGTTTGTTATTATTTAATAATTTTTTTCATTTCTTTCTTCCTTCAATGCTATTTATTTTAGTAACAAATTTTTAATATTATACTAATTTTTTATTTTAATAAAATAATTTATCATTAATAAATTACTTAACTTATATATATTTTTTTAAATTTTTTTATTTAATTTTCATAAAACTTGAGTAGTATAAGTTACTTTTAATTTATAAAAAAAATATTTAATTTTTTAATAAATATTTATTTAAAAATTTACCCAAACTCAATTAAAATCAATAATTTTTAAAGTCGTATTTATGTAAAAAAAAAGTTGTGTCTTGAGCAATTTGAAAACTTTTTGAGCCTAACAAATTGAGTTATTTATATAATAATAGTAATAATGATGATGATAATAATAATGATTATTATTATTATTATTATTTAACGTAATGTAATGTTTGTTGTATTTAAAGATTTCAATTTATTGACCTGTGTATGAGTTTAGGTGTACTAATCTATTTAGAGGTTAAATTTTAATTTATTTAAATGATCTTATAACAAAATAAACTTTTAAATATGCTTTTAAATTTCATCAAGCTTTTAAAAGCATTAAATTAAGCCTTAAAATGGGTTATATTAAATAAACAGGTCATGCTTAATATATTGAGATTAGGCTAATGTCTTGCTAAATGTAACTTGATATGCTTTTACCTCTACTTTTAGCTAAGATTAACTTTTCAACTCTCAACTATATATTTTTTTAACATTTGATTAGTTTTATCAGACTATAACCTAATAATTCTTACAAATTTGACATAGAAGTAAAAATCTGGTAATACAATAAAATTGTCTTAAATAAAAAAAATAATTAAACACATTATTTGTTAATTGTACCGTGATTTTATCATATAACTCACCGAGTTGCATATGTATAAATTTCAAATATAGATAAGGTGAAGAGTATTTGTGTCAATATAACCAAAAATTAAGCGAGTAATTGCGTTGGGGCCTCTAAGTAGTGTCTCTAAATATAGTAGTCTGTTTCCTACACGTAGTTGGTCCCATGCCTAGCAACCGTGTTAGTAGAATGGTTATGTTTATGTTGTATATAACAGTCAAAGGAATAGATGCGGGTCCTTATATTGATAGAGAAATATATAGACCATAATCAAATAATTATAATAATAAATCTTCCTATATTTTTTTTTCGTCTCTTTCTTTATCACCTAATATAAAATTTAAATAAATTAAGCTTCAAATCTTCTAATTATTGAAACTGTGAGTACTTGGACGAAGACCTTAATAGTTCATATTACCAGAATTAAAATTTTGGTTTAGTGTGAGATAATGCAATCCTTAATCATTCTTAATAGTTTTGATAGACTTTTTTTTTTCTTTTTTAAGGTTAAAACAAACCAAATTGTAAATACTATTATTAAAAAAAATCTTATTTTATGGGTATTTGTACAAGATTTAATTAAAATATATTAACTGTGTAAATAATTTTTATTATAATTATTTCAAAAGTTTACTTAAAGTATTATCTATTCGTTGGCCCACAAAGATATTTACGATAATAGTATGTTAACATTGAACTTATTTTTATGAGATGAAATATTAAATATTTGTTTATAATTGATCAGAGAAAATAAAATTTTATATATTAGTTATCAAATTATGTGTTGATGAATATTTAATTGTCTGTTATACCACAATTCACACTAATGTTGAAAGGTAATTATTATAAATTTCACGTTAAATAAAATAAGATGTTTAATATTGTATTTAAACCATAAGATTTTTTTTTTCATTTAATGAGTTAATCTTTTGAGTTAGACTCTTTATATGTATTTAAGTTATAACAATAATAATTTTTAATTAAACTTTAATTATGTGTAATTTTTTCAAGAAATTAAATGAGTAATTAAGTTTGTTTGCTTCTGATTGACATGTCATGGGGGCGTGAGTAGATTCATAATCATATCCTGTCACAAACGCGGACCACACTGCTTTGAATGGGTTGGATATTTCTAGGAAGCAGCAAACACACGAGTCCAGAGACCAAACCATATAATACTGACAACACAAGCAACCTATCTATACTGACACGTGCCTAAATGTCACTCCACCCTCACCCCCTCTTCCCTATATATAAGCCCAAAGCTGCCAACTTCAAACAATACACCAAAAAACCATAAAAAAGAAGTAAACACACACACACACACAAACCATATATCTACATATAATATTGTACAATACACCTTAATTCCCTTCAACAAAGCATCATTCTCACCCTCTCCATTTCCCTTTTTTCCCTCCCTCAACTCTATTCATGGAGAATTGTGATGAGTACAAGCATTACTGGGAAACCAACATGTTCCTCCAAACCCAAGAGTTTGACAGGTAAATGAATCAATTAATTAACCACAAATCATGTACCTAGCTAGTATCAATTAATTCTTAAATATATGTATTAAAATTAACATATGGTATTCTATTATTTGGTCATGGCAGTTGGGGATTGGATGAAGCCTTATCGGGGTACTATGATTCGAGTTCCCCCGATGGCGCGGCTTCATCGGCGGCGTCTAAGAACATTGTTTCCGAGAGGAATAGGAGGAAGAAACTCAACGAAAGGCTTTTTGCGCTTAGATCGGTGGTCCCTAATATTAGCAAGGTAAGCATCACATCTTTGGTGGTTGATTAATTAATTTATTAATTAATTCATAACTATCTAGTACTGTTCATTTGGTGTGCGCGTTTATTTATTATTTTTTTTATAAGAAAAAAATTAAATGGGTTAGAACTTTGAAGAGCAGTGCCGCTGCAGTAATTAGAAGTGATGTAGAGTCATGTGATTTTGTGTGTGCGTATGTCCCTTTCTTTGTTGTCTGTGTTTAGAGCATAGTAAAAAGAGAAAAATAGAAAGAGAAAAGAAAAAGAAGGGTGAGGGATGTTTCCCTATTTGTGTTTGTAACGATGAATGTTGTTACAGATGGATAAGGCTTCAATAATCAAGGATGCTATCGAGTACATCCAGCACTTGCATGAGCAAGAGAAGATTATCCAAGCTGAGATAATGGAGCTTGAATCTGGGATGCCAAAGAAGAGTCCTAGCTATGACTTTGAGCAAGAGCAGTTACCTGTGTTGCTCAGGTCCAAGAAGAAGAAAACAGAGCAGCTGTATGATTCTGCCAGTACAAGAAACTCCCCAATTGAAGTGCTTGAGGTTAGCCCCTTCTCTCTCTCTCTCTCTCTTGTATTATTGACACTAAAAAAATGATGTGGGGTATTGCTATTTTGATACTATAGAAGTGATGTGGGGATATTGTTCATTTGTTATCATTCACTTATAGTTTTCTTTTCTTGCATCTCAAATAATTAAAAATAATTTTTCTTAACGTACGTTTGAAAGTATGAAATAAAGAAGTTATATGTGATAAATTTTTATTAAAAATAATAAAATATTATAACTTTTGATTTTTTTAATTTTTTTAATATAACGTAAAAAATATTGTTAATAAGTGCATTAATATATTTTTATTTTCCAAGTTTAATAATGGGTAGAATACTGGTTATCGAGATGAGAACATTAAGTAACCGAAGAAGATTGTTTATGAAAATGAAATGATTAACTAAGGGGGTTTTGATGTGGTGAGGGAGCAGCTGAGGGTTACATACATGGGTGAGAAGACTGTTGTGGTGAGCTTGACATGTAGCAAGAGGACAGACACAATGGTGAAACTGTGCGAAGTGTTTGAATCTTTGAAGCTGAAGATCATCACTGCTAACATCACTTCGTTTTCAGGGAGGCTTTTGAAGACGGTCTTCCTTGAGGTTAGTCTTCTCCTTTGTGAAGTTGCTTTCCTAATTAGCAGTAAGATACAACAATCACATTGCTTTACTTTATTTTATTCCCATTTTAGTAGCTTTGGTTAATTGATAGGTATGAAATCCGGGGTTCCAATTATAAAATGTTATTCCAGGTAGATTATAAAATTTACAGATAATAATTACAGCTAAAATTTGGGGGCCACATACATGGAAACTACGAGACCACTTTAGCAAAAGTGGAAGTGCAAGTGTGGAACACCCATTACTGAATGTTAGACTTTTAAGAGCAATCATGAGGGCTTTAACCAGAATTTTCGAGTAAAGTCAAGCCAGGAGTTATGATTTTCATGATAAATTAATGAATAGTAGAAATCATACTTTCAATAAATATCAAATGTTGGTTAATATTTTAAGGAATTAATCAAATAATTCAAAGTGATTTTTTTTATAAAATTATTATTATTATTATGATTTTAGCAATAATATTTTATTAATATTTTTCAAATACTGATTAACAAGACCATAAAAGTATATTTGAATGTGTATGTACATATGAGGTTCATGTTTATTTATTATTTGAATGTGTATGTGCAAAATAATTAGACATAGTAGAAAAAAGGATATATAGTTAATTACCTATTATTTAAAGGTACCCACCCTTTCCTGACTGACAAGTTTGCTCATTTGATTTTCGTCACTTCATCTGTCTTTTCTGTCCCTACCAAACACAAATTATCCTGTCTTGAAATCTTGTCAACAGTATGATCTTGAAACTAATCATAAAAAATTAATAGAAATTAGGTGTATCTTTACAATTATTTGTATTGTTTTTTCTCTAACGTAAATTGAAATTTTGTTTTAATAACTTATACTAATTTAATTTAAAGTAGAAAATTATATAAAAATATTTTAATATTTTTCATCTTCTTAAAAAATTATAAAAATGATTTTAAAATTATATATTTTTAGTAAAATTTTTAAAAAATATAATAAGAATCAATACTTAATAATCAAACTTGATAAATAGTGGGTTCAATTACAATATTGTTAAAAAAAAATGGTGGATAGATCGATGGAAACGAGGGAAAAGAAATGGTGGGTGGTCCTCACCGTCCCAAAATATTCCAAAGACCTTATTCTCCAATGATTCATGTTATTGATAGGCCAAATACAACGAACTGAGTTGTGTGTGGCAACGTAATACCCTTTTGGTTGTGTTTGTGCATTGTATTTGGCAAACGTCTCCAATAATCTCCAAAACATCTACGGCGCCATGCCATATTTGGCCAATGATTTAAAAGTTAAAATCCACATTTAGCATGCTCCTTAATTCTCGCAATCAAATTCATTTTGATGGACAAGAGTTATATGTGGCTGCTAAACCTTGTATCATCTAAGGGGACAAAACAAAACTTCAGAAGAATATATTTGTAGGTCGTTGCAATAAAGTAAAACAAAGACCAATTTTTGAAAACGTGTTTCTCATTCTTCTGCTTCTCAAAGAGTGCCTCGTCGGCGTGTCTCTGACCATGTGGCACCGCGCGATTCAGTTTCAATTTCACGCACGTTCTTGTTATTTTCTTCTTCTAATTATTCCTTTTTTTCTTATTTCTTTTGGGTCAATTAATTAATTATTCGTTAACTTCGCTTGCACATTAGGAAACTTCCACTGCAGTGACTCTCTTACTAGCAGCTACACTAGCCAAAGTTGTGTTTTGTCTACCATAAACAAAACTGTCGTTTGACCCAAAATGATAAACCAGTTGTCGTTTAGCTTCCCTCGAATTCCAATCTCAAAACGTAGAAATTAAGAACAGGACAGTTGCGTTTTATGGTCAATACCATCACGCCGATTGAGGAACCTTCTTATTAGCCAAACACATAAACGTGCTTTTAAATTCAATTAAAAGTCAATATTCAAAGGATAAAACGGGGAAAACGATACATATGTATATATTGGTTTTCCTATTTATATGTTATGATAAACTTGTTTCTGTTTATTTTTTTTAAGATTTCAAACACAATTTTGAAGATTCTCTTTCCCTGTCTCTTTTGGATGCTACCCTGTCCAACCGTTATTTCAACCTTTACGGCAAATAATGCTTGACTAAAAAGGGGACTTGTTTAGGATATAATTATTTTTTAAAAAAATATTTTAAATCATTTCTATATTTATATTTATTTATTTATTTATTTTTACTTTTTTCTTACATTCATTTATCATAAAGTGAAAAATATTATTTATCAGAGAAAAGTTGAAATATGTTTGTTCACTCACAAAAATAGTTTTTTAGGCGCATAAGCGCATGCATGTTTCTCGGACAATTGTATGTAATTCTTCTGGTATTTTGTTTTTATGAGAGTGCTATTTTTAATAATTAATAACCAATACTTAGTTATTTTAAACAATTAATAGTAGTTTTTTTTTAATATGTATGTATTCTCTTAATTTTGGAGTGAACGAGATTAGCATATTTAAAATAAAACATCAACCATACGATAAACGATTCTTTATGCTTAAAGATACACTGGGGACAAGAACTAAAAGCTTTATAGAAAGTGTGAGATTACCACATTCGGATTTATGGTGTTAATATATTTAAAAAGAATTATCTTAATTCAGAACTTTTCTCATGTCGAATTTTAAATTTCTCAAGGGCACTGCGTGTCTTATCTTTATATTTATTGTATGAGAGATGTGTCACAATACTATTAATTATGTTTATGATATCGAAGAGGGTTATCAATTGTTTATTAATTTACGTCACCACCGAAAAAAAAGAAGTATTTTATCAATTAATAATTGCTTGCTAAATATTTCGTAGCCTATTAAAATATAACTAAAAATTCCGAAATGTTTATAGCTTACCATAGAGACAAATGGCTATGAATAAAAAAGGTACCGCACTATCTCTCTTTCTAATAAACAATTCAAATATACTATAGTTTGGTCGTAACATTATTCTAAAATTTATCGAGATTGGCGTGGCTGTTTCTAAATTCTGATTCAATAATTATTTTAATTGCTCTGTAGTTCTTCAACTATATTTTCAATAGACGTGTACACAGGTGTCAAAACCTAGTTCTAGAACATAAACTTATTATTATTATTGGTTACGTTTTCAACTGTGTGTGTGAAAACTTTTTAAAGAGCATATATATCCATATTCTACGAATCTCTTATAAATTTTTAAAATACATTAAATTTATAAAATTTTAAAAATCATTTAATAATTCATCAAACAACTTTATTTTACAATATAAATAAATATTAGCTATAAAATTATATACTTATGAATATTTAATTTATTTGAAATTTAACGAATGTAATTACAAAAATACTATTATATAATTTAACAATTGAACTAATAAAATTTAATATTTATAAAAAATTATTAAATATAATAAGCAGTCAAAACTTACAAATTTGAAGCTAATCAAACACGAAAAGTCGAACCTGCATGTGATCATAACTGGGTAGTGGTCACATCAATTAGCAATGTTTTCCACTCCAGCTGCAAAATGTTGTCTAAAATATAATTATAATATTTTATATTTTTTCTATTATATTATTCATAACATTATTTATTTGATTTATTATTTATCTTCTTACGTATATTTTCTGCTGTGTCAAAGGTGGTAAAATTATCATTATCATTAAAAAGAAAATTAAAGGAGGAGTCCTAATCACATTGATTACAATATAGAAAATTGAATCGATTAAGTTGGATACATTCATAGATCTAGAAGGGTGTAGGTGTGTGCATTCCATTTCTGATATTTATCCGATTGATAGATAAAAGTGATTGAGAACAGTATTCACATTCATGATGTATATAGTCTAACAAGATTTGCATATGCAACTAACAACAATTCGAGAGGTACCATACGGAGGAAAATAAAACATTAAATGAGTGTTAACGATGTTAAAGTGTTTATAAATCAAAATTATTATACATAGGAATGTATTGTTAACCCTTGTGTTTTGTGTTGCTTAGTCTTTTTACCTGTGATTCAGGCAAACGAAGAAGAGAAAGATCTTTTGCAGATAAAGATCCAGACAGCGATTGCAGCCCTTAATGACCCTCTAAGTCCAATGAGTATATGATACGATGAAGATAATATATGTGTTGGAGGTTCTTATTTTGGGGTCACATTAGTACGTATATATATATATAAATACAAGGTTCAGGAACGGTGGTTTTTCTGCTCCTTATTCGTCATTACGTGCTATTTGGTTTCGTCACCTTCTTTTTCCTTCACACTCACCACTCTTCAACTTTGTTACATGGGAAAGCTTCCAAGTTTCATCCTTTTTCATCCCCTTGTGTCGTTAATTAGCTTATCAAAACGTTCTTCTTATAATATAATAAAACTGCATTTCACATAATCATGCCTCTATTTTATAGTATAAAGTTTATTTATTCATGCATGTAATATTTTTTAATAACATTATTTCTTTTCTTTCTTCATATTAATTATTTTACTATATACTTCTCTTTTCTCTCTTCTATAATATTATATAAATCTATTGTACTAATATAATTTCTCTCTATATAATACTGTTGAACTTCCATCATGTAATTAAAGGAATTTTACCCACAGGAAAGGATATAAAATTTACTGAAAGAATCTTTTGATTATATAAAGGAAAATTGCACGGGGAAACTGATAACTACAAGTAGTTTACGTGAACATTTTTAGTCGTAAATATGGGTAAGTCAAGCAAACTAGATTCAGATCCTCTGTATATAATGTGACTTAATATTGAGTTAGATTCAGATCCTCTGTAATTAATGTATATAAATTAAGTCTATATAAATTAAGTAGTCGTATCAAAGGTAGGTTAAACTACTCGAGCCTCATTAATTCTATGGTTGAATAGACTCTTAGGTTAGTTTTATGGTCAACTCATCTAACAAATAATCACGAAGACATTAAACATCCGCATAATTAAAAAATAATAATTTAGGTAAGTATTCTTATGTCACCTTTTTCTTAATCTTTATTCTTTGTTATCTTATTATTAAAAATATTTTGAAGTTTAGAAAATTGCTTACCATGAATGTACACAAAGTTTTGACAAAACTAATAAAATTTATTGAAAAAATATTTATAATATTAAAGATAAAAAGTATGATAAATATTTTTTTAATAAAAATATAATACTTTTAAATGCTTAAACAAAGTTTTAAAGAAATAAAATTATCAAAATCGATAAAATCTCTAAAACAAAGCGAAGAAAAAGCGCTTTAGTTGTGTCATAAAGAAGAGGCATAGGAGATGAATAGGTTTTATTTAACTAAGGATCACAATTTTATATATGAAGTGCTCCATTGGAATTCTCGAGCTCAGGAACTTTCACCCGTTAGAAACGGAGGTATAAGTTAGTGTTACTGTGATCACACTCATCCTAGTCAAAATTATTTTTTGGTATAAAAATTGTTGGAGAAAAAGGATGCATGGTGTTTCATTTTAAAATAATAATAAAAAAGGCTTTGAACTCAAAGAATATTTACGGAGCACTAACATTTTTATTTAACTACTGATTAGAAAATGGAAACAAGTTAAAAGAAAACTAAAATCAAGTAAAATCTTTCAATTTCTTTTTTTATAGAATGATATTATAAATTAATACAGCATTATTACCAAAGAAAAGTCCATAACAGGAATCATGATGGGATAATAATTAAATGGAAAGTGGCATCTAGGAAATGGGTATTTTTCATTGATGTACTTCTATTCTTTATTTTTGTAAATCTTTTTAATTATTAAAGAAAAAACTAAACATATTTTATATTTTTAAGGTAATAAATATAAATTTTGTTTAATACTATTTTAGTTGAAAGATATGGTAAACTTTATTTAAAGCTCAACATAAATATAAAAGATTTTTATATTCTTTGTGATTCATCTTTTATTGTGACATTTTTTACTCGAATTTACTAATAATGACAAGAGAATAATAATAAACATTTTAAGCTCAAAATAATTTAAGATAACTCAAAAGCATCATGATAAATTCTTAATCTTAATCATAATTCCAAGTTAAGCAATATTTTTTCTAAATTAACAAAATTGCATTTTGTTGATAACTTTTTTGAATGTATCTTTTTGGATAACTTAAGTAATAAGAGTTAATAATAACGTATATTATTTAACAAAACTTTTCATTTTAAGAATGTAAAAATTATAATTAGAACTATATAATGGTACATCAATAATTAAGATTTAAACTTAGTTAATAATGATATAATTATCTAAAAAAGTGATATATGTGTATTTATAATTAGTTAAGGTTAAGCAAACTTAATTTTGAATGAATTTGATTTGTAAAGTTAATTTGACTTAAAAGTGATGTCATATATCTAAAAGACTTTATATTAAAAGTAAATTAAAATTTAGTGTGTGTGTGTATATATATATAAATCAATATTATAAATATGTTTATTCAAACATGAACTTGAAAGAAAAATTAATTTAATTAAAAGTAATCAAACATTAATTGTTTTTATAAAATTGAGTTACAATAAAATAAATATGATTTTGTAACAAAAAGAAAAAAGAGAGAAGAGGGATGAGAGAAGGACACTACATATTAAGTAAAGAAACTAAAGATAAATTATTCTCAAGATTACTTGATTAGAAAGTTAATGAGTTATTAATTATTAGGTCAAAATCATTATTTTAACGCATTCTCTAAATATCTAAAGCTAAAAGTATTCATGAGTTGAATTGAGTCAAGTTTGAATAAAAAAATTACTTGATCTAATTAAAATTAGGTTTTTAACCTTTTTCTTTTATGTGTAACCTAAATTAATCTAATCCGATCATAAATGAGTTGGTCTGAATCGAGTAATTGGGTCATTGCATAATTTTTTTTATAATACATAAAATTTAACAATTATTAAATTAAATTAACACAGTCTATCAATATTTATATACAAAATATTGATTTATGTTTAAATAATAATTTTCTTATAAAAATTATATTTAAAAATATAAATACAAATATTAAATTTTTTTACATATAATTGAGTTGTGTTGAGTTCATCAAGTTACATTAAAAATAAATTTGATACTTAACTGGTAAACAATCGAGTCTATACTTTTAAGATCCAACCAAGTCTGATTATTTTGCTTGATTGATTAATTTTTTTCTTGTATTGGGTTGGTTGAATTTACATGACCCATGAATATTCTAACTAAGGCATCTAATTAATCTCACTTAAATTATCTTAAGTTACCACTAAATTTAGGGTTTATATTTTTTTATGATAGTAAATTTAGTATTAACATTATTAATTAAATTAAATTATTATCAAGTTATTTGGATCATTTCATGCTGAATATTAAATATAGGCCAATTTTTTTCTTCTTTTCTATGGCACTACTTACAAAGTCTAAAGGTGATTGTTTTAGTCTTTAAATTTAAATTAAATAACTATTTCGACATAAAAAAATTCAATAAATATCCTTTACTCATTTTCCAAGTTAAAGAACTGTGCAAACATCCTATCTTAGAATCTCAACCTATGTTAAGTTTGGTCTCAATTTATGGTCAAAAGATACTACTTTTTAAAAACACCTGAGCTCAAAATATTTGATCCACCCAAAATTTGTTGTTCCTTGGTAAAAAACTAGTAAAAAACAAGGTTCAATAGTTTCAATTCCAAGCCCTACTAAAAGTATAAAGTTCCACTATTGTGTTAATCTTGTTGTATATAAATAAATTATGATTAAATAAATTTTCATTCAAAAACTCTATAGAAAAAAAGTAAAAATAGGCTGGGAGAGATTTTTGAATTTCCCCTTGCTCCAAATTTTTTAAGCAAATAAGTTATTATTATTATTATTATTATTTTTATAAAAACCTTTCACTTTCCTTTCATTTCTCTTCAATCAAATAATGTATAAAGTTATTTGAAAATTACATACATTATCATGATTCCATTTTATCTTTCTTTTAATTCAATTTTATTTGAAAAAATAAATATTATTTTAATATTAAATGTTAAAATCATTTCTAAAAATTTAACTCATTTAAAGAGAATTAATTATAATGAAAAAAACTATAATAATAAATTATAATATTAATAACTAAACTACTAAAAATTTACAAACTTAAATGATAGTAGAAGAAAGAAAACTAAAATCTAAAAAAACCTTACTCTTAAAAAAACTTTTAATTTACTAATAAATAATTATTTCAAGTTAAATAATATTTTAGCAAATAAAAAGAAAAGAAAAATTACGTTATAGAGAAATTAGTTAAATTATTTCTTGTAACGTAAGAATATCATCTAAAAACAAAGAAGTAAATTCAAAAATTTTAAAATTTGAACCAATTCTCAAGGCTATATTAGAAGGTCATTTGTTATAATATTGACAAATTTATGAATATGCTTTAAGCTAACTACTCAAGCTTTCGACAATAAGCTATTCATGTTTGATATAAGCTCTTTATGTGTATTAAGGCTTGCAAGCAAATTTGAGTTGAACAACTAAACTACATCGACTGAGTTAGATTTATAAGTGTTCTTTTTGTACCCTCTACTTCAAATTAGGTGTAAGTTATCATAAATAATATTTAACTTAGGTAGAAGTATGCTTCTTATACTATAGTGGTATGAAAAATTCAATAACCAATACTCTAAACTTGAATATAATACATCACTACTCCAATCATTGTAGATGAGGAGTTCACATTATCGTCAACATTGAGTATAAATTTTTCGGATTGATAACTTTCAAATTTCTAATCTTTTGTGCTATTTAGAATAACTCATTATAAAAAAATAATTTCTATAACCCTAGTTTTACATTGTCTTATAACATAATCAATGTTCCATTTGATTGAGTCCATGTATGGGTTGTTTTTCCAACACCAAATCCACGATAGTGTTGCACCACACATGCTACTCATATCAATGCAAGTACGCAAGTTACCTTTAGGTGCATATCTCAACTAATAAAGTTTGACATATGACAAAGGTTTAAATGTAACCAAACATCACTAGAAAAAGGACAATCTTGTATGGCATGAAAGAATGATTTATCAATATTATTGCAATGAGAACAATCAGGAGCCTTTGTAATGTTCTTGTTAAAACTATGATGGTTAGTAGGTAGTAAGTTCTTCATTAATAATAGCAAAAGAATAATTCTAATTTCTCTTAAAAAAAAATTTTCCAACACCAAGGCCACATGTGATTACTATCTTAATTTTTTTCCTTTTAAGCCACTAGCTTCTATTAACTAATTTAGGTTCCTTTCTCAACGTGATCCTCAATACTTGAGGATGAGGTTTAAGAACTCGTCTTAGTGGTTGTTAGGTTGATTTTAATTCTAATGATTGCTCTACCTTACCTCCTATATTTGAGGAGTTTAGGCTTTGGTTTTGATGCAACTGGCCACTCACCATGTGGTGTCAATATCTCATCATTAGTTAATTTTGAGAAATTTGCTTGATCATTAGGATTTGAGGGTGATATAATGCTTTTTGATTTCAAACCCTCTTTTACAATACCTTCTAATGTCAAGGGCACCATAAGGTTTGAATAAACTATCATATTTGGACATTACTGAATATCAAAGTCAAACCGATAATCTCTTAGCTAAATGTTTCCAACAATTTGCTTGGATCAATTAATTTCAATGCACTTTTGCAAACTTTTCTCTAGTGCCATAATAACACTTTTTTAACAGAATTATAACCCTAAATTTGGGAAGCAAATCTAAACTCAGGTCTTATCAATCTTCTCTTTAAAAGAAATGAATTCTAGAACCCATAATCCTAAAGTAAGATAGTGATTGTTATCACATATAAGATTCTAGAAACAACTTTCTCTTTATATTCTACTGCAAAAAGCTTTATAACAAAATAATTATGACCCATGTCAAGCATGTTAAAGCCACTCAAAAATGACTATAAATTATAAAAGTTCTCGCTTACATGAATCCTATCATCTTTTCAAATAACCTAACAATCAACACTTCCTTCCATGTTCTACAAAGATTTGCATAAACTCCATCAATGAAACACTTTGACAAAATCTTATTACCACTCTCATGCTCAACTTTTAAAAAGGATTTTCTCTATCATATTCACCTTCCATTCAGCTTGTGTCTTTTCTACCTACAAGCATGTCTCTAAACAAATCTTTGATTTCTCCACTTTTGTTTGTTAATTTTGACCGGTGAAAAAAAGAACATACCTACCAAAGTACTCTATTTTTTTTAATTTGATTTTAACTATTGATCTCAAATTCATGTATTAAAAATGACTACGTTAAAATTCAATAGAGGAAGTTAGTCTTCCTGCCGTGACCCTATACGAAAGAGAGTGTGTGTGTGTGAGAGAGAGAGCGCTTTAATCATCACAGCAAGTCAGCAAGGTTAAAATTTACGAGAATAACACCTCGCACAATCTAGCTTTGGGCGCAGCCACGTGTTGTTTTAATCGAATCAAATAAGTCGATTTGGTTAAATTTCAAAAGCATGGCTCAATTAAACCATTAACAAAAAATGTTATAATGTTAAATCTTACATCCTTTTAATAAATCTTAATTATTAAAAAAATATACAACACTCTAGTTCCAACAGTGTTAAATACTTTCACATTTTCATTCAATACTACCCTTATATAAATTAGTGCATTATTCATCTAGAAAAAAAAAATCCAGATATCAAACTTGCAAGCAAAGCCAAAGAAAACCTGATTTTAAGATTTGGATATCAACTAGCTCCTAATATAAAGACCTAGCAATACATCAGTAAGACTATGCTCTACCAATCCTTGAGAAGCTCGCTAGCAACATCCTTGTAGCTAACTTTCTTTTTCTTTGTAATAGTAGGCTCTGCTTCTGCATTGGATATTTCCGGTAGCTTCTCTTCAACACTACGATTCATAGGTTGCTCAACATTTTGGGTGGCAAGGCTAGGAATCATGTCAAACAACATGGCCTGCACGGGATCAACCTCATTGTTTTGGTCATTGTGCCTATCACTCATTTCATTTTCGGGAACCAACATTCTTTCATGTTCGCTGTCCTTCAACGTCAAGTCCTCTTGCTTCTCTACCTTATTTTGTTGAGAACTTTCCACTGTTTCAGCAACTCGGACATTTTCACGTTCCTCAGTTTTCTGTGGTTCTGAATGTTTCTTGTAAAAGTCAATATTCCCTTCTGTAGTGTCAATCTCCTGCTTAATTAGTGTTTCGTCATGAGAATCACTTTCATCTGATTCATACCTACATATTTTAGCACGCTTTTTCACAATTTGTGGTCGTCCTCTTCGAGTTTGGTTTCCAACTCTTCTTACTTTTTTGATACCACTGCCAGCAGGTCTTCCTCTTTTTCTTTGGTCTCCCTTCCCTTGGGACAACAAAGTCATGCTGTCTTCATTAGCAGCTTCTGCACTCTGTTTACTTCCCTTGCCAGCGAAAGCTATATTTTGGTCTTGTACATTATGTCCACCCAAATGAGCCTCTAACGCGAAGTCATGTTCACTAAAACAGATAGCAAAAACCGATCAAATGTCAAGGAAAATATAGATTGAACAAAGTGTACAGTCCTTGTATGGACTCCGACATTTGACCATAGCTAATACTATCAATGTTGCATTTGTTTCCTGGTGTAACATTTCAAACACCGGGGGGGCTGTCATAATTATTTTAGCAGAGGTATACTAGAACGCTGAAAGAAACATGTTTGAAATAAACAGAGATTCGTCAAATAGCAAATTCTATTTGTTCTTTTCAATCCATTAAGCCAGCTGTGTCAGATAAGGAAATGATTTCTCTGTATATGCCAGTTCTTTAGTCTTAACAATATGATGTGGAACATTGGTTTAAATTTGATTTCGGCGTGAGCTCTTTTATTCATTATCACTTTTTCGCCTTTCATTTTATATCAAGACGAAGACAATAGCATCTAAAGGAATTTGCAGCATTCGGGTTTACCCATTTCCGCAGCTGTCATTGCAAATTGTATCTTCCCCCTTTCAGAAAATAAAACAATTTATGGTATGGTTCAGTATGCATGAAAATTGTCATCGGATTCTTTTTACCCCAATATGAAGATAAGTTGTGCTAGTATAAGAGGGAAACAGGGAAAATCAAAACAAGCAGTCAGATATTCTCCAAAACAGGAAGAGTATAAAAGAAGGGAAAAGGAAAAATCAAGAACACAGCAAAGTTTTCAATCTCTTTGCAAAACACACCAGATTCAAGCTATAAACACAATCCTATTTCAAAGCAAATCTAAAGGACAAGTGATGCCCTTGAAACTGGAATCAGATTGGCTCAGTTCACAGGTTAAGACAAATAGCAAAGGAATAATTTTGGTTTGGAGAGAGAAATACCAATTTGATATTCATACCTCAATAAATTACATTTCTAACTACTATTTCTTTCATAAGTTAAAAATGATTCAAAATTTCAAAATAATGAAGCTAAATAGTCAAAAGACTTATTTGCAATTTCAACCTACTTATTTTATTAACGCTCGAGTCAGTCACAGTTAATTCTAGAGTCAACTGGTCTACATTATCTTCTCCTCGTAAGCTTTTATCTCATATAGCTGGCGATCTTTCTATTTCATTTCCTAATATATGAGAGTCAATTCAAGCATCCCCCATTCAGTAATTTGTATTAAATCTCTCTAAGCTTATAAAAGTAAATAAATGCTTATTGAATTAGCATAACATGAATTTAGTTCCCAGTGTTTCTAATTATTCAATCACCAAAGGACCATCTACCGTCAAAGACATTCAAAACAAAGTGAAGATTTTTATGCAGTAAATTGGCACAAATGCCCCATGAAGTCAGCATAAGATACTTAGGCCATGGAAAGTTCATGAGAGAGACTAAGCAACAAACTTACACCTACTTGGCCTGAATTGTTGGTGTTTGTGTGTACTTGTGTCATTAGGCAATTCTTAAGTAGTCATAGATCTGAATTATTGTTGTTGTCTATTTTCTTATGTCTTTATGAAGTTATTCAGGCAGTTGTAGAAGAATGGTGTGACAGTTAGTGTGAGATTCTTTTATGTGTGTGGAGTTCAGGGTGGTTATGCGGTAGTTTTACTATTTGATGAGTGCTGAAGGAAGAAACTCTTTGTTAGGGCGAAAACCTATGTTGTTTATGTTATGCGCTGTAATTCTGGCCTAAAAAACAGATTGTTTCTAGTAATAAATACAAAATTCACTGTGTACTCGAGTTAACAGTATAATACCATAATTGCAGGTTACATCACTTGTGAGGAACATAATATATCAAATTATTAAAGCAATTGCATTCCCAACAGGTTTCAACCTTGTCAATACTGCTCATGCATAAACTTACCAATCTTCAGTAGTTGACTCTTCTATTCCACAGGGTTTCAAGCTGTAAGAGTCTTCTGGTAATCTTTGGCTACTGTCCATACAATCTTCTAGCCACTGGGACTTAACTATATGCAACCTCCTGCTTCGGAGAATTTTTCTTTCTACTGAACTGAAACTGCATAGTTGAAATAGCACCCACCTCTCCCAACCCAAAGGTAAGAGAAGGGGGGAGGGGGGTAGAAGAGTATGTGAAAACATAAATAAGAAAATAAATAATTAAATAAATAACATACAAACAAACTATTGTTGTTCACCAAGTGGTTTCAATCCGAGCCGGGAAATGGAGCTTCTACTCACCAATCACCACTCTTTTTATTAAGAGAAGAAATTTATTAAGATGAAGGGAACGGAAATTGTTCATAACTCAATACAATATTTAGAAAACCTACACCTTGAAAACCATCAAGATAAGCCATAACACCATTGGAAACAGAATGTCAAATTTATGCCAGTATTAATTTTTGGCCTTTTTCATCTTTGGTAACATGTACTTGTGAAAGGCCCAAATGAAGAACATTTTGGGTACAATGGTGTTATCCTCATTTCACAATTTTTGCCAAGTAAACCTCCATTCACACAATAAATGGACATTTTGGGTACACTGGTGTTATAATTAGAACAAAAGGACCATATTATATGTCTTACAATAAAAATTGACAAGGTTAAACAATAGCAATTCATAAATGATGACAATGCATACTTGACAAAAGGACCATATTATATGTCTTACAATAAAAATTGATAAGGCTAAACAATAGCAATTCATAAATGTTGACAATGCATACTTGACAAGGTGCCAGTAGACAGATCACTTACCAACTCTGTATTTCTTCAAAATCAGTATAACATTCTGGTGTATGCAAGGCCACTAAATGAGAAGCATCAGAAAGATTTGAGGTAACTTTTCCACCACCCATGAGGACTTCAAGCTTGAATCTCCTCAAAGCAAGTTGCAATAGAAAATGCCAATCTCCCCTACTGTATGAAAATATTGAATAATTAGAGAGATAAGGAGCAAACTTGGTGAAAATAATGATCATAATCAAAATCCTAAACCCTGATTGAAGAGCTTAAGTTAAAAAAATAGATTAGACTTAACATTACTATATCTTACGGTGATGGTATTGCAGTGTGGAAATAAATGGAGCATCCACAAAAGAAAGACCACTTATCCTTTGGGGAGTATTTTTTCCTGTAATGATCGACAGTGCTGGGATCTTCTGACCTATGAATACTGCTTAAGAGCTGCAAAAGATAATATAAATGGAATTCAAATCAATTTAATAAGGTAAGACCAAAGTTGACTCTGTTAATATTACGAAAGAAAAAACAACATCAATCACGAGTTACTAGTTACAATGTAAACAACCCATCTTACAACAAAGGTCCACAATATACAAAAGGAAAGGAAACTATCACTCCTACAAAAGGAAAAAGTGAAAAAAGAAAAAGAAAGGAGTGCAAAATTCAAAATAGAAAGATGCATTTAGGAACAAATTGAAAACCACACACCCATTTTGACATTAATATGGTGGTCCTTTTTCTTCACATTTCAATATGCCATTACTTCCTTGTTTCCCCAAATTTTGACAATATAGAAACTAGCTAATAGCAAAGGTATTACCTGTTTCATGTCTCCAAGATCAAGATCCAAGAAGTAAGAGTCTGAGAACTCATCAATTTCTTCCTGTAACTTCTTCTTTGTCAGTTCAGATAGGAAGAGGAAGTACCTTCAAAGAAAACATTGAAAGCAATATAAAATCAGAAGAGCATTTACTGGATGTAAATATGTTTATATTTGATCATAAACTCACTTTGGCTCTAAGGGGACAAGCTTCTTTTGTGTATAGCAATCTAATACCCAAGTATAATGAATGATATCACCATGATGCTTGGCTGCCTCAAATTTAAAACCTACATTATAAACAACTATCTTTTAATAGAAATTCAGACAATAAAACTATCCTTTTAATACACGTGCATGTGCACACACTTGCACATATGCATAAATGCAAGCGTGCATGCACACACGGAGGGAGAGAGAGAGAGAAAAAAAACCCTTGCTGTCTGCTGCAACACAATGGGTGACTGAGTTATTCAAATTCATCGAGAAAGTTCCCCCATTCTCAGCAATTATTTTGTGCAAGGACTCCAGAGAATGAGATGGAGGCACATTAACAAAGTCTATGCATGTCAAGGGAAACTATATTGCACCTGAGTATTTTCAAATAAATCAAGATGATTGAATAGATAAAATGAATTGTTTCTCTAATGCTGTTACAATGTCAATATCTTTAGAAAAGCACACAAAATTTTCATAATGGAAAGAATTGCATTCTTTTTATTTTTATGGCAACAAAGGGTCTTTTTACTATGAGGAACACAAGTACAATGGAGCCTGAAGGTCATCAACAAAGGGCCTTATTTAATGGAAAGATGATTGTCATTACTTCTGGTGCATACGCAATTGCTTTCTTTTGACATGCATTTCAATGAATGTGAAAATATGAATACATGGAAGCACATGCAACTCCAAAAAAAAAATGGAGCAAAAGTGAGAGGAAATTTGGGAAGATGTAGCCAATGTGGGTGCATATCATTTAATTGTGTAGAATAAACTAGGCTAGTAGTACAATGTCATACAGGATAGTGCAAAGGACTAGAAAGCCTTCAAGCATGCTGCACAAGTGCCTACTAAACAACTTTTAACATGAGAAAATAATTATAAAGGGATATTTTTAAAACAAAATATAGGTAGGAAATTTTTTAGCAGTCAATTGGCTGAACAGATGATTGGTAGCTAGCAAGATTCTCCAGGATACAGAACATCATATTTGAAAATATCAAGGAACCCCCCTTAACGCTGGAAACATCAGTTTGAATTAAATGAGAAGGAACAATGGACATGTTTTTCTTTCCTCCCCTTATGGAGGTTTTCATTTGTCTTGGTTTACTGTCCTGTTTGCTGCCATATTCTGTATCCCTCTGTGTGGTACCATTGCTAGAATGTACTAGTTCTACAAATGCTGTAAAGGAGGAAAAAGAAAGGAATCAATCTTATAGCAACATCATCAATGAAGATACAAAAACCTATTTTGCATACCACTTACATTGAACATCAAGGCATTCATACCAAGCCTTGTCATATCTGACCCTATCAATCCGAGGAAATCTCAGGCTATAAGGTGCAGCAAATACCTGCAAATCAAATCATTCAGATTAAAGCTGTGCAGTTCAGAAGACAAGAAAGATTATGCAGACTGGAATCCTTTCACTTTCAGATAGACACACTGCATTTGCAAGCACATACCTCAGATTCTATAGTTCGGATATCACTGGTTATAGACAGAATAATTGATCTGCATGAAAAGAAGGGTTAATATTGATCAACATTGAAAAATAGAAGTAACAAGTACTTGAAGAGTTCAGACATTAAGGCAGAAATACTTACTTGTCAGGGCTATCAATCCACACATCAGGTCTTTCTTTTGAATGATTAGTAACTTGATAAAAACATGGTGGCCTCTTCTTAAGATATTCACACTTTCTGGGAGAGACAAGAGGCAGAGAATGCGAAGATATTAGAGAAATTATAGAATAATATTAAAGCTTATTAACTTCAATACCAGAAAAGCAAGCAACTAAAACACATACGCAATAGTAAAAAAAGAATAAAATATTACCTCCCAAAAGATTGACCTGAATATATAACTTACCTAAAGTAAGGTTTCAATTTGGTTACTACAGCATCAAGCTCATCATCAGATAGTCCAGTACCAACTCTGCAAAAGGAGATAAATCTGCAATACAAAGAACATGATTAATGAAAATATGTATAGATAGTTACTCATAAATTAAAACCAGCGAGTCTTAAGTATCAACTTCCTACCTTGTCCCGAAAGGGGTAGATTAAAGTTTTAATATATCCATACCATAACTAATTTAGAAAAACCCAAGTACATAATTTACAGCATGTTTACAAGCTAGAAAAGATTTCCATTTTTGGTGCACAAATTTAAATTAATTATAACTTGAAACTGTTCAAAAGCTAGAGGGAACAGTTTTCATTGATGGTTTAAATAATAAAAGGGACGTGTCTTGCAGGTTCTGTAACTGGAGAAGAGTGTCTTCAGAATTCAGATGGAGCATTGGAGACCTCTTGTCTTGAGTGTTAATCGGTTCAAATGAGTTTTAGAGGAGAAATGCTAATCGGTTGAGTAACAATCGTAGGGGAAATCAGAGTTCATTGAGGTAGGAAAGAGAGTGTTGTAAGGAAATCAGAGTTCATTGAAGATAACATGATTGGTGATATAAATTTTGCAATCTGGGGGCACTTGTAACCATTGGGATTCAACAATTAGCCCAGGAAAATGCATTCTTTGGAGTGAAATGAGAACTTGCGTTGATTATAGGGTCTAAGGAAAGGGTAACATGCACATCCAAAAGTTTTGGAGTGAGAGAGAGTCTGAATTTGAAGAGCTTGATGAATGTATGAGACTGATTAATGAGGTAGACAGCTGTGAGGAAAGCATGATCCCAAAACTTATGAGGAAGTGTTGCATTAATAGAAGTGTAAGTCCAGTCTCCACAATATACCGATACTTCCTTTCAATAGTTGCATTTTAAGGGTGCATGTGTGGACAAATAACTCTGAATGATCCGAAGATCTTGCAACAATTTGGAGAGACCCTTGAATTTGCCTCCCCACTCCCCAGTCAGTTTGGAAAACTAGACCTTCACTATATTTTTAAATTGTTGAAGCACAATTGAGTGTATCAGATTAATTTTTCAAAATATAAATCCAAGTGTACTGTGTGTTGGGAATCATGCACATGAACTATGACAGCAGAACACTGAACGCAGAACACTGAACATTCTCAAATGCTCTCTGATGCTCATATGAGACTCACATTTCAAAGCATTCAATCATACCAGGAAGGGTTTAGAGTTAACTTATTAGGACAAACATGGCTGTCTCAGCCGCAATCACATCTCTATATATATTCACACAAACAATTTCATAAAAAAATCTTCATAGCTACCATGCTAGTAGGCAATGGAGAAGTACAGTCACATCAATCAGGATTTTGCATCCAATGCCACTATTATAATAAGAGAAACCCTAATAACATGAATAAGCATTTGTGTTCATTTCATACAAATTTAACCTAATTATAATTCTAATCTAAATAGAATTTGAATTTTCTAGCGACTCTAGAGATTTTTTTTAATATTTATTTATAATATTAAATATAATATCTTTATATTTAATACCATAAATAATAAACGATATCTACAACAATTAATCATTATCTAAATACTAAGAATATCATTAAATCAATATAACTTATTTATGTGATCATATATATTGGTCCATCTTTTCATATATTTAATTGCATGCAAGAAATGAAATGTATCACTTTTTTAAGTCTAATTTTATTTTCTTGATACTTGAATATATTTTTTCAAATAAAGATCAGATCTTTATGTTACTGAGCATAGTTATACATTGTATAGTCTAATTTTATCAAGAAGCCTATAGATATTACTCTTCTTATATAAAAAAAACAAATCTTATCCAACTTTATGAATACTTGTTACAAATAGCATTTGATAGAATTAAAATATAGAGCTCCTTACACACGAATCTTAATAACTTCATGTTAAAGGACTGCATATACCATTATTACATTAAAAACATTTATAATGTTCATGCAACAATTCATGCAATATTCTCATAATAGATCAACTTAATACATCAATATCTCAATATTTACCTGTGAAAAGATTCATTATCTCATATCCATACTTTGTGAGATTCAATCATCAGTTCACTCAAACATTAGTTTCAATGTATTATATTAACTTATTAACACTTGATTGAAAATGTTTTAATAATATTAATACAATCTTATCATTAAGTTGTTTATTTAATATCAAACAAATTATATTCACTATTATAAGACATTGTTATATTTTTCAAAAAGATATAAACTTGACATGCCTCAACTTGTTGAATAAATAATCATGATTTAGATGATATATTTTGAATATAGAAGTTCGTAGTATGTACACTCTAACACCAAGTACAAGCATCCATAAATGTGATAAAATAGGAGTAACTATTGGAAGATAAAATAGGAACATGGCTCAAAATACCACTAAAAACTGACTCCGAACTTGATCATATTCAATAGTAGTGGATGAAGGCAAACAATGTGCTTTGCCTAAACATATGTAGTAAGTAATCAAGATGCCTTTTATAGAAAAAAGTGAGTAGATACCTAGATTAGTGATTGAGATTGTGAGCAAAAGGTAATTTGGTCCCCAAGATTTTAAAATGAGCTTGTTAATTCTCGAATTTGTCAAACATCAAGTACTTTGGTTCAATTAATAATTTCTATCACAATGATATTAATTTTTGCTGTTAAGTGACACCTAAAATATCAAAATGACATCGTTTCACATAATTTCAATGACTAATCTGACTAATTTACATCACTGTGATTGTGTTCTTTCTTTCTTCCACTACCCCTACATCCATTGTTCTTGCTACCATCACCTAAAACTCTGCTAAAATTGTGTGAAACAGTATTGTTTTGGCATCTCAAATATCATTTAACGGCAAAAATTAATACCACTATGACAAATACTGTTAGTTAAACTAAGGTGCCTAACATTTGATAAAGTTAATAATTAATGAGTTCATTTTAAAATCTCAAGAACTAATTTGAATGTTTACTAAAAATAGACAATAGTGAAGAAAAGACTTAAGTGCTCCAAGATAAGGATGACCTAGTTTTAATATAACATTTTATTGTAAAAAATTTTAACTATAATTTTTTAAAGAAATTATGTTAATGTATCTGTGCTCTTAATTTCTTAAAAAATGTATCTCGTACTCATATTTGGTACAAGTATTGTACTTGTGCAACCTAGTTTATAATTATTAGTGGAGTTGATTGGCAGAATAATTATAATTATTAGTAGAGTATTTGGTCATTCAAACCAGCAGATCCTGCATGATTGTACAACTATAATTATGTAATTATATTATTATTTCTTTAATTAGGATAACCCAACTGTAGAAGAGCATTTATAGCCATGATTGTGTAGCTGTAATTATGTTATTATCTCTTTAATTAGGATAGTCTTGGCTGTAGGACAGCATTTATTGCAATTTAGCTTTTTTTAGGGATAAATATCATACTGTATTACACTATTTATATGAGAGTTCTCCTTCTCCAGCAAGGAAATACACAATTTGATCACCGTAGACAACAAGGAACTACAAAACTCAAATTAAAGAGGGCCCAAAACCAAAAACTGACAAATTTATATAGACCAAAATCATATTAAAGCCCTGACACATTTATACCGCTTAGGGTGAGTATTTGGGGATGAACGCTCTGCCAAGCCCACCAAGAATTGAGCTACCTGAAATGAAAAAAGTGTCCCTCCAAGTTCATTTGAAGAACAAAAGGATAATTTGTTAAAAGGTCAACTGCAATGCAAAAATGACCAAACCTCTCCTCCACGTCGTCCAGAACCATAGTAGCCGCCTATAAATAGTCAAAAAGAGGAAAGTCAACATAACCATACTAAACAAACTGATTCATGGTGTATAAAAGTTTAACACAAATCATATACCTATGATAAGTACATCCAGATCAGAGCCAGCTTGAATGTATTCTGGCTTCAATTTTAGCCACTTTCCACTACGATCACTAGGTTCCCATTTGGAGCTGAGGTCTTTTACAACAATGCCCTCATCTCTAAATAAAGGAAGAAAAAAATAAGTGCCCACAATGTCTTATTTTTCCCACTTGCAATAATATATTACATATTAGATTAAAGAAAAATAATATAGATTCTGCACACAAAAATTATCCAAATTGCATAATGACACTGTATGTATAATTCTTCAGCACAATTTGTTACTTGAAGAATAGATCAAGTATGAAATAAGTATAGAGACATGAAGGCAATGCGATGCATATTTGTGGAAGACCAACTCTCTCAAAAGCTATTAGGCGGAGGCTCTTGAATAAATTTTATCTCTCTAACACACCCTTCTCATGCAAGAATTCTTGAACTAGAAAAATGGAGAAATTGAAAATCAACTAAATTAGAAGAATGTGACAAGGACAACTTCTGATTACTAGGTCAAGGAAGCACTGATATCAAATCAAATACCAACTCTACCAAAAGCTGAAGCTATATAGTGGAGGATCACAAACAGTTTTAATATTCCTAGACTCTAATACATCTAAATATTCACATATATGCAAATATAGAAAAAGAAACAAAAGAAAACAAATACTTGCATGCAATTAGAACACACAAGTGCTTGTATGCAGACATTTGATGAGGTGTGCCTCTAATAAATATGATCTCCCTAATTATCTTCAAAAAAGAACTGAGATAGTCGTAGAACGTGATTTCTAGTCTACTCATGTGGTTTGCTTCCCGCTGATGGAGATTTATTGGGTGTTTTAGGTTCCCTTCGTGACGGCTTAATTGTAGTTAGATAACATTTTTAAACCACTGACATTAAGTGAAGTGTGTATAATAAGTGTATAAATCAAACCTTATCAATTGAAGCAAGTGATGTGAGACTTTCCAACACCCCCCACAAGTGGCTATTTAACCAAACAATATGACTGAAACTATGAAACACTTGAGACAGAAAAAATTAGGGTAAAAACTTAGTTCATTGCTTGTCATTCAGAGGTTCTTATAATATAAATTTGTACAAAACTAGATCCCTTAATTATAGGAATTGACTAGGTAATTACATTATTTACATAATCAATCAGATTTCTATATAAAAGAAAAGAAGGTAAATATAGAAATACAAATATTCTAAACACTCCTCTTCAAGCTGGTGCATATATATATGCATCAAGCTTGTTATAAATATATGTTATTCTTGGACCTCGAAGTGTCTTGGTAAGTATATCAGCTAATTGATTATTAGGGTTCACAAACGACGTAACAATCTCACCAGAAAGAACCTTCTGATGAATGAAATGACAGTAAATCTCTATATGCTTGGTCCATTCATGAAAGACAGGATTAGAGGAAATATGTAAGGTTGCCTGGTTATCACAAATAAGTCTCATAGGCCCTACCTCACAAAACTTTAACTCAGCAATAAGTTATTTTAGCCATACAAGTTCACATGAGGTATTGGCTATTGCTCGATATTCAGCTTCAGCACTTGATCTTAGCAACAACATTCTTCTTTTTACTCTTCCAAGCAATTAGGTTGCCTCCAATCAATACACAATATCCTGGAGTTGATCATCTATCACTTGGGCAGCCAGTCCAATCCGCATCTTAGCATGCAACAATATCAGTATGATTTATGTTTTCATAGACTAATCTTTTTCTAGGAAAACCTTTGATGTATCTCAGGATTCGAATCACCGCATCCTAATGACTATCACAAAGAGAGTTAAGAAATTGACTTACAACATTGACTGGAAAAGATATGTCTGGCCAATTCATAGTAAGATAATTCAGCTTCCCAACTAGTCTTCCATACTGATTTGGATCTGAATACCACTTTCCCTTATCTGGCATAAGTTTGACATTTGGATCCATAAAGGTATCAACTAGCTTACAATCCAACATTCTTGTTTCTTTCAAAATATCAAGAGTATATTTTCTTTGAGATATGGCGACACCAATTTTTGATTGAGCTACTTCAATCTCAAGGAAATATCGCAATCAACCCAAGTCCTTAGTTTGAAAATATTGAAACAAATGCTGCTTGAGTCGGGTGATACCATTATAATCATTGCCTGTGATAACAATGTTATCTAGATAGACAACAAGATAAATGCACTAGTTAGTAGAAGAATGTTTATAAAACACAGAATGGTCTGCCTCACTACGAGTCATCCCAAATTGTTGGAGAACTATACTAAATTTGCCAAACCATGCTCGAGAACTTTGTTTAAGGCCATATAGAGCCTACCGTAACTTGCAAACAAATCCTTAGAACTCCCTCTGAGTAACAAAACTAGGAGGTTGCTTCATATAAATCTCTTCTGCTAAATCACTATGGAGAAATGCATTTTTGATATTGAGTTGGTAGAGGGGCAGCCATGGATAAGAAGAGGCAAACTGAAGTCATTTTTGCAAGTGTCACCATAATCAAGGCCGAAAGTCTATGTGTAGCCTTTAACGACTAATCGGGCTTTAAGTAGATTAATTTGTCCATCTGGACCCACCTTAATGGCAAACACCTAACGACAACCAACTACAAATTTTCCAGGAAAAGATGGAACAAGTATCCAAGTCTGGTTGGATTCTAAGGCCTGCATCTCGTCAATCATAGCCTATTGCCACCTTGGATATAAAAGTACTTCCTTGACTGTTTTAGGAATAGTAACAGAGGAAATAGCAAACACGTTCAAGTCCTAGAATGAGATCATGGACAAAACAAGTAGAACCAAAAACACGTAAGGAAACTTTAAACAGAAAGTCTTTAGAGAATAAAAGTGAATGAGTTACTTTGTTATTTAAAGCAGAGGATGACATCCTATTTATTAAAAAAGTTACTGTAAGGACATTGTCACTCCAAAATTTTAAAGGTACATTAGCATGTAACAAAAGAGTTCGAGCAGTTTTAATAATATGACAATGTTTTCTTTCTGCAATACCATAATGTTGAGGGGTGTGTGGACAAGTGGATTGAAGCAACATGCCATGAGAAGTCATAAAGTGATTAAAAGGTGAAGAAAAATATTATTTGGCATTGTCACTACACAAGATTCGAATAGAGCGACCAAATTGTGTTTGAATTTCATTACAAAAATTTTGAAAAATTGTAGATAATTCTAAACACTCTTTCATTAAAAAATCCAAGTACATCTTGAGTAATTATCAATAAAAATAAGAAAGTACCTATGTCCTTAAGATAGAATTAACACGACTCGGACTCCACACATCTGAATGGACAAGATCAAATGGAGATTTTGTTTGACCATGGACAGCACTTGGAAAGGAGGCTCGAATGTGTTTACCTAATTGATATGACTCACACTCCAAAGACTGTAAATGAGAGAGGTGAGGAACCATGTGCTTAAATTTATTTAGACCTGGATGACCTAGGCGACAATGCAAGAGAAGGGGGGAATCTGCAAAAGTACAAACAATTGAGGTAGGAGGCTGGAAATAATGAAGACCACTCGATTCAAATCCTACTCCAATCGTTTGTCCTGTACTCCGGTCCTATATAGAGAGAGATTCAGCAGTAAATGTTATGAAACAATTATGAGTGCGAGTAAATTGACTGACTGAGACTAAATTAAAGGGGCAATTAGGTACAAGAACCGAATTCAAGGATAAATCATGAAGAGGGGTAGTTTGTCCAATGTCAATAGCATTAGCTTTTGAGCCGTCAACAAGGGTGATGTGGTAAGCTGTTTTAAGTTGTAACAGTTTTGAAAAAGAGAAGGATTACCAATTATGTGGTCAGAAGCACCAAAATCTAATATCCAAGGTCCAATAGACGATGAGTGAGAAAGGAAAATTGTGAAGTTACTAGATTGAGCAATGGCAGAGGAAGATTGTTGTTCTACTATCTTTAGTTGGAGGTACTCCTTGTACTCCATATCTGACAAAATATTCTAGTTTTCTCCTCCAAAGTTAATTTGTTTTTCCACAGCAGAAGATTGAGAATACGTCACATTGGCTGATTTCTTGGGAAACCCAATCAAGGAATAACACTTATCTTGAGTGTGGCCCATACGTTTACAATAGGAGCATTGTGGACGATTTTCAAAACTGCGACCTCCTCTTCCACCACCTTGACCACGACGTCGACCTCCATGGTTGATCACATTTGAGAAGAATGCAGAAGACTCCAAACCTGGTTGGGAACTATTTCCTATCATAGTTTCAAGAGAGGGAACATGCAATAGGTGATCAATGAGATTCTTTGCTGTAGGTATACTGGAATTTGTCAAATTTGGTTCCGAACAGATTCAAAATCTTTGTGAAGGCCATGAAGGATGAACACCATGCATGTATTATCAATCTTGTCTAAGACTTTTTGAAGGTCATCACCTATCAAAACCAATTTTACTTCATCAATGGTGGACTGTGTTCTGTTCAAATATGATGGAAGATTGTGATCTGTCATTTGAAGTGCAGCTAAATTATGTACAACGTCGTAGAGACGCTAAACATCATTTGAATAGACACTACTAGCTTTCTTCCATAGATCATCTTATAAATGCAAAAATGGACTAAAAACTTCGGATCAATGGACTACCATAGAAGTGAAACTAACTGATAATCAGCCTCCTTCCACTGATCTCGTCCAGTGAAATTAATGTCACTTGCCATCTTAGTCAAATGGTCAAAGACACCTTGACCCAAAAACCATATTTCCACTGCAGCTTGTCAATCCATATAATTTTTCCCATTAAGTTTCTCTAAAGTTATGGATGGATTTCCAGAGAAGACAAAGGATACAGGATTTTTGTTTAAGGGTCCAGTGCTGTCAGGGAGCAATTGACTTAGGAGTTGACTCTGTTAGGTCAGAAGCCATGACTAAGCTTGGTGAGAGACGGAGGAGACTAAACACAACTCACCAACCGGGAAAAGGACATCCAGAAGAGACAGAGGGTATGTCGACGAGATGAACAGGTCCAGCAGCGAGACAAATGGAGTCGCGTAGGACTGTGTGTGGCTTTCACACGCCAACGGCCTGGTTTTCTGGTAAGCCTGCGTGGCGGCGTGTGGGACACCGGGAGACGACCCAGCCGATTGGAGGCTTCTAGGGCTAGTGTCGAAGTCACGGGCCAAACGGTGGCCGGACGTCCGGACAACTAGGGTTGGCGATACTGTAGTTTGTTTTATCAGGCCCACAGAATGTGAGCTCCGATACCAACTTGAGACAGAAAAATAATTAAGGTAAAAACTTAGTTCCTTGCTTGTCATTCAGAGGTTCTTATAATATAACTATGTACAAAACTAGATCCCTGGATTATAAGGATTGACTAGGTAATTACAGCAGAATCCTAATTACATTATTTACATAATTAATCAGATTTTTATATAAAATGAAAGAAGGTAAATATGGAAATACAAATATTCTCAACAGAAACAACTGGCATGAGACATTCACTTTGATACTATGTCATGAACCAACTATCCCAAAAGTTTAAGCTGCCAAGTGAAAACACATGAATAGCATCATATTGTATATCTAACATGCCACCCCTCACATGAGTCCTTGTGCTAGAAGCAAGGATAATTTACAAGCTCACTTACTTCGTGCTAAAATTAATTTTTTTTATTAGAAGGGTAGGGTTGACATGGACATGGTAACAAAACCACTATGATCCAATGGTCTAGAGTTCATTCATTGGTAACCCCATTCTTCAAATAAAAAAAAGTTCAATTTTAATTAAGTTATCCTGTACGTTATCCACTCTTCAAGCCAAAACATCTTAGATATATAATATAAGAACATTCATGTACCTTCACCTAATAGCATAAACTTTTTGTGTAATTGATTCATGATAGGCTCCTTATACTAAAGTAGTGCATCCATTTAGCTTGGCATATAAAAATAGTTGTTATGGATTTAAAAACTTTCTAAACCCTCTTGGATCAATCTTGAACAAGTCAGTTAAAAAGAAAAATACAGATTGTTGCTTTAAATATAGATATAACTTGGGTGACAAAATGAATCAGGCTTTTCACTAACCTATTTTCAATTGTTTCTTTGAAAAATCTCTCAACTTCATCCACATTATGAGCAATAAATGACCAACAAGGTTCACCTGTATAGCAGCATGGACGAGAGGTTATCCAATCAATTAACATATGGTTCAAAAGTCACAAACATTATATGATCATATGCCAATTCATTGAATCAATACATATAGTATCAAGGATATGCATGTTGCTAGTAGAAATGTAGATGCACAATCAAGATTAAAAACTGCACATCCATAACGACAAGAATATAATGATGATTTGGAATGATATTGCAATTATATAGCAAGACACACGAGATGGTAAGAGAAACAAAAATCATTACCATTCCCTGAACTTAATTAATTCATGCAATAGTCATGAAGACACTTACTACCCTTTTGGCGGACAAGATAATAAAATAGGATAAGATACTTTTTGTACTTTATCTTATTTCTGGCATTTGTTTAATTAATAGAATATAATAAGTCTATCTTATGAGCTTATTCGATCCATTTCTCCAGTATAAATGTCATCTAGTGAGGGATAAAAGCTAGAAATAGATAGGATAGAATAGCATAATGCTGTGCTATCTAATGAAATAGTCTGATTAAACATAGGATAAGAAAAGCATTGTTCCTACCCAACTATCATTTCTTATCCTCCCACGTCCACCAAATGAGCCTCTAAACACATAAAAAATGCAACAAATTCTTTCCTCTTTATTCCTATTCCCTAGATACGAAGTCCCACAAATTTTGAGATTTGAATATATTACATGAATTTTACTAGTTATCTTCCCTTTCTTTCTTTTTATTGGATAAAAGGAAAATATTTACTAAGATGAACAGATGATAATAGCGCTGGAGGATAACAAGGTAGTCAAAATCAATATTCTTCTTAAGATCAAGGAGGGGAACGAAGATTGTAAATCATGGGATATCACACACACACACACACACATATGGTCACATAACAAAGCTTCCTGCAGTAATAGAACAAAGCAGGTTGTAGATCACAGCTCAGAGACAAGAAGAGGATTTTGGGCATTGTCACTTGATGGGGATGAGTGGGTGAGCAGTTAGTAGGATAACCAAAGGCAGTAGGCAGCAGAGACTAGTGCTTCTTGCGTGTTTAGGGTTCTGATTTGGTCCTATTTGATTTGGCTCTGATTTGTGTGTTTAACAAATAGTCACCAAATTGGGTCATGGGTTTTAGGGTTAAATTGAAAATTTCAGGCATGGCAGGATCAAACATTTCCACCGAGTTTACAATCTCAAACGACGATCCTGCACAATCCCACAAAATGCAATTTTGGTGTGGTGCAACAGGAAGGCTTCATTTTGATTGCTATAGCTAAATAATGAAAGCCATTGCACAAGATTTACTACATGTGCTCACCTAGTTTCATGTCTCCAAACCCCATGCACATTCTCTTTCTCCCCATCTTTCCTCTAGTTACAATAAGAAAACAATATCACAATTGCCTAAACATGTCTTCAAATATAAATTTCATTTATATGGTCCACTAAAAAAAGGTCACTGAACAATCCTCAATTATGAGAGTTGTATTGAAGTAATCCATTAGGAATAAGTATCAAATGCGACTTAGCCCTCATATTCCTAGATCAGAAAGATGAACCACACCAACTAGACAACAACAACAACAATGATGATGATGATACCAAAACAACAAGAATACTTAACAAGTTGGTAAACAAACAACATCCAATTTAGGAATCAGACACCTAACATGCAAGGAGAAAAAGTTTTTCCATAAAGTAAGCACAAGACAAGACCAATTGCTCCTGAGAATATCTTACCAGAAGAACAACGACTATTGATACCACCACTAGGCACCAATATTTCCAAGCGACCCTTCATTGGCCTTACAACTTTACATAGAATTGCATGCCGTTCCTTCAAAGTTTGATGAATCACACTAGTATCTCCAAAATAAAGGATATCAAATGCAACATCTAGCCACTCTCAAGTGAAGGCATAACATAAATAAATGTTTCTTGCATTTGAAAATCTATACAACATACAGATTTAGATATTCAGTCTTCCACTGAACCCAAAAATCATATCAGATTCTCTGATAGCTGGAATTAATAGTTGAACTGTTCAAATACAAGGATACAGCATAACTGCATCAAGAAAGGACCTAGTAAAGGTTAAAATTGAACTAAATAGCTTCTCGTACAAAACAAAAAACAAATACAAAATAGAGAACCTGTCTATCACTATCAAGTCCATCCCTTGCTGCCTTGGCTGCCAAGAACAGAGAACATTAAACAGTAGTGCTACTTAAAATTGAAGCTTTACAATGACAAAACCAAATTAAAGTTCATGCCTATTTCCTGATTTGAGCCAAACTCAGCAAAACGATTCAAAGACTTGTCCCACACCAACATTTCACCATCAAGGATGCACCTAAAAATATTCACAAGGACCCAGAAAAAAATAATAGATGAGTCATTTAAGAAACATACACACATCATCTGCTATACATACAATAATGTCAGAGACATGCACCCTCCAAATTATTGATGCATACAGTCTGCCCATCAACAAGAATAAAAGAATGGGATAGAAATTATTCAAAAAACACAAAACTGCCATACATGAAACACAATAAATGTTCACCTATCAACAATAACATTTTGTATTATGATTTCAGACATCGCATGTGCATATTCAGAGTGATCAAGAAAGTTCCTGCAATAGTGGATGAAAATGTAAATAACAGAAGATCTATCTAGGAAAAAAATATGTAAGAACTAACTATTGCATAACACTAACATTTTCAGAAATACCAAAACAAATGGAAAACCCACAAAAAAAAAAAAAAGGACAACCATTATGTTGTGTTACATTATGTTGCTTCTCAATGTATAAGTTGCCATATGAATATAAAACACAGAGAATTCTTATGGTTTCAATTTCTGAACTTGAAAGTTTCAAGGTCAGAAATAAAACACATAATGGGAAGGTGGAGATGAAAGCAAGAATCCTCCTGGGGTAAAAGGACCACAGTCTGAGGTTAAAAATATACACACACATTTGGATATAAAACACACATATGCACTTGCCTTGAGAAGAAATGTATCTCAGTCCCATTTTTATGAATTTGAATACGGTCACCATCAAATTTGCACTCAACAACCACTTCCTTCCCATGAAGCTATATTAAAGAGGAAACATACAAAAAGGAAAAGTGAGTAATAAATACCAAATTATTGAATTCACCATGCATGATATCATATATTTATCCCACAAATAGTTCTAAATACAATTGTTACAGTCCTCAACTCCTTTTGTGCTGCAAATCACCTTAGACAAAAGTGTGCACAATCATTGGCCACAGCCTTAGCTGGTTTAAGTGATGAGTGGTCACTGATGTTGAAATTATAGGGTTTAGATAGGGAAAAAAAGAAAAGAAAGAAACTTTTGATGATATTCTTCTTAGATGTGATAATATGGTATATAATGATGTGATACACCAATGAAATCACTAACCTCTATTTATACTAGGAATCATATTAAGCTTAGACTCCTAATGGTAATCAAATAAGCGAATATTAGAAAACTAGGTCTAAGCTACTCCCAAAAGCTTGTTCATGGAAGGAAAGTTATCGAAGCCTTATAAAGAGTATTTTGGTCCTATCCCTATCAAATATGGAACATCTTAACACACCTCCCTCACTCTGAGGATAGGACAAGACTGTGATGTTTGTAGGACTGAACACCTATTAGTGATCTAACATTCAAATTGGATAAACTTCGATACTATTTAGAAAATTAAGTCTAACTCACTTCTAAAAGTTAGCTTATAAGAAGGTTGTCCAAACCTTAGAAAGAGTATTTTGGGTATATTCTTATCCAATATAGGACTTTTAACAAGGAACAAATGACTCATTCAAGATTAGAAAAAAGCCCTAAGAAGATCACTAAAAATAATGTAACACATACAAAATTAAACCTAAATAATCATTAATGATAAATTATCCTAATATCTTATGCATTGTTCTTCCTCATATATATTGTAAATATTTTAACAATTGATTTCTAGCTTACATTGTCAAGAAAGATAGTAGCCATTCATTCCAGATTTACTGTTCAAGATTCGAATTTGTCATAAGGGAGATTTACATATAGGCTTGGATGAGTGGGATTGGAACTTTAAAAGTTGACAATTTATTTTACCTAATATTGCACAGCTGATAAAAAAAAGTTCATGAAAAACTTATCAGTTATCACAATTGACACCCCAAGAAATAATTCTAAGATTGTTTCCCACATATGTTGAATCTAGAGGTCATCAGCCATCACAGTGGTCCAAAGTAGTGGCAGGCTGCAGCCTTTTGCACAAAGTAATGAAAAGTAAGAGGATACAAGATCAGCAATGGGTCAAATGAAATTTGAAGACAGTGGAAAGGAAGATGATTTGCAGCATAGAAGGATTGGATAGAAATAAGCTCTAACCGTAGTGATATTTGTGACTTTTTTAATCATTTGTGTCTTGGCATTTATTACTAACTTAATATTACTGTTTCAGCTCAAAAGTAATTAACATCTACCATCAAAATATCTAATAACTTAAGCCATTGAAGAAAAATGAAGAAAACAAAACAGAAAGAAATTTTATTAAAAAAAATGCTGAATACAGATGCAATAACAGTGGACCACGGATGCTGCCTTAGAACCTAGTGGTCAAGTAGCATGCAACTTCAGGGTTCATGCATGGGAAGGCCCCACTAGTGGTTTCAAATCCTGGATGAAGCAAATTGGTCTTCATCACCGCGTGATGTAGCCACAAAAGATGATGGGAATGACAAATGATTTGGATGAGGGGATAAGTGACTGATTAGCAAACCAAACCTTCTTCCATGCTTCAGCTGCATTTGCAACTCTCTTAGCTAATTGGGGACGCACAGCTTTTCCAACTTCAATATCCTACAGAAGGAAAAAAAGAATATGTTCGATAACTCATTAACTTATAATAAGTATTTAGTTAGTTAGTGGCAATTAGGAAAGGGCATCACTTGTATAAATAGAACTAAAGAGAGGAAAATAGGGCAGATTGTGTCAATTGGAGAAAGGATTGTACTCATTGATTAGGGAGAGTCCAGGTTCTCTCAAACAACCTGGGAAATTCACCCAATCAATAATAAAACTTCCTATTCTTTTTCTCTTTCACTGATTTAGTTCCTATCAGGATTGTTCATACATGGCATGCTAAGAAGCAATATGCAAGTGGGAACGTCCATATATATATATATATATATAACAACAAAAGATATACAACAATAACAACAAGCTTTATCTCACTAAGTGAAGTTGGCAATATGAATCACAAGATGTCATTAATTTCAATCAAAAATCAAATTTTCAGAAATATTATTAATAAAAAAATTTCTTTTAATAACTTTCTCTAAACTTCTTGTAGGTCTTTCTCTACTCCTTTTTATCAGACTTAAAAGTCATGATATCTATCTACTTTCTTAATTGATACCTTAAGGGCTCTTATTTGCACATGCCCAAACCATGCAAGACAGTTGTCAATCTTTTTTTTACTATAGGTGTTACTTCAACATTTTTACATATACAATCATTTCTTATCTTATATAACCATTCATTTACTTTTAACATTTTCATTTTTGTTATTTCCATGTTATTCTTTTCAGACTTAACATTCATTACCACATAAGATAGTTGACCATATTGTTGTATAATAAACCTCCCTTTTAGATTGATAAGTACTTTACAATTATAATTACAAATAACTTTTAATACATTTTTCCATTTTAATCATCAACTTGTATTCCATTATTAACATCTTCATTAATTTATCTATCATTATGTAAAATTGACTCCAAGTATTTAAATTTGGAAACATGTAGTATAACATCATCTCCAATTTTAAACTTTCAATGCATAACTCATCTTGATTTTTGTTAAAATTGCAATGCATATTATTTGTCTTACTTCTACTTAAGAAAAAACTCTTAAATTCTGAAGTTTCTTCCACAACTCAAGTTTAAAGATTTTACAAGAGATATGAATTAATATAAACTAATACCAATTAATTCATGTAATATCAATACTCCTTCTCAAGCTGGAGCATATAAGTCATATATCAAGTTTGTTAGACATGCATTTTCCCATTGGGTTCTAGAAAGACTTAGTGAAAATATCTGCTAGTTAATTATTAAAGTTTACACAACGTAGGGATTTCCTTGAAGAGGATATTTTCTCGAACAAATTGAAAATAACCTCTATATGTTTAGTTCACTAATGAAAGATGGGATTGGAGGTTTCGCAGAGCCTATTAAGTATTGCAGTAGATTTACTATTTTAGGAGAAATTTATCCTTTTTTTTTTCCCTTTCAAGAGATTAATTTCTTTATTTCCTTTATTAGCGCATATTTTTTTGCCATAATTCAGTTCTATTATAGGTAAGCAATTATTAGCATGTGTAAATAATGCAAATTGCTTTTACAATTGTAATCTTAACAAAAAATTAATATGAGGATTATGTACTGAAAATTGAAATTGGAGATGACATTATTTCATAAAACTTCAAATTCAAGTACTTAAGATTGATTCTAGAAAAGGACAAAAAAAAGATTAATAAAGATGTTACTAATAGAATAAAATCTCGGGGATTAAAGTAGAGAAAAATATTAGAAGTTACATGCAACAGTAAAATACCTACCAAACAGAAAGAAAAAAAATTTATTGTACTATTATATGACTAGCTATCCTATACGGTGATAAATGTTGGGTCTCAAAAGAATAATATAAGAAAAAAACAAAAGTAGCATACATGAGAATGTTAAGATTGATAAATAGTCACACAGAAAAAAAAATGAATAAAAAATAATTGTATAAAAGTAAATATTAAAGTAGTATCTAAAATGGCAAAGACAACAAAAAGTCGTTTTAATCCAGTAAAAGGTAGAATGAGACCCAGAAGAACTTTAAAAAAAAAAAGATAGGGTGATAAAAATATTCTTAAAAATTTGGTTTTCAACCAAATTCAATGGCAAGAAGTCATCAATGCAGCCAACCTTATCATATAGGATAAGGCTTGGTTGTTATTATTTTTTTTACAATTGTAATTCAAAAATCTACATTCAAAAACCTTTATTTCATTCAATAAGCCTATTTGCAAAACTGAAAATTCTAGTAGCAGTTGTCTCAACCAAAAAAGCTCTCACATATTACAAGTCATGGCTTTATTTTCTACTTCTGCGCTTGATCTAGCTTTATGCTAGATTCTCCCAATAAGAACACAGCACCCATAACGCTAGTCTTCAGCTCTATTTGGGCTCATTTAGAGCCCAAGTTAGAAGAATAAAAAAGATAACAATTGCCACCATAACAGGCTATATAGAGTTCCAAAACTATTTAAATAAATCACAACTAACCTGCCGCTTATGACGTTGATTGCGATCCCTTAGCTTTTCACAGACTAATTTTAAGTCACAGGTAACATTAAACAAGTCTTCCGCATCAGGATGGAACTCATGAAAAATGCTTTTTTCACTAATTCCCAGCTTTAGATCTGCAGCAAAATTTAGTTGCAGGCTCAAATCTCATTTAAGGTATTAAATCAATTTACAGTAAATGAAAAAACACCTTTCAAGATTATCATGATAATCCACTTCATTTCCTGTGCATTTGTCTTTTGGATAAGAGTAGAAAGGACCAAAGTTTTCTCAGCCCTGTAACCATGGTCATGTCATCATACTTTACAGTAAATAAAAACTATTAAGAATGGTGAAGCCAGATGTATACAACCACTAGAGTATTTTAACATCACCAATTCACCATAAAAACTTTTAGCATAATAGCAACATATTTGACAGCAATGTGAAGATATGCAATATTCCGGTTCAATATCAGCAAAGTATTTTCATGTTTTCTACACTAACAATAGAAGCCTTACAAAACAGGGCAGCTACTAAGGCACTGACAGGAAAACCATGATGCACCATCAAAGTGTAAAGTGTAAACAATATTATTCAATACCATCTGCAAGTTAAGAACCTAAATATTTTAGTAGATAACAGAACCTGGTATAAATATATATACTCCCTTGGCATCAACAAATAACATTGATCTCCCAATTCTATTCAAATTCCAGAGTCTAAAGAGATTAAAGGCACAGTAACCAATGCCCTAATTCATGATTGATCATTTAGTTTGTGCCTTTTTTCTACTTTTCACCCCTGGCAGCTTGGAGAATGAAGAATAAGGAGGTTTTTATGTTATCCTTCATTTTTATTATTTCATTATTGCTATCCTCATTTTTGGATGGCAGTGACAGCCCAAGCATAAGGCTGTAAAGCCATAGCATGAGCCCCCTAAAAAGATTAATAATTACTAAACTTCTTTTCTTGCTGAATGAAATCAATTACAATAATCTAATAAATAATTTTGCATCTTAAGAGGCTAGAAAAATTAGCTTCATATATAATTACAAAAATTTTAATAGATTACTTATTTTAATTACTTTATAAAACAACTCATCTTAGAATACACTTCAGGCCCGGTATACATTGAGCCTGAGCTGCTGGATGGACAGGGAGCAAGAACTTCATCTTGAGACAAAATTTGCAGCAAACCATCATAAGAAAGTGGATTAGGTATTATCATATTAAGAGCTCAATTCTGGTTCACTTGGGAAGTGATTGCAAAGTTTCCTTTAGAAATTGGCTCTTCATAGGAGAGATAATGTAGCAGGATAAAAACCTAGACAGCTATGAGCCTTTGGATACAACTAGTTTGTAGTCCTTCCTTTGGGTCAAATGGACATGCAAAAACAAATTACAAGTGATTTGAATTGAAACCAGTTTTCCCAGTCAATAAATTTTCAAATTTGACAATGAGCTTAAGAATCATCCCATTGCTGGCTATTAGATATCCAAGCATGTTCTAGAAATTCCTCTGGTTGCTTGAAGTCAGACTACTTAACAAATTATCAACCTAAACCTCCAAGCTCATTCATAAAAATACAAAGAATGGTTGAAAGAGATTCTCTAGCAACAACAATTTTCTTCTCATGTCTATTAAAACTTTTCAAATCATCTTCATTTTTTATTTTATTTTTCTTTATCAATATTTTTCACAAATTTTCTCCCGAAACAAAACTATTTCGTTCCCTTTAATTAAACTTGATATGATGCCACATGACGTCGTGTAGTAAACATGATAGAGACAATAACTAAGTGCATGTTTTAAAAAACCTATCAACCTCAAACCAACGCAAAAGCTACAACCAGTAAGGTTAAAGTAAATGTGGCTCCATAGCCATTCAAAAGAGAAGAACTGTACACAACAAAACACAGCACACCTGTTTTCACTGGAAGACAACCGATCAAGCAACTCATTCAACTCCTTTATCGTTAATCCACCGGAAGCCATCCCTTGCCTACGCTGCAGCACCTGTTACAAAGACAACGCTTCATTTCTCAATTCTTACCACAACAGAGAACCCTAAGAAAGAGGAAACGACACCGTTTACGAACCTCGGTGGCGACAAGGGCGAAATTGCCGGCACTGGCGCCGGAGGATGCACCGCCTTTGCGCCAATTGATAAGGCGAATGGCATCGGGGGAGTCACGTGACATGCCGAGAGCGTCGATGAGGGAGGTGGCGAGCACGGACTCCTTGAGACCGTAGGAGCCACGCTCGCGATCGAGGTTAGGGAGAAGGAGGCGAATGGCGGCGAAGTAGTTGTGATCGGTGCAGAATGAGTCGAGGAACTTGCGAAACTTGGCTCGTTTCTTCGCCGGCGATTTGGTTCTCTGCGTCCACGTGAATAGGCTGCACAAGATGCTGAACTTGGTTTGTTCGGTCATTTTTGCAGTGAAGTGAGTTTGCGTTTCAATTTGGAGAAGAAAGCGCCGAGGGGGTGTGATTATTTATACGTGTGTGTTGCTTCAGTTGTGACTTGTGGAAGTGCAACGAGACCGCAAGACTTGTTTGGACCGTCACCTCCTGTTTTTATTTTCTTTATTATTCTACAAGTTATTTTTTAATATTCATCTATAAATTGTCAATAAATAGAAAAAAAAACTGTATGTCCGAAATGGTTTTGTTAATAATTTTCCCAAGAGTAGTTGTTAAAAAGTATTAAATATTTTTTATTAAATATTTCAAATTATTTAAAAGTGTATGTGTTAATGTGTTCGATATTTATAAATGTTTGAAAAATTGTTTTTGCACTATGAATTAGGCATCCGCTTGGTTTTACTTTTTTCATAGTAGACATTTTTTTTCCACATCACTGGGAATAGCTTATGGATATAAGACCTGAGTATGTCTTACATTTGACACAAATCCAAACATAATTAAATTTTAAAAACAACAGGAAAGAAAGGCAAAATTTATATTTAAAATTAAAGATATAAATTAACATATTAATATAAATATATGTATTAATAATGTATTTATTATTATAAATGATATATAAAGAAAGAAAATAATAAAATCAAAAGTAAAAAAAGAGAATGACTCACATTATTTTTATAAGTTATAATAAATTTTAATTAATAATTTAAAGTATTTTAAAAAGAATGTGTTACTAATATTTTTTACAGACAATTTATTTAATAGATGGCTTAGCACATTTTATCTTATCTTAAAATATTTTATTTATTACTTCAATTTTAGGATTTTTAACAAATGATTTATATATATTTTACAAAAATATAAAGGGTTAACGTATAAATATACAAAAACTGAGCAGTATATATATATATATATATATATATATATATATATATATATATATATATATATATAAAAGAACTTTAGATAACATGTTAAGAAAAAAAAAAAAAAAAAAGCGAGTGTCCATCGGCCTAACCTAGGCGGAACATGGTAGAACTAGGCCAAATTTCAGTATATAAATTAACTAAAAATGTGTTAGAAAAGAATTAAATGACTATGTTCTTGACACTTCTCTTTTGCAAATACATCCACGGTCTAGAAGCTTCATGTGTTAAGTAAAGTGAAGCGCGGAACTGAGCTTAACATATCATCCCAATGCTAATTGAAACATATGAGAAGCGTAAGTTTTACTCAGATGAAGACAAGAATTGCCAAGTGTGTTTACGACCTTAAAACATGTTAGTCCTTAAAGTACTGGATTTGGATCCCCTCATGTTCGATTTCGAACATCTCATGTTCGCATGTTTTTTAACGTTCGCTTGGAGGATATTAAAAAACATGCGAACATGAGATGACCGTTAAAAAACATGCGAACATGACCGTCATGTTCGAAATCGAACATGAGAAGATCCCTAAAGTACTTTTGGAGGATATTATTGCACCCAGATGCGTCTACAAGTAGTACGCTTTAGGGACCTAAATATAAATAATGATAATGCCAAGAAAGTATCGATAATTAGGTATTGCCTACCTACTCAAAATGTGCACTTCAACAAAATTAAACATCATTAAAACGGCTAATTAATTAATATTTCATTACATTTTCTATAAAAATTCTCAACTATTGGCCACTCAAAAATTAACCACGATACAGGATGATATCAGATACATAAAAGCATGCTTTTCTAAGGCTTCATAATACAGTGAAGCATTAATGCTCCCCAATCAGGCCCAATTAGAAAGAACAAGTCCAAATAAGTACCCTTGAATTGAGACCAATTCAAAGCCTGAAAGTACTGTAGTCTCCTAAACCAGAAGCTCCATAACCTGCGTACGGTTGGGAGGACAAGGAAGATGAAAAGCGTGATGAAGTGCCCAACTGAGAGTATGAAGACCGCAGACCTGCATCTAACCTGCCATAACTGCTAGTAACAGGTTCTTTGTGATTGCTTATAACTTCCTGCAACGCAGAGAAGGAATTTCTGTGAGCAAAAGCATACTTTTTTCTTCATCTACACTTCAACTCTTCTCTGTTTTTCTTTTATAGCATATTTTTTATTTTTTTATTCATATTTTTCTCCTATTCTTTTTTTGGTTTCTTTTATTTATTTAGTTTTATTCCCCTCTCTCTTTATTTTTTCCTTCTGTTCCTCTACTCTCTTTTTTTTTTTTTTTCTGTTTCTGTCCTCTATTTTCTTTTTCTGTTCTCTACTCTGTTTTTTTTAATCCTCCTCTCCTCTAAAGGATAGATATGTCCCTGCATTATATTGGGAAAGAGGAGGAGGATAATATTTTAAACTTATTTTGGTGTCTTGCATTGGCTTCTTTTATTTGTCGCTTTTACCTTTCTTCTTAGTGTTATAATGGAACTCTATACTGCTTGTGTTATGAGACTAGCGAATTTTATTTCATAGAATATATTTCTAATTTTATTATTTATTATATTCAGCTGACTTATTTTGGCATTTTATACATACATTCATTATATACGTTTGAATTCATCTGTCATGCTTCTGCTATTTGCCTACGACACCATATGGCAGATTTTTGGATTTCTGCCAATGGCGACACCATAACACTGCTTGAAATCATCTTTCATTTCCTACTACCCTATAAACTGAATTGAATTATTGTCTTTCAATCCTCATTTCACTAGCAAGCAACATTTTAAGTGTCTTTTGCCAAGACGAGGATGAGGAAATCATGTAATAGTGTTCGTACCTAAAGCATTCTACCAAGCGAAGCATCAATAGCTACAAAATGAGCAAATAGGATAGAAATATGCAAAGAAAAGATCTCCTATGCATTATTACTAACTCCACCCTATCCAAGCATACTCGTGCCTGTGCAAGTTTGATAATCAAAAAGGGGTAACAGGAACAATAAAATATAACTTTCTTTTCTAGAAGAAAAGGCCCTTTGAAGTCTCCTACCTGAATCAGTTGTTGTGCCGTTTGAACCTGAGATGAAGTGCCTTTTATTTCCACAATGATTTCATCAGGCACCCTACTCTCCTGCACAGTCAATATGGCTCCACTGGTGCGGCGAATGTAATCAATATTAGTACCTTGAATACCAATGATGTCCTCAGCATAGGATAATGGTATTTGCATTGTTTGTATTACCTGATAAATGGAAATGATGGTGGAGATGAGGGTACCATGGATATGAACAGAAGAGATAAATAAACAAAACATATAGACTGATGTACGAGCAAACATTTTTAAATCCTTTTAGTTCGCTGCATAAGAAGTTGACATATATTATATAAGCTATGGCAAATTTTAAATAAACAGATAACAAGGCCTAGAGCCAGATCATCATGTGACTAATGGGCACAAGTGTATGGGTGGAAAAGCCACAAATTGATGATTCAGAATCCAAAACCTCAGTAAAATGTATTGTTCACTATTTTTCCCCTCCCCGGAAAAAAGGGCCTACATAAAAATCAGTAGAATATTATAATTGTCAAAACCAACCATTCAAAAGTTAGTCATTAGGTGAATTGACATTAGATGAAGTGAAGACTCATGAATAGTTTATGTTTAACACATCTCCTCATGCAAGAACCCTTTCGGCCAACATATTTGAGTATTTAAAAGAATAGGCACAGAAGATCAAATGAAACTAGTAGTCAAACTTGGTAAAATTACACATTCAATAATTTTTTATCAAAAGTGAATTCTGTCAATGATTCATGAGATACTACTGTGATGATCATGTAAAATTTTACACAAATTAGACATTCATAGCTATATATCCAAGAGTAGCTATTTACTTATATTTTTAATAACATCAGATGTTAAAATAAGAACAAGTGATTAAGTATTAATTAATTCTTAAATTGTGTGAAAATTTGTAGTTACTCTACTTTATGAGAAGTAGATAACTTAAAATTCAACAGTTAGATTGATAAAATTCATTCTAAAAAAAAACAGATGAAAGGTTTCATTTTACTATAGCGTCATTTGATCTTGTCTCATATATGTATGTACGTATATGCATATTCTTTTGCAACAATGATTAAAATTAGACAAAATATAGGCAAACAATGATATCAATCTCATTCCCCAGAAAACATCACGTAAGACAATCAACAAAAACTATGTGGGTGGCTAAAATAACTAACCGTAGTAACAATAGGAGCACCAACACGGCCAAGAGCTGAAGAAGAGACACTAGAAAGTGAAGAATCTTGCCCATAGAGAGACACAGTGGATGAAGGGAATAACGAGTCCAATTGACTTTCCCGGTCAGTTAAGACAGAATCCCTTTTTGTTGGAAGAGGAATATCAGCAAAAATGCTAGTTTGTGAATTAGTATGCAACAATGACTTGTCAGACCAGGTCTCTGCTTGACGATCTTGCAAGATTGGTGCATTGTACTTGAACAACACACAGAAATAACAAATAATAGTGTAAATATACAGTAAAACCTGTGAAATAATATAAGCTGCCCAATCTAAATGCATATCTGAAATAGCAACTCCTTGGAAACAGCCATCAGCAGAACATCAAAAGAGAGGCCATACATACAACACTATACGGTAAAGTTCAGTTGAGGGGCAGAGTGACACCCTAAAGTATATGTGTTTTGCTAATTCAAAATGAGGAAAATTACGAACTTACACTTTTCTCAAACAGGGGAAGAACGCTGTGATCAACCAAAAATTTCCTTAGATGGCTAACTACTGCTTCCAGTGCTTTAAGGACCTTCAAGGCTTCTCCCTGCATTTCCACAATCCTCTCATCCGTGGAAGCATAAAATTGCACCTCATCTTCATAAAATTGATTTGGTATTAAAATAATAAATTATAGATCAAATCATTGCATGTGAACTGAAGTTCCATGCTATGATGAAAGAAAGGAAAAGATGCATTCAGAACATACATTAGAATCATTGCATCCAAATTTAACAAGAATGGATTTCAAGAGATGACTAGCTTTTACCAGGTATCTACATGAGATATTCTTAAAAATGTCTTATTTTAATCAGGGAACTGTAATATTATATTCAAAAGTAAACAGGATAAGGCTACAAGGAGATTCCTAGCAGCAAGGAGAAGCTCGCTTATATGCAGATTATGATGCAAAATTAATAAGAAAGTTTTGTCAGCATAATCAAATTTACCCACCAACTATGTTTCTTCATTAGGTTTTTGACCAAGTTTATTGGAGTCATGTAATCTATATAGTTGACTGCACTTAGTAGAATAAGGCTTGGTTATTGTTGTTGTTGTTGTTGTATGTTTATTCATTATACTCATGAATGCACATGTTGATGCATACAAAGAAATTAATGTACAAGGTTGATGCCTAATTATAAGACAACAACATTATATAGACATTTCACCAGCAAGTAGGAGAGTCATATTCCCATATAAGACTAAAGTATTTCCTATCATATGACACAAGTATATTTTAATTTATTAGTTACTAGAAATAGACATTTGTTTCTTTCCAGAAAAGTACACTGTTAGAATAAATTTAAGATATACTCTATCTTAAAGAATATTTGTCTTGATGTGTTTGCTTAATTAATTAGGTTATTAATCTTATCATTAATAAGATTGGGCTGGGGCTTGTACTCATAGTACTAGAACTTCAGCTAAATATTAGAATAAATAGGAGTATTAGGTTATAGTATTGTAATACATTACATCTATCAATTATACTCTTTTATTACCTTGTGAAGTCTTTCTCTCTTTTCATTCTTTACTAACCCTAATCATATTTCATAACATAAACAAGCAATATTTGAAAGAACAAAACTCAATGTAGGGAAGTCAATGGCAAGGTTTTGGCACACATTCATGATTTATCAATAGACAACTGATCCATACTACCTTGCCCCCTCCCTGTTATTATTTTGTACCGTATGCCATCCATTTTGTGTAACCATTTCTGTTCTTTCTACTTAATCTCATCCCATTCCAAGGCTCTACCTCCTCCACAAACCGAGCCCTAATTCATGATGACAGCTACACAACCCTATCAATGCCAACTGCAAAATTGGTGACAGCGAGTCATCATTTTCAAGGAAACTGGTGGGGTGATGTGATGGCCCCTGATGGATTTTTTTGTCCCCCAAATCTGGACCAACCCAAACCATGTACACCAATTATACAAATATATAAAACCTAGAGATCATATTTCAAACTCTATTGGCAATCCCTTCACAAATTCCAGCACAAGCTGTCACTTATCCATTTGCAACTAACCACTAATTTATAAATGTTAAGCCGCACAAGATGAACAGAAATTTTGACACACAAGCACCAATCTCAAATCTAACAGGTAAAACATTGAAAAGACAGAGCCTCATATCAATGATCTTCCATAGTAAACCAGCTCTATAGCAACCACATACCAGTCTCAAAAGCAAGGTTGTCAAATTGGTATTCATATCGTGAATCAGAAGGTCTAGTTTTTGAATTGTGAATCAAATCATTATTATCATACATAGTTTTTTTTTTTTTGTCATTACATCCTAGCCACCAAACAACAAAAAGAAAAAAACCACACTTCAGCCCAAGCCCAAGAAAGATACCACAGTATCACCTACAAGAACAAAGACACTAGACCTGCAGTGCACACTCTGCAACTTGAAGTCTCGAACTGAATAAAACTTGGCTTATGCCTCTATTCATCAATAATCTGAGGTGGGGGTATTGGGTGGGGAGTGAAAGATTTTGACACTTCCCCTCTAATTTTATAAGCAAAAATTGCCCAAACAATCCTTAAATATCTTTTTTTCCAAAATGGGTTGCGTAACCCAATCCACGTTGTGGGTTCACACTTCACAGTGTAAGAATCACCTCGATGCAGCTCAGATTCATGATTCATCCGATATTGGAATGATTCACACAATTCAAGCTGTGATTCAAGGTTGAAGATGAGTCTAAATTATTTCGAATCAAGATACAAATTGTACAATTCATGCAATTCTAACTACCATGGTGAAAAGATACAATTCAGTACCCTTCACATCAAAGAAGTCAATACTCAAGATCATATTATTTATGACTGTTCCTTTTAACTTTTGTTTGCGTATTAACAATAAATATGTTACTTTTTTCTGTATTTTTTTATTTTTTAGGTTTTGTGCATATGTTATGTGTGTATTATCCGTTGTTTTGGTTTCGTGGTCATCTGTTCCACACCATTAGCCAGGATTAACTACTATGCTTCACATAATGTTGGTGAAAAAATATACAAAAGATCAATAATCGCTACTAAGAATTGGAGGGATCATCATCGATGCATAATTGGGTAACATGACAGGAAGCATACCTCCAGACAGTACTCTAACAGCAGCGCCGGTGTTCTCCTGAATAGATTTGATTAATGAGCCTTGCTTTCCAATTAAATTTATCGCCTGTGTTGATGCCACCAGTAAACGGATGGAACAAAATGTAAGCCCAGCAGCAGATTCTTTATTCTCAGCATCGGTTTCAGATAATCCAGAGACACGCTTGAATACCCTAATTACAGCTTCCATCGCAGGGGAAAGAGCCGCCTCTGGCTCTTCCTTTCCTGATACAAGAACCTACAAAAAAAATCCAACCACATTCAGTATAAAAACAGAGACAAATACACAAATAAACAAAGGTTGTCACGCATCATCAAACCAAAACATTTGAAAAAGTCAATATGCATACATTATTATCTTAACAGCAACACATAAAGCAAATGAACTGCAGAGTAGTAAACTCCCATTCACTTTCTAACGTAAAATAAAAAACACACTAGGCATATAACGCACAAACAAAACTAAAATTAGAAAAACATAACACACAATGAAGAGAAAATTTGGAACAGACACAACTATTACGTCATAAGTAGTAACCAAAAACGAATTCCAACTTAAAGCTACATTCTTCTGCCACGGCTTCCTAAATTAAAGAACTAAAAACACGTTAGCAATTAGCAAGCAGTGAAGAGAGCAGCAAAGTTCACTTTAGTTTTCTTAGGGTAACCGTTTACTGGAGCTGATTTCAGCTAAAAATAGCTCAAATTCAAATAGAAAATATATATATCAAAAGAGAGAGAGAGTGAAAAAGAAGAAGAAGAAGAAAACCCTAGAGAGAGAGAGAGTAGAAGCGATCGATGTATGAGACTTACGATTCGATCGGGAGTACCAATAGCAGCGTCGAGAACACGAATGCGAGCTCGAGTCTCTTCGCACATCTTCTTGATGAGTTCCCCCTTTCGGCCAATGATGCTTCCAACCTTCCCCACCGGCACCACCAGTCGGAACACGCAGTCCCCGGGCCAACCCGGCCATCTCTTCTCCGGCGGAGTAGGCCCCGCAGCTCCGCCGTTGGCTTCAGTGTCAGGGTGGTGGTGTGCTTGGGCGGCGGCGGAGGCATTTTCCGGTGGGAGAGGTTCGGCAGTGGCCATAGGCGGAGTTGGGAGGGAACAGAGAGAGAGAGAGAGAGAGAGGGTCAAGCTGAGGTCTTCCTTGAGGGGAGAAAAGAAGTACAGTGATTATACTGTACGAGTATCCAGTTAAGAGTGGAGGTGCGTGTTATATGTTTTTCCCCACACGTATTTTAGTATTTTAATGATTTATCTTACCTTAATTTTTTATTATAAAATTTATCCTATAAAAAAATATAAATTTAAAAATAAAAATATGTTATTATACATTAAATATAAACTAAGATCAAAATTTATCTTATTTTTATTTTATTATGTTTTTATTTAACTTTTATATATATCTTATTATATTTACTGAATGAATCTTTAAATTAACTCATTAGATATTTTGTTGTAACTTATTTTAATTTCTTATTTGATGAATTATTAGAATATAAAAAGACTATTTTAGCATCTTATCTTATTTATTAATTCAAAAGTTATATCTGAATTAAAAATTAATAAAATAAAATAGTCAAATACTGTTCTTTCACCTTCATATCACATAAGAAAAAATAAATAGGAACAATTTTTAATCATTTTTATCTCAGTTTTTTCTATTAATTTTTATATAAAGTAGTATTCATATCAAATAACATATTTTACTATAAATTTACATTTAAGACAAAATTTTAAATAAAATCTCTTCAATTCAAACTTATTTTGAATTAAAATTAATTCTATTAAAATAAAATATCAAAATCACATTTATAAACACAAACAAACACAATTAGAAGTAAATGGTAGGAGCTCAGTGAGTCATTGTTATCTAATTATTAGGTTCAATTCATTCAAAAAGGAGGTTCGTAAGATTGCATCCTCTATCAGTATACATGATATTCCCATGAACCATACAATTGCACAATCAGAATTCAGAAGTTTCTAAAGAAAATCAATATATAGTGTCGTGGCAAAGTATGTTAGACAGTTCGCAGGGAGCAAGTAATGATGCTATCACATAAAGTTTGCTTCATTATCATTGTACCATGTTCAAAGTAATAACCAATCATGTATTACTTTGGTGTTAAAAAACTGTAATAAAAAAAGTTTAGATATATCGTAGGTCATATATTTGGCAAGGTTTTAATTTTTCTCCCTAAAAGAAGTTTCTTTTTTATTTTAGTCCTTGAATTTTTATTTAGATTCAATGCTCTTAATCCTTAGTGATAACAAATTCTAATAAAAAATCAGCATGTACAAAAAATCATCACATGACAATTTCTTAGTTAAGGAACTAAAAGCAATGAATTTTGAAAAATCAAGAACTAAAACAAAAGAAAAAAAAAATGAACTAAAATTAAAATCTCACAAGAATGTGTAAACCAAAAAACATATTTAAGCCTAAAAAATATAATTATTATTCAACCTTTTCCCTTAACTCAGCTGTGGGGACATATATAACACACGGTTCGTTCAAATAGAGTTTATGTGAGTCCTTTGCTCTGAAATTTTGAAGTTCATTTAATTTTTGCTTCATGCTATCTAGTTTAATCTTCACTTTACTGAGTCTTTCAAATTCCAACTCAGCTGCCTGAGAGTCCCCTTCAAATGTAAAATTTACCCTCTTTTTTCTTTTTTTCAACAGTTTCTTCAAGCTAATATCATCACTGATCTCCACAGTGTCCTGAAAATAGAACATTAGAGGGTAACAAATTATTAATAAAAATTCCAACTACAAAAGCCACCTTTATACAGCAATGTTGCTTCTCAAGCACGAAAACATACACTCACAACGTGACATTTAGATTAATAGAAAATCACCTTATTGCCATTTTGTCTTGTCACTGGTGGATATAGTTTTGGTTGCCTTTTCTTTAAGGGACTAGATAATTTTATTTTCTCTTTACAAGTGACATTTTCACCATTCTTCTGGGAATGAGTCACGGTAATTTTGGAGGCCTTTGATTTCAAAAGCTCGTCTTTCTCCATGTTTTGAGATACAGAATCCTTTGAGATCTTAGAAGTGAAACTTTGAAGCTGTTCTCCTTCTGCTTGAAACTGACCAAAACCCGCTTACATCAATGACTTTATTGCCAAGTCCAAGAACAAAACAATTTCTTAATTCGGGACATAAATAGATGTCTTATTGTTGGATTTAAAACAAGTATAAGTCTGTAACTGTATAAAGCAATTCTAACAAATTAATAAGAACAATTTGAGTTGAGAGATATTGTGAAGCATTTTTAATTTTTATTTTTTTGTTTTTGTTGGGGAAAACTCCATTCAAGTGTACTACGAATCAAACAGAGAAGGATCAGAATGAAGAAACAATATTACTCAAATAAATTGAAAAGAGAGAGCAAAAGCATCACAGTAAAGCTTACCCTTCTGGTTTTAAGTGCCAAGTAACGTGCATTTTTGAACCATTTGCTAACCTGCATTTTCTAACACATTAGTAAGGGAGTTTGAACAGATCAAGAGCTGCTTGACATGAATAAAAACCAAAAGCAGTGCAGGTAACAGTGCAGATAGAGATAATATAAAATTTGCTGTGAAATATTTAATATTTTCCAGAGGTAACGCAGCTTTCTATGATAAATACAGATAACAAGAGACTACACACTGCAAGGCATAACCTTTTCAGGATCAAGTCCCAACTCTTTTGAAAGACCTTCCTTCACAGATCTTGGAGGAAGTTCATTCTCTGCAAAAACTTGGCGGAGTTTCTGGCACATTCCATTAAACAGACAAAATTAGTGCATATACAATTATTTTTATGTTTGTTGACAACAGGAATTTCAAAGGGTAATGGCAATAAAGAAAGATGGCAACAAAAATTGCTACAAGTAATACCTCAACTGCATCAAGTGGAATCCTGAAACAAGGCCTTCTTACTTGTATGCCTGAAGAACCATCTATTATTTTATCATTGTTCTCATTATTGGGATATTTATTCTCACTTTCATGCAGTGTAATAAGAGTATTGACAGCATCAGACTCCTTTTCTCTTTGCTTTCTTTTGCCAGGACCCCAGTCTTCATCTTCACTCACTTGTTCACTTGGTAGAGCATCCTTCCCAAACATTTCCTAAAATGATAAAGTCAAACGAAACTTCATTTATATCATCTGAATCATGTATGGCCAGAGAAGAAATTAGGGAACTCTATTTTTAAGAAAGACCAACACGTGTTCAGTGATTTGTGAATTCTATACAACTGTGGAAGTTGTAAATTTTAGTTTGAGAACATATGCTTATGTTGAATGAGAACTTAGATACTCACATCATAGAGTTTCTTGTAGTCAACAGCTCTACGCTGCCTACGGCCAAATGCTATTTCCCCTAACTTATCAGAATATAAGCAGCTATTAACAGAATAATATTCATGGTTGACACTATCATCTACTGGAGAACTTTCGCCATTCAAAGACCACGGACTAGAAGAACTGCTTAAATCATCGGATGCATTTTCATCATCTCCTTCCATGTTGATGCTGTGGCTGTCTTCTTTCCTCTCTGGATTATAATCATCATCTTCTGGATCATCTGATGGCCATTCTTCTACTGGATTCAGTAATGCAATATCACCATCAGGCATAGAAGCCTCTTCCTTAAATACATCCTTAATTTATGGGAGAAAGGTGTCATTGCATGGACCAGTAAGAATAAATATATCAGGAGAGAACTCAGAAGTTAAAATCTACAAATTTAAGGTTGCAAGAGATTATTAGGGTAAAAAACCTGCCAAGTACTGTCCAATGAGAATTGAGTCCCAAGATGGGCATTTGTTGCCTCTAGTATTTCTATCTTACATTCACAAAACTTGCAAAACCAACCTTGGTCACCAGGAGGAACTGCAATGTATGATTAATCATATTGTTGTTTGAATGAAAAGCCAGCATACCGAAGGTTATGGAATAAGTTCACAATTATAAATGGGAACTCACTATTTTCGGTATCCAAAGGAGGATTAAGACATCTTTGGTGAAAAGCACGATTGCATGTGCCATCACAAAGTATAATATCATTATCTGGGAAAGCTTCATGTAGTTTGCAATTTGCACAGAATATCTACATGAAAAAAAATACAGAAAAGTAAATATCCCATTTTTAAAATGGCGAGCCATCTCATTTCTCTGAGTTGATTAAACATGAGAACAGTGTGCAATCAAAGACTCCACATTAGAAACTTAAAACAAGATGTGAAGCATTATAAAAGGTCTAGGACAGGAAAGAATGCAAAAAGATAAACACAATATGGGGTTTGTAATTTTGGCACTTGCTCACATGTTCATGATAAACAGATCCATCTGGAGCAATGACAGAATCCTCAATGCTACCCACAGAACTAAGAGAATCCAACTGGTGTATGGCATCACGAATACTAAGTTTACATTTTAAAATCTGCTTTTTTGCTCTTAATAGCTCCTTTTCTGGTCTAATCTTCTCTCGGCTGTGACAAGAATAACAATTAGTCAAAACTATTTCTCAAGGAATTGTTTTGAATTTTAAAAACTAATCATTGTTTTTAAATAAAAATAATCACACTGCATTGCTGCAAACTATTTTTTGGAGAAATAGGAAAGTATTTAAAGAAAATAAATAATTTCAATTTCAGAATAATTTGTCTATTTATTGTATAGAGTTGAAAAAGAATTATTCAGGACACATTTAATAACAGAGAAAAAAAGATGATATTATTAAGAAGATAATTATCACATAAACAATGTCACTTCTGAAAGTATGGTCAATATGAGAAAAAAAGAATAATCATATTGTCTCCCCTCTACTTTTCTCCCCTACACCATACTAATAGCAATAGCTGTACTAAGTTCAAAGCCAAACTGCTTTTCTAATTGTCATAAACCAACTCTCCCAAATGCTTATGTTATTAGGTCAAGGCTAATGAGTGGGCTTGAAGTCTGTACAATGCACAAGCCCACCTTACTTTGTGCTGAAATTCCACATTTATTTAGAATAATGGGGGTGGCAGGGTTCAAACTCATGCTGCTTGCTCATAGAGGCTCTAATATCATGTCATGATTCAACTTTTCCAAAAGCTATAGGGTGACGGCTTAGAAATGGCTTTATATCAACATTACTGAACCACGATAATATAAAGCTTAGTTCTTATAATCATATTAAAGTGTATTGTCATTTCAAAAACTTCAAACAAACAGGAGTTATACTTCATATTTTGACAATCAGATGATAAATCTTGCCTAAGTTTCTGCAAACAGAAAAACAAAACAGATAATGTTCTTAAAAACAAGTCAACCAGATAATGGACGTCCAAATGAATGTCCAATAAATAAAATTGACCTTTCCCATACCTTTGACCTTTCCAACCTTCTCCAGAGTAAGCATCAATAAGGTTCTGCTCTAGCTTCATTTTGATTAAGAGGTATCTTGTTCTCCTTAGCAAGCGTGAAGCATCATCAAGATCCACTTTATCCCTTCGTCTTTTCTTCTTTCTCCTTCTCTTACGTTTTTTAATCTTTGCCTTCTCATCAACATCTATCCCATGTTTCCTAGAACTATGAGAAACTTTTTCTCCTTGTAGCTTTGCTGAAGACAGCATCTGTGAAGATTTCCCATCAGTTTTATGCAGATTTTTTCTAATAATAACATTTTTATTTGAGGAATCCTCTATCGGTGCCTTGATGGAAGAATCAGAAACTGTCCTCCTTGATGTGTTTGTACCAACTCTGAGTTTATGAGATTTTGATTTCACTTTGTGTTTCTTCCCTCGGCATTTTGTGCTTCTTGTTTTGAATTTTGATGAAACCAGCTTGGACTTAGTCTGTTCCTTTGATTGACTGGATTTTCTAGATCGTTTGTTATTTAAATTCTCAGTATCCTTCATATTAATTTATTATGTATCACCCCTGAAGTACAGGCATAAAATTGATAAATAGAGACATGAAAAGCACTGGTAACACGATAGTCAACAAACTTACACACAACATATATTTTGAACAAATAAGGACACACACACGTGCACACACTCACAGAAATGCGTGACAGATTGCACTCAGAAATGAAAATTAGTACTCCTTCTTATCCACTGTAAAAATATATCACATAAAAACATTTATAATACACAGAAAATAGAAAAAAAAATATAAGTAGCAACAATTGATTAAATTGTTGATAGTTCAAAACATGAATACATCCCTGACTTATGAATTCATATTAGAAAATAATGAGATAATGAAAAAGATAATTGTAACTGAATTCACACAAAACCAAATTTAAATATATGTTCATTTTGATAGCACAATTCCAGTGAAAGTACAGATCAGCATGACATCTATTCACAGTAATGAATTCAAATACGAAATCATACAAAGATGAGAAGACTACATGCTTCAAAAAGGATAGGGATAGGCAGGGCTAAGAAATTAACCCAAGGCCAATGATCAGTGACAATAACCCACCAAACAAACCCTCAGGAAATCGAGCAACAATGTCAATAGCAAAATAATTGATAATCTAAAAAATTCGAATGATAGTAAAACATATTAAACACACAAATAGTCCATCAAAACCCAGATGCAACATTCCCAAGCAAATACAGCACAATATGAGCCAGCAACCATTTCAGGCATTACAAGGTCAGAACATGTTAAGAAAGTGAGAAGGAAAGCACTGCAACAAGAATCACTACTCACTAGACCAATTCAGTGAATTATAAAACTCTCTCTAGGCATGACTCTCTCTAGGCATGATTATAAGACCCTGATCACTTCAAAGCCTAAAGAATCACAAGATAAGTACTTATCAATATCACAAATATTTTCATGCAATGAATCATTCTATAAAACAAGCACTTATGATTAGATAAGTCAAGTGATTACTGTGCCAAACTGGTCAAGAAAGTCATGCCAAGGCCTACCCTTTGGCAAGCCCCACAAAGGTGCAAGCCAAAACAAGAGAAACCCACATGAGTTTAAGGAAAATTAAAGAAAACTAACCTGCAATGGAAGAGAAAACAAGGTTAAAGATCTGAACTTTGAATAGCTCTAAAGCTGTTTCACAAGGGAAAAAAGGAATATAAGCAGGGAGTTTTGAATAAACAAGTGACCCTTTTAATTGATTTGAATTTGAAATTGGGTTTCAGATTCCCAATGTTGATGTTATGCCAGTCACCGGTGATGGTGTGGCTGTTCCCTAATCACCACCACCAACGGTAAGCTTCTTATGCTTCTTTTCTTTCTCTTCACCGTTAACTCTTCTTCCTCTGTTTTGGTGTGTACCTTATGACTATTACACAGTTCCTGAAAAGTGTTACCTTTGTTTTATGTCTTTTTCTTCTCTCGTCTTATTTTTAACCAAAATTGCAACTTTACCACCAACAAAAACATTTTTGCTCTTTGGGGAACTCAAGTCTCCCTTGCATGTAGATTTAATTCTGACTATGTATGTCTAAAATTATAGAAATAAAAAAATAATTATTTTTTTATTGAAAATATTTCATGTTATTAATATATTAAAAATTATAATATTTTATGATTTTTAATTAAGAAATATTATAAATCTGTTGTTGCATTATTGTGAGGAGACATCGGCATTGATCGAAATGTCTCCAACCATATATATATATATATATATAAGATGAAACAGAAAATATAGTATAATCTCATAATGTAAAGTTTGTTCTGATTGTGAAATTTCATCAAAAATTCATCTTAGGTATTTAAGGTTGAGGACCTCTATTTGGACAAAAAAAATATTGGTATTGCTAATTTCAGTTCATTAAATAAAATTCGTCCATATGGAAGAATGTTTTTTGATAATAAATGAAGCGTACAACACAAACAAACTGATACAACAGTCTACACAAAGGAATTATAAAATATTTTATGCTTTCGCACGAAAATAAAAAATAAAAACACTTATATTATTATTATTTGAATGAATTTTAAAATAAATATGATCATTTGTTAAATTTGTTTTCTATGACAAAAGTAACTACATGATTGATCATTTAATGTATATTAATATTTATATTTTTCTTATTTCATAATCTATTTTAATTAATATTGTGTTGAAAAACTACATGATTGATCATATGTTAAGTTTCTCCATGCGCATTAATATTTATGTTTTTTTATTTGATAATCCATTTTTCACTTATAAAAAAGAATTTTCACGTTGACACATCACACATGTCAAGCTTACGATAATCTATCTTTTATTCAAATTTTTACATCTCAACAGTACAGTAAATAAAATATTACATGCTTCCATACAAAGATATTATTAGTTTCTTGCTAAACTGAACATACTTAAAGTTGGTGTTTTAAAAAAATTGATATACCTTTAATTTATAATAATACAAAAAATCTTATCTCACCTTAATTTGTTTAACGCATAAAATAACATTCCAAATATTCCTCAAAATAAAAAAACAAAAGGTATACTAGTTCTTGAAATAATAATTTTTCTTTAATAGATATCATATTGAAACTTTTCACCACTAAGCTGAATTTCTCTTGACTTCAAATTGCTATTTCATGTTTAAAAGCTTTATTTTATTCTAAATTTTATTTTATTTAAATATTGTCACCTGATTAATAGAATCCACATCTGTTCTAATTTAAAAACAGTTATAACTATCACAAGAAAGTTTTTTCACCAAAGCTTTATACAAAATGATGTGGCACATAAATTGATAAGAAGAACAAATAGTTTAAGAGTAGTCATCAGTCAAATTGATTTGGAAGAAAAAGACTTGAATTTGGAGCATGAAGTGGAAATTATACCTCAAATAGGCTCAAGAGGATTACGCTAAGGGCAAAATGGTTAAAAGATTACGAGGTTTCTTAGTATTGCATGTGTATGAGCTCTCGAGATGAGTATTAACAACAACAAAAATAAAAGGAGGAGTATCTCAACTTGTTAATTTGTTATTATTTGTTTCTGTTGGCCCGTATTATATTAGAAACATATAAAAGACAGCTTGTTTGTTATGTTGATATTGATGAATGAAAATACATTTGCTTCCTTTCTTTTGTTTTTCATTCCAATCAAGGGATTGAGATAGCCTCATTTTACAGGGACAGGGAGGCTCTTAGTTGGGTCCAATCTACTTCATGCCATCTTTTGGCAACATTGCAATTTGATGAATTCATTAACAAGTTGAAAGCAACATATTAACAGGACCTTGAACTCAAAGAACTTTATACTCAGGTTATGGTAGACCCATCTTTTCTTCCTGACATGTCTATTTCTCAAGGTCAATTATTTATAAAGGCATACTATTTATTGGGTATAGTCCTTCTCTCAAACAATTGTTGTTAGAGGAGTTCCACGTTCACCATTAGGAGGGCATATTGGGTACAGAAAACATTGGGGAGCATAAGTGATAATTTCTTTAGGCATGACATGCAGAAGGATGTGGCTGACTTTATTCGAGATTCCTTCACTCGGCAGAATGGAGTTATGATTCCTCTGTTCATACTTCTAGTTATTCATTCACCCTTTTCAAATGGTTTATGGTAAGCCACCACCGTCTATTCCACAATATTATGGAGGTAGCAGTAGAATCGAAGCATTAGATACTCAGTTGACCAGTAAAGATATTATTATGGCCAAGCTTCGAGCTAAATTGCTTAAGGCACAAGAAACCATGAAGCATAATGCATATTTAAAACGCTTAGCTGCACCTTTACAATTGGGGGATTTGGTCATGGTCCGCTTACGACTTTATAGGCAAGTTTCACAGGATCAAAGACTCAAAAGCTTGCAAGATGTTATTATGGTCCTTTTCCCTTCATTCGATGCATTGGTGATGTGGCATATGAATTGGCTTTGCCTCCGTCACTCATCCCAAATTCATCAAATATTTCGCTCCTCCCTTCTTAAACGAGGTAAATCTGACCCCATCTTAACCTTGCCTCCTAAATCCTGTGACAACAAACCTCAGGTTCAGCCTCTAGCCATTTTATATGTTGAGGGAAGAGCCAATCAACAGCATCGAAAGGTATTGATTCAATGACGGGGGTTGTATCCTAAAGATGTAACATGGGAAGTTCTTGAAGATGTTCTTGCTAGTTATCCGCACTTACGCCTACAGGACAAGTCATTTGTGGATGCAGAAGCGAGTGATATGGATAAACGTGTTCATGAACTAGAGGCCCAAGATGCTGTACTGATTTAAGAAAAAGACTTGGATTTGAAGCATGAAATGATTATAACCCAAGAGGAATATGCTTAGGCCTAAATAGTTGAAGGATTATGAAGTACCTTAATATTGGAAAGGATGTGACTTGTAAAGAGGAGTATCACAAGTTGTTAGCTTCTTATTTATTTGTTACATTTTCCTTCCTGTTGGCACATACTTCGATAGAAGCATATAAAAGACATCTTGTTTGTTATTATGCAAATTGATGAATGAAAATACATTTGCTTGATTTCTTTTGTTTTGAAGGTTACCTTCACTTGAAGTTTTTTGTTTTTCTTCCCTATTAACTATAATTTACATCAAGTGAAGAATAATAATAGAATAGTATGCATACATGACGAAATGGTATTAGCCTATTTATATAGGAACTCGAATGTAGGAGATTACAATCGACGTACGGTAGCCAATTCGCACGACACCATCCAGCTAGGTAGTTGCTAAAGGATTTAGACCCTCAAGTGCTAAATGCGTAGCCCGTGACTTGATTTCCTGGTGTGGATACATGAATCATTTTTCTTGTCAACAGGTGCATGGATTACTAAAGGTCTGCTTGTTTACTTTCCCTTTTTTTTGGTCTAATACTAAAGGTTTTAGGTGTTAAGGTTTTAGTGAGCCTCAAACTGGATATAAAACCCACAATTGATGTAGCAGATTCAAATGCAAACATTATTCAGTTTTACCTCAAGATAAGAAAATATAATGTGACACATGTATGATTTGGTCGAGATATGAAACCCATCCAACAAGGTGAGCAGTTGCAAAATAAAATCACCACATCAAGAGGACTGAACCAAATAAAAAAAGTATGTTCTCTTTTCACACATTCAATTAACATTTAAGTGCAAGAAAATTGAGTATTGTATCAAATAGAACTTATTTTATCATTCAAACGATGAAATACATTGCAGCTGACAGTATCTTTCTGCCTTGATTTTTCAGATTTTAAAACAAAAAGACCGAGCAAGCCAACGAACTCCAATTCAGCAACCAGGATCCTGCTAACCCAAAAAAAAAATTATAAGCAACAAATATAGAACAAATAAGTATTTACGGAGAGTTACAGAAGAAGTAGGGTCTATTAAAAGCAATAGAACCGCAGTACTGTTTCCTCAGTCATCACCCACTAGAAATGTGCATTAAGTAGAATGTATTTTGGAGAACAATTAATGAAAAAAAAAATGTTTGGAATGATAAAGAAAAGCTGATTTGTTGGGTAATTACTTTGGAATGTAAAATTACCCCCCAAAAATTTTATTTGACGGCTGCATTTTAGGATCATGTTGGTGAATTTATATTCAAAGGCCAGTATCCCAAATTGCTCTGGACAATTTTTTTTAGCAGGGGGAGGCGGGGGGGTTTTGGTTGTTTTGTATTTCTCATTTTAAATTTCATCAATAACTACAAACATGCCACCTTATTTTCATTACCTTTCCATTTTCAAGTTTCTGTAAAGGATATGGGGAAAACAAACATTTAATCACCTTTACAAAATTTTGAAAATACAAATACAAGATGGCATCTTTATAATAATATATGAGAACATATCAACTGAAAATGAAAAAAGAATTAAATAACTCTTCAGAATGTGGATTAGAACTAAGAAATAGCAAAAAAGAAATCTCGGACTTTATTGAGGAAGTCCCCTATTCCGTAGTCTGAACCACGAAGACTGCCGATCCAAGATAAAAATTGCAGAAGAGACTGTCTCCTCTCAATTCCAGGAAGCTGAGAATCCTGCCAGCCCCCAACCAAACTAATTTCTAATCAGAACTCCCTTTGTTTGTTCCTATTTTATTCCCTAATATTCCGCCCTCCCCCCTATAACCGTGTCATTAAAAGAAACTAACGCAGAGGTTCTTCAACTCTGTGATCATCTCTATTAAGCCTAAAATACACCATGGAGATACAAGATGTTTACGGAAGGAATACATGAAAATGTTTATGGAAGGGAGAGGACAGAAGGAGTTGCCAAAAAAAATTTGTGTAAGCAACTTTTCCAAACATAACTTTTTTGGGTAACCCACTCTTTTTCTTCTGTAAGATAACTAAAAGTCTACAACCCCATAGAGGTAATTTAGACGATTAAGGGTCTGGAAAAACATTTTTCACAGTACTTTAAGTTAGAAAAGCCTACAAACCACCTTACACAAACAGTCAAAATGATGTACAAGATTCAAATGCAAGTAGCAAGAAACCAAAGACATGTTCAGTTATGAGGCCTTTCAAAAAGTTATTCAGTTTTACCCATTTAACAAGGGAAGCAGTTTCAAATAAAATCAGCCCATAAGGTGTCAGTTATCCATTTAAGTGCAATAAAATTGATTATATTATCAAATAGGACTTATTCTATCATTTAAATGATTGAATGAATCAAAGCTGACAGTAGCTTCTTGGCTTCTGCCTTAATTTTTCAGATTTTAAAACAAATAAAGATCAAGCAAGCCAACCATCTCCAATACAATAACCAGGATCATACGAACAATAGGAATAAATTGATTAGATATCAAATACTTACATAGAATTAAGAACAAGTACAGGTATTGTCCATTAATTGCACCAGACTGTGTTACTGTTTCATCAGTCATCACCAACCATTAATTTGCTTAAGTAGAATGTATTTTCAGAGAATAGCCTAAGAAAAGTTTTGATGTTCAGTATGTTGAGAAAAACTAAATTGTTGGATAATTACCCTTCAAAAAAAATTGACAGCATCATTCCAAGGTCATGTTGGTAGTTTATATTCAAAGGCCAGCATCCCAAACGTGTGGTCTGGTTTGTTTTGTTCTGTGCTTTTCATTCTAAATTTCATTAATAATTACAAACATGCCACCTTATTTCCATTATGCTTCTTATTTTCAAGTTTCTGTAAACAAAATGAAAATCGAAGTATAAAACACTTCTTGGTTTTCATTGTTCCCTCCACAAAATTCCGAAACATGAATTAAAATGAAAACAAGATGACAGGCATTTTAATAATTAAAAATAAAAACACAACACAACACCTCAAAACGAAGATGGAAAAACAAACTCGAGAGAAAGCGAGCGAATCCTTCATGTTCAATATCAAAACCGAATCCATAAACGAGTAAGCCTATTACAAATTTTTAAAAGCATGGATATTATCTTAATCAAGTCTGGCTACTAATACCAAAAGACATTGGTAATACGCGATGAAAATGGAAATGCAAATCAGTGATGCAAATATAAGACAAATCACTCAAACACGCAACGCAATTATAAGACGGAAACAAACGGCGTCGTATGGGAAGGGAAAAGGGAACCTGAAGGAATCAATGATGCTGAGCGTGTTGCTGCTGGTGTTCGAGGTGGCGACGCTCGTGAGGGAGAGCAACGAGGTAGGAGAAGATCATGCCACCATAGCAGATATGGAAGAGAGGTTCGGGAGAACTGGTTTCAATGTACTTGGCATGGTAATTGTCCATGCCTCTCTGAATCGCTTTTTTTATGTAATCGAAGGAGAGCATTGGCTTCACGTGTTCTGGAACCTCTGAAACCTTCTTCCCCTTGATCTCATGGTAGAACCTCCTCAATGCCATCGCTTCCCAACAAACAAACCCTAGATTTGATTTGATTTCAGACCTGCGATTTGCGATTGTTATTGGGAAATGTAAATGGTATGAATTGTTCCTTCCTACGTTCTAATACCCAGTTATATTATCTCTCCACTACAGTGAACCAGCCCAAACACGATCCATACCCGGCCCAAATCTAATCATTTTTTTAAAGGTTTGCGTTCTCTTTTAAAAAAATAAGAATTTGCTCATGTCACTGAGTGATATTCTATAATTTGTACTGGAGGAAAAAATATATATAATTTTAATCAATTTTAATTATGATGGGAATGTAATTTTATCTTGTTACTTTTTTACTCAAACAAAATTAAATGAGTATTGCTATATAGTACGAACAAAATTTAGTATGAAATAGAATAAAATGACATGAGTTTCCATTAATTATTAAATATTAAGTTTAAAAAAAATTGTCAATTCGTTTTCTTGTGGAATTTAAAAGCTTGCACTGTGGTTACTCTCGTCTATGTGAAAACACTAATTGCTTGATAGTTTTCTTGCTTCACGGTTGATGAAGGCTCTAAAAAGAAATCAAACATTAATATCCACGTATCATTATCCTTCAAATTTTATTGAGCAGCTAAAATTGAAAATTATTCTGATCCTCTTCATTTCTCTCAAAAAACTTAGTAACGTTCAATAAATATAAATAATGAAATAAACAAACTATATAGTTGAGACATATTGAAACACCAAGAGTTACTACATGTATGATCTTAAGTAAATTATGACATTATCATGGACTTTCAGAAACTACTGCCATTACATATCTATTCCTTAACCATCAATTGCATAACATACCAACCAAGAATAAGATAGAAAGTATTAATAATCTTATTTTTACAATTACTCAAAAGAATGTAACTAAATATCACTAACAAATTAGATAAATTAAAGAAAATGTAACTGGTGTTAAGACTTTCACACTCATTAAAGTTAAATCAGATGCACTAAAAATTTGATAAAATTGACTAAGTAAAAGAAGAGATTCAAAGAGAAATTAACAAATGAACAACGTTGATGATGAGGCAATAATGGAAGAAAATCAGGCACTGTGGACGTGTCAGTCATACAATTTACGCTTCAGACTTTATATATTAAAAACAGGTAGATCAATTCTAATCCTAGTTAGTTTTTGTAACCCAAATTATCTAGTTTTAAATAAGACATTAATATAAAAATTCAAAAGCATCAAATTTTTTATGTGATAGATATGTAAATAAACAAATAAACAAACTTGTAGTGTTCATTTGTTTGCTTCTCACCATTAAACAACATTCTAAGGCAATCAAATATTATGAGAGACAGGACATTTGAACTTTTAGATACCACATCAATTGATATTCCTTCCATCAAAGTGAATTTAACAATGAGTTTTTTGGTAACTTGATTTGAAATGAAACAGAACCCGACTTTTTCTATTCTTAAAAAGTTAACTAACTTATTTTAGAGAAACTTTCGTGAATGTAACCCAATTGTCTCGTCAAAATTCATAAATTAGTTAAGTCTAACACACCTCAAATGTACTAAAATATCCCTCCCAAAGATAGAACAAACAGTGGAGAAAAGATTCATGGCGTTCATTCTTCTTTTTTTCTTTTCTTCATCAAAATCATAAAAGCACAGTATTTTTAACGACTAATGGGAACGTTTCAGAGCTTCAGGAAAGCCTATGGAGCTCTTAAGGACTCCACCAAGGTTGGCCTGGCAAAAGTCAATAGTGAATACAAGGTGATTTATCCGTTGTTTAAACTTTCAATTTTCAATGAGTTTCTTCAATTTTATATTTTGATGATTGTATGATATTCATTTTGATTTTGAAGGAGTTGGATATTGCAATTGTAAAGGCTACCAATCATGTGGAATATCCTCCCAAAGAACGTCATATTCGAAGTAAACCAACCTATGTCTTATTAGTCATTTCTAATTCTCAATCTTTGTTAAATGTAAATGATGCTTTTACATTTTTAATATCGTGCGTGTCATCATGAAGCTTGTTTTACATAAGCTTTGAATCATTATTTATTTGAAAGCTTTGCTTCATCAATCTATGGTTGTTTAATTTCACCAAAATATATAAAAACAATCTCGTAAGTTATAAATTTAATTTGCTTTTCCATTGCAAAGCTTATTTTCTATCATTTTTTTTTCTCATGTATATTTAATTTGCCCTAGTTTTTTTTTTCTTTGTAGAAATATTCTATGCGACATCAGCACATCAACCACGAGCAGATGTGGCATACTGCATTCACAAACTTTCTAAAAGACTCTCCAAGACGCGAAGCTGGATAGTAAATCCTTTTCATGATACTTTGCAATTTGACATGTCCTTTGAAAGTATTAAGAACGATACCATCTAAAGAAAAGAACAAATTTTAATATGATATGGTAAAACATATTAAGTGTTGAACAATTTTGTTAAAGGTTTTGTTATATTTGCTTTCTTCATCGTGTGAGTACACTAGTTGAAAAAGAAGGGAGAAGTAAAAGCACTTGAATGCTATAATGTGTGTAATAATCGCCTAAAAAATACATTATAAATCATGGTTTTACTGATCCTGCTAAACTAATGGGATATGACATGTTCATCAGTTATCATAACATCTAATTTCTTAAGATTCAGCTCACCACATTTAAACATAAATTTTTTCCACAATTTTACTCGAGTTTTTATCAATGTACATTATATCTAATTGAATAATGAAAATTACAGGTTGCTATAAAAACATTGATAGCCATTCATAGAACTTTGAGAGAGGGCGATCCTACTTTTAGAGAAGAGATTCTGAACTACTCACATAGGGGACATATTCTTCAAATATCCAATTTCAAAGATGATTCAAGTCCTATGGGTAAATTAGTTTTACATTTTAATTTTGTTGAAATTATTATGACCTCAGTGACCTTTTTCTCTTCAATATTATTCCATTTCATGACCAATTAAATTTCTCTATGCAGCTTGGGATTGTTCAGCATGGGTTCGAACTTATGCTTTATTTTTGGAAGAAAGACTCGAATGCTTTAGAGTACTTAAATACGACATCGAATCTGAACGTTTAACAAAATCATCACAAGCTGCAACTAAAGTGTGTCTTTTGCCTTATTTTTATTCATGCTCAAATTTGTTTTTTCCAAGTATCTTATTTCCATATTTAAAATTTATCAATAATTATCAACTTTGACAGGCACATAGCAGAACTCGATCATTAGCTAGTAATGATCTTTTGGACCAATTACCTGCACTACAGCAACTTTTATACCGCCTTATTGGTTGTCAGGTATAAAGTAATAAGGGAAAACATGATTGGTATCTTCATTTGGGTGTGACACATTCTTTACCATCAAATTACATTATTTTCTTCACTTTATGTTGACATTTGATTTGGTTTAACTTCTTGCAGCCTGAAGGATGTGCTTATAGCAATTATCTAGTACAATATGCATTGGCCCTGGTATGCATGCTTAGAATTTATACTTTCCATTTTTATCTTTTGATTATTATCTTAGAAAATGTTTAGGAGCAATTGCATAACTAAACAATTGTGCATTTCTTTACTCACGTGGTCATATGCCCCCTTGAATTGGTAATTGTAATTTTTGCTATCGGTACAATGTACAAGTATATAAAGCAAGTATTATTATTTTTTATATTATTAAATATTTAAAATTAATAATAATATTAAGAGTTTAATTTTGATGTATTATTAATGTAAAATCTTCTATATTGTAAATCAATTAAAATATATCATATATATAATTCTTAAAATAAATTGTTACCAAATTCAACAATTGTTACTACTATAATTATTCATTATTGGATAAAAATGTTACAATATTTATATTATCAATTCAATTTAATCAAATTCTATCATTAAATAACATTTTAGTTATATTAAGTTATAATTTGTTAAATAAATTATTGTAAATGACTTTAAAAATGAAAAATATTAATTTATTATTTAAAAAGTTTATTTGATATAAATTTAGGTATTAAAATTTTATGATATCAGATAATTCACTCAAATGACATTAAATAAGTTATTATATTAGGTTGTAAATTAAAATATATATTGTTTGTATATCTTTTATATTTAAATGACTTAATATCATAAATATTTAGAAAAAAATAATATTAAATATAACTATTTGAAATACTAAAAAGTTAAAGTTTTTATTTATAATCTTATTATGAATGTCATACTTTTAAATTATAATATTCACTTTATATACAAATATAACAATTAATTGCCAAAGAAAATTATGTTTATTTACCTTCAGAAAATAATTGACTCATAATATATGCTCTAAATTAATATTGCTATATAGTAAAAAAAATCTAATTTTTAATAATCTTTTATAATTTCAGTCTAAAAAAAATCTGAATATAAATAATGTTTCTTTATTCTCTTTAATTATAAATTTTAAAATTTTAATTAAATAAAATATTATCAAAATAAATATTTTATAATATCAACTATTGAGTGTCATATTCATGTATATTTTGATTTTCTCTATTTAACGTATATATTGAAAACTTTACATCATATTAAAACTTATTGTATTTTTACAGTTTGTTTTCCAAAAAAATTTATAAATGATAAGAAAGTAGTTTAGAATACCAAAGATCAAGTTATAAATCAAATAAATCCAAAATTAATAAAACATAAATAATGTAATAAATTTACAAAATTGAATATAAAATTATGAAAAAAAATACCATGAGGCATTATAGTGGAAGAAATTTTGATAAAATAAAATAAATTTATTATAATTTTAATATTGTAATTAAAAGTTATCTTTGTTTAAAATAAAATATGATCAAAATAAATATTTTTTCTATGTTGAGTATTATATTAATGCATGTTTTATTTTCTCTGTTTATAGTCATTTTTCTGAAAAGTATTAAAAATTTAATTATAAAAATAAATTTAAAAAGTTAAAATACAAAAGATAAAATAACTTATAAATCAAAAGATATTTTAAAAAATATATGTAAATGAAAAATATTTAAAAAAATGCCATGTGGCATTATAGTATAAGAAAGTTAAAAAATATAAAATATAAAAATTCCATGTGATATTACTGTGAAATGACTTTAGTATTGATTGTAGATTACGCTTGAATAGAGTTCATCATAGAAAATAGTTATGGTTGGTGAGAATTACAAAATAGTGCATTTTTAAAATTATTATAGCCTATTATATTCAATGTATTACTTTTAAATTAAAAAATTTATTTTTGATTATTTTTTCTAGCATGTGCTTATTTAATCATGTGTTTACTATTGCTTTGGCTTTTGGTATGTCCTTAAGGTACTGAAAGAAAGTTTCAAAATATATTGTGCACTCAACGATGGAATCATCAATCTTGTAGACATGGTTATGTTCAGCTCAACTTAACTTTCTATTTAATCAGTTAAATTTTATATTATACTAACTAATGAAAATTTCAGTTCTTTGACATGTCAAGACATGATGCGGTGAAGGCTCTAAATATTTATAAAAGAGCAGGCCAACAGGTTTACAATGATACTTTTATTCAATTACATCATTTTTGTTATTGTCGAACATGGATTGATTCTTGTGCTCTATAAGGTGTTGATGATTTTTCTTATGAATGTTGTATAGGCTGAAAATCTTGCTGACTTCTATGAATACTGCAAAGGCCTGGAGCTCGCTAGGAATTTTCAGTTTCCAACACTTAGACAGGTTCTTTTTGTATGTTAGAGTATGCCTTGTTTGATACCATTAACAGAAGAATCTCATGATCCTCTTAATTTGATAAATAGCCACCTCCCTCTTTCCTTGCAACAATGGAAGAATACATTAGAGAAGCACCTCAAACAGGCTCTCTTAATAAAAGATTGGTAAGAAAAAGTGTACAAATTCCTTAGAGTAAACTTGTTTATGTTTTACATTCTTATGTTTCTGTGTGAACTTTAATGAACTAACATGCATATCGAATTGCCACTTGATAAAAATGTAAAACTAACGAGTCCAATCTAAATTAATTTCCTAGTATTACAAATTGCAGTAATTATTAGTTACTATATAATGCTTAAAACCATTTCCTAAGGGAAAGGAAAAGCTATGCGACCTTTAATGTGAGCCAAAGAATCTTCAGGACACTCTAGAGTCTAAATATATTGTATTATGTCTTACATTTTAACATAATAAAATAATTACATTTCTCTCTAAAACATCTTAATTAATAGAAAAAATTAGAGTTGTTAAATTACTCTCCACATATCGGGTTTAATTTTTTCTCCAAAACCTCGTTTTACAATTTATTCTTATAATTGTAGTATATTGAAATTTTGAATATATACTGTTGTTTACTAATCACATGTGGGCATGCCTCGTTAGGATTTTAACATTTGTTATAATTGCCATTATGGAGAAACCATTGTAATGGAGGACAAAGTGCTAATTCTTAAAGAATGAACTTGCTCTAATGCATTCAACTCTAGACACTCTTTAAATGCTTATAATGTAATTGTATAATATGGTTTACTACTAATACATGTCACTCAACATTAGGAATATGAAGAAAATGATGAATCACCTGAAGAAGAATCTGAGCCCAATGAACCTGAACCTGAAAAGCCTCAAGAAAATGAAGAACAAGTTGAAGAAGTTACCAAGGAAGAATCGGAGGTAGAGGAAGAAACACAAACACAAGAAGAAGAGGCTGAGCCTCCTCCTTTGATAGCAACTGATGATGCTACAAATGATTTATTGGTATGTTTTTGGCTATAACATAATGTTTTGTATGCACGTTTGTGTAACAGGCTTGACAAGATATACATTTCTCCACTTGTGTAGGGTTTGGATGAAATAAATCCAAAAGCTGCACAACTAGAGGAAAGTAATGCCTTGGCACTTGCAATCGTACCACCTGGTGGTAAGGCCTAAAAATAATTAATAATTGGTAAAGGAATATCAATTGTTTTGATACATGCCTTCCCAGACATTGCAATGTGATTCTATAATGCATATTAGCATTTGGAACTTGAGAGATTTATAGTTTTAAAACAATCATACATTGTTTGAATTTCTTAGGGTATGTTTGATAGTTGAGTTTAGGTGGGAAAAGGAAGGGAAGGGAAGGGAGGGGTTAGGGGAGTTTAATTGTTGTTTGGGAGTTAATTAATTTGAAGGGAAAGAGTTAGGAAGTTTTTCTAAACTCTTCAAAATCTTACTAACCTTGATTTTGTGAGTTCTTCTATTTTGGAAGATATTTTTAATCTATTAGAATATTTTTCTTCATATTAATTATTAAGTGAATGAAATAAAAAAAAATATTTTTAAAAAAGTGTGATGTTAATTTTTTTAAAAATAAAAAAAATATTTTTTAAAAAAATTTTAATTTTTAGAGGGAGAATTTTTTAAAAAATATAAAAAATAGAAATATGAATTTTAAAAATATTAATTTTTAGAGGGAGAAAAATATATAATTTGTGTATTTTTAAAAACAATTTGAAGAAAAGAATAGTTTTTTTGTTCAAAATATATTAATTTTTAGAGTGATATTTTTCAAAAAATTTATAAAAATAAAAATATAATTTTTAAAAATATATTTTTAGAGTGATAGTTTTAAAATATATTAATTTTTTAAAAATATTAATTTTTAGAAGAAGAAAAAATTTAATTTTTGTATTTTTTGAAAAAATAAAAAATATAAATAAAATGTATTAAAGACAATAATTTCATTTATATAATTAACCGTTTTATCACGCTCCCCTCTCCATATTTAACATTTAAACAAGAGAGAAGTTTAACATCTTTCTCCTTTTCTTTTCCTCCTCTCCTTCTCTTTTCAAACCCCTCTCCTCTCTTTTCCTTCAAACTCTCAAAAATTATATATGTTCATTTGACTTACTCTATGAAAATCCAAAAAAGCAAACACAACATGTAAAAAGCAACAATTAGTTTTTCAACTTTATCGTATAAAGTTGACAAAGAAAAATGATGTAGATAGTTGTAGTAGAAAGAATAATATAATGTCATTTTTATAATATTATTTTATTTAAAACCCATCAAGATGCCAGTAACATTTTTGTTCCTTAATCATATGAATTAATTAAAACTTGAATAGGAAAAATTTTAATTTAGTTTTTTTTTATGTCAATTATGCCAACAATGAATTAACTATATTATTATTTGATAATTGATTTAATTCTAAGATTATGCAAGTTTATGCAGGAAATAATTCAAACAATCTTGCTTTGAGTAACATTGGCGGGACTACTGGTTGGGAACTTGCACTGGTTACAACACCAAGTAACCATACTAGTCAAGCTCCAGATCGCAAAATGGTTTGTTTATAACTTTTGACGTTACAATTCATCTCTTCATTTATCTGTACAAACTATAACCAATCAAATCAATGGTGATTACATTATCGCATCCCTACATATTTAGCCTATGAATACTCTTTCACATTAATTATTTGTAAAAGCCTAATTGAAAACGGTTGTGCATGTACTGCTTATAATAACTTGGACTGTAGTGTGTGCATTTAGGTCATGGTCAAATTAGCTCTTTATGCATTTAGCTTAATGAGATTCTAGGTTACAAGTCGCATTGCAAGAAAATAATAACTATTTTCTTCCTTCTTTGTTTGAGTTAGGCTGGTGGGTTTGACAAGTTGTTACTAGACAGTTTGTATGAAGATGAAAACGCTAGGAGACAACTTCAACTCCAAAATGCAGGTTATGGACATGGGGGAGCAATGGCTACACAGAATCCATTTCATCAATATAATCAGCATGACCCATTTGCAATGTCCAACAACGTAGCACCTCCACCTAATGTGCAAATGGCATTAATGGCTCAACAACAACAAGAGCAACAAATGATGTTCCAACAACAACAAATGATGTACCAACCACAACAACAACAACAACAACATAACATGATGATGGTCCCTCACCAACAACCGTATAACCAATACCCTCAACAAATGCAAACTACAGGTTCTCATAATCCATTTGGAGATCCTTTACCTGTACCGAATTATCCTCATAATTCCACGCCTCAACAAGGAAATTATAATTTAATGTAGACTTCACCTTCTCCCCCCATTTTCCGACGACAAAAAATTGTGTTTTTCTTGTTGCAATACATAACATTTTATATCTTATTGAAATTCTTTAATTCATTGTTCACCGGTATATAAAATGTAATTCTTTTTTCTCATTTGCAATTATCAATTATTCATTTTAACAAATTATTATATCACTTGCAAAAAAATAACAATAAAAAAATTGTTTCATCAATATTTCATATAAACTAAAGCATAATATTCTTAGAAGTATTAAAAAATATATTAAATAATTTAAAACTTTGTTAAAACAAAAAAAAATATCAATTACCAATCTTTATTTCTTTCTATAATTTTTTATGCAGCAAAAAATATTTTTAGTTTAACTTAATCAGTTACAACTAACCAAATATTTTTGTATTGGAGATAAAATAAAGAGGTTAAAAATAAGAAAAGTTAATTGAATCTTTTTTTAAAATAATTTTTATAAACTTTTAAAAAATATATAAAATGAGAAATATAAAAGTATGGAGATAGAATCATGAACACAATTTATATTAGTCAACCCTTATAACAATGGGTTACGTCCAATCTTAATCCTCGTTAAGAAATTTTATTAATTATTTCAAAATATTTATATACGTGTATCTTTATTAATCTAAGTATTTTTATATAAACTTCTTTAAGCTCAAATAAACTTTCAATTTTGACTATCATTATTTATTTTTTACCTGTTTTTCAAAAAATGTTAAACAATTAATAAATATCCTTTTTTTCAAAGCTAAAAACCTCTAAATCTATTGAAGTCAAATTTTGCATTGACTCTTTCATTTAAATATTAATCTTGGTTCTATAATTCTCTTGACATGTGTTTCTCATTAAATAACTTATAATCACAATCAAATTATTGCTTCAACCGAAAAAGATGAAAGTTGTTACTCATGAATATTGTAATAAAACTAATTTTTATTTTTACATTCATACCATGATAACAAAATTCATCATTCAAGTGAGTAATCATTATCAATAAAATTTTATTAAAAAAATAATAATCTTACAAAAATAATTCATATTCACCTTTAATACACGATAAACAATGTTACTCGAGTTTTTTTAATAGACCATGTAACCAAAATTTTATACTCCAATAACCATTAATAATCGAAGAATAGTCATATTCACTTTTAATTTCATCAACAGTGTTCCTTTCAAAACTCATATACCAGTCAGTTATTGTGTTTTATATATTTATTCTTTAAAAGAGTTCAACCTTTACAAATAAAAGGTTACATGGGAGAAAATATACACACCTAGAAAGACAATCAAACATAACAAAATATACATTCAAATCCCCATGTAAATAAAAAATTTAGAATAGATGTAGTACGTTGCTTACCAGGTTGCTTTATACAATTATAGATGTTATTCTATAAATTCATTAATACTTTGGTAAATTTTGCTTTCAAATTGTTGAAAATAAATAGAACAAATAGTTGTACTATAGTTAAAATTATTGCCTTGAAAGCAAATTTTCGGCAGAGCCTGGTATAATATTATTTTCTCTCTAAGATTACATAATCACGCGCTTAAACTTGTACACTCAAGACCAAATGTGTTGGAGTCTCACAATAAGTGTCCCAAAGGGGATGAATATTAAGAGAAATAAACGGTATTGATAGAAAAAAGAACGATTCTATAAAAGGACACAATCCCTTTCTATATACGTTATTATGTTAAAAAGTATATTACTACCAGTTCTCTACTAAATATGCTAGAATTGTTCCCGCTCTTCTTCACGGTTCAAAAGATATGATAGGTACTGCTCTGCTCTTGTTATTGAACTAAAAGCAAAATTCAAGGGATTAACCCTAATTGCAAGTAGACAATTAACCCTGGTTACAAGTAGACAACTGAAAAGGAAACAAATGCAATAAGATAAGATAGATATCAGAGAATTGGTGACTGCCCTGTGGCAACAGCCACCTTCCAAAATACCCAAAATGATTCCTATCCTTCCTCCCCGCCTTCCATTCCCTCAAATATTTCCTCCTCTGGCCTGATTCGCGCTTCACTCTCTCCTCTCTCCTCTCTCCTCTTGCCATGTATGCAATTTGTTAAGCAGCTTTCTTATAATCCTGCATACCCGCTTCCTCCCCCTTACTTCCTATCTTACCCTTCCTCCGATGGTATGTCTTCAATGGATGCCCATTTTGTTGAGCCCATCAAGATACAATGTAAAGTAAAGCTCTCCCAAAATTTCAGAGCAATAATTATTTAGAAAACCTAATCAACAATTCTTGTTTCTTAACATTGTGCATTTCAACGGAAAACTAATTCTTTAACGGCTCAAAAAATATAAAAAAAATAATAATGAAGCTCAACTCTGATAAAACTCAAGCTAGTTTGTAACTTAAATGAAGCTTAACACCCAATGAAGTCTATTACAGTTATATATACATGAATATAATATGCGCCCTAAATTGAACAAGTGTTAGTTTGTTTAGAGGAATATTATAAAAGTTTCTGCTTTATTAGTTGGACAAATATATACATTGGATAAACAGATAATCAGCAGTTCTGCATACACTGGATAAACAGATCCATGTTGGGTCATGTAGAGTGAGAGAGGATTAATCCCAAAACTATCACCAGTTCTGCATCTACAGGAATTTCCATTTAGCATTTGTCCTTCTCAATCTCTAGAGAGCCCATTTTTCTAACCTTGCTTTTTGTGGACTCTTCAATGAGCTCGCGTTGCACCATGAATATCCTAAACAGTAAGTGTTCAGCTTGGTATTATTACATGGGTATGCAATACAATACAAAATAAGGCACAAAATATATCATCCAGATATTGAACTACCAAATCAAATGATTGCCAAAAACTTTACTTCTCTGTCATCTTAAGCTGTCCTTCGGTTCCCCAAACAAAATAGTTGGGATTAAAGAATGTGATATGAGTTATATCACCACCCACCTCCATAAAAAGGACTAGAAAATAGAAATACAGATAATAAACATTGTCATGGCAAATATAGAGGACATGCACAAAAGATGTAATTGTTAAGACTTCCTTCAATACTGCCTTTGCTCGCTTAGGGGTCCTTTGGTTTGAGAAGATGTATTTTGCTTTCATTTCTGTTTTCTTTCCACTTTTAATTACAACAAATGTAATCTTATTTTAACTTTATTTGGTATTTTCAAAGATTTGTATAAAATACAGTAAAATCAATAAAAAAAAAAGTTTGTGTATTGTTTCCTATCCAAATCTTTTGAAAATAAAAAACGAAATAAAAGTAAAGTAGCATTTTAGTAATTAAAGGTGATAAAAACAAGAAATGAAAACCAAAAGCTTGTTTTTCTTTTAAATAAACAAACCCTTGTATTTCCCAAGACATTCCTCATAAAATAGGTACACTGTCATTCACCATCAAAACTAAGAATCATTGTGCAGTAGCCTGGCAAACGGGTCAAGCCAGTGATGCGGATGCCCCCTTTTGTTGAAAAAATATATTTAAAAAAACAATTTCTTTACTACCACTAACATTACTCATAAACACTACTAGTGATTGGTGACACACGTTTCTGTAGACATCCAGTACAAAACATTATTAATGACAACAACATTTTACACTAGTGTCCCAGCCAAACATCACTATTTTGACAAGTAAAACTAAATTGTAAAGAAAGGAAGCATAATGATGCATAACAAATTAGGAAATTTGAGCTGTTTTTGACCTACAGATTTGACATTATTTTACACTTTAGGATTTTGATCACCTATTTTAACAAATTTTATCTTTTTATAAATTCTGCTTTAAGAATGGTTTATATTTGATGTATCTAGTTAGGATTTTTGTTTTCTTGGGTTAACATTTAGGTACCTTAAGATATTCAGACTTTTGCATCATTGATTATTGGTATTTTGTTTCCTTTGAAGAGTATCTGAAAACAAGTCAAAATACAATAGGATTCACATAATTTCTGCAAGAAGATGCACATAATGCTGAGTAATATTAGACAAAAGAAAGAAACTATTACACAATTTAAAATTATCATCTTCATTAGATTTAATCACTCCCCATTCTACTTCTCCATCCAAAATCACACATTAATATTAGATAGGCCGGTTCCAAATCACAAACATGCAGAAAGGAGTTAGAAAATAGAGAAGGGGGAGAATTAGCACTTGTTGTGAGAAACTTGAAATCTGGTTCTAACATTCCATCCCCTTCTTTTTACAAAACATACATTAACATTTTCTACATGACCCGTCGAAAAACCAAAAATCAATATGATGTCAACAAATGAAGACACAATATGAAACTTCCAAGTTAAAGAAGAAGCTTGCTCACCGCAGCAACTGGCATAGCTAAATTGTGGATCATCCTTCCTCATCTTCTGAGTGAGCTACATTTTCTGAAAATGTTAGAACCTTCACTTTCACCGTCCCCTCCATCCCTTCTGGGCTATTTACCTCCACATCAGTATCCCCACCATGAGTATTTGCATTATCTGAAGTCACAAATACAAGCAGGTAGAATTTAGTTTGAGCTCATAAATTACATTATTTTCATCCACCCCAATGCTTACTTTGTTTCATTTCATTATTCAGATGTAGAATAACCATTCAGTTACAGTGAGCACAAGGTTCATATAAAAAAAAATTTACACGAGCCTTTAGAGTAGCAAATAAACAAATAATATGGTTCTCAGAGGTTCATTAACAGGTTAGCAATTGTAATTGGCGTGTATTAGCCAACCCACCCCATCATAAGTACATACACCCATCACATTGCTTTTCAGATTCCAAGTTTCAGAATTTTAACAAGCAAATGGCACTACTGCACCTGCCAGCCAATCAAAACTAAAGCCTGAACTAACAGCAACTACAAGATTCCGATTTCCATTCGTCAAGAGTCTAGAAAGGAAACAAACACCAACAAACATCACTTTTCACTGCGACTCGCACATAGAAAATGTAGCAAAACCTGACGAATGACCTACATAAGCTGAAGTGGAATGAGTCGCACTCACATTATGGCCCTTGAAAAAAATGCACAATCAGCGTCAGACCCATTTGCTTGTGCTCCTTCAACAAAAAATTTTGCACAAAAATTGAGACGAAAGTATAACTTTTTATTTTAATTAAGCACCCCATCCCCAAAAGAAAAGAAAAAGCTTTTCTTTTTTTCTTTTGTTTTCATTACAAAAACATTCTAGTATACGGCATGCAAAAGGCTATCCAAAATTATAAATATCAAAAGCAACAATCAAACACCACCCCCAAATCAAACTTTACACACCCATGTCCTTTTTTTCCTTAATTCCCCCGAAAACCCCCAAACACGAAAAAGCCCCGTTTTTTTCTCTTTAATTTCTCCACCCACCACACACCAAAGCGAACAATCAAATTTTGAAAAAAAAAGGGGGAAGGGGGGGATTCAATGTGATGCAATTAGTGACCTTGGATGTAGAAATTGGAGGAGGGCCATCCGCGGAGGGTGGCGAGGAAGAGCGATTCCTCTTGGGAAAGAGAGTGTTCGGCGTCATTGGTGAGTTTATGTACGAGGTCGACAAATTTGGAGGGAGAAGGACGAGGTGGGACCCAGAAGGAGGAACCAGGAACGAAGGGGAGCCAATCAGGGGTAGCCTTCTTGACGAGAATACGATGAATAAGGTCATCGAAGAGCTTGAGCGTCACATCGTACTCTGCCATGTCGACCTGCACAAGTTGCGGTTCGGGCTTGGTCGATCGGTGGCGAATGGAAACACTCATCGATGGGATTGCGAAGGTTTTGGGGTATAGCCTCTTTGCCTTCGCTAGAAACCCAGCCATAATCAGGAGGATTAACCCTTGCCGAGAGAGATAGATGAGGTTGGTTTGGTTGCTTGTGAATGGGAGAGAGAGAGAGAGAGAAAGAGAGAATAAAAGAGGTTTGGTTGGGACTTGGAATTGGGAACGAGAGACGGTGGATTCAGGAATCAGGAGCGCTATTGAATCGATGGATGGATACATACCCTTGACGCGCTGTTAATTTTCTTTTTCTGTTTCTCAATTTTTTATTAAATTAACTAAAAACTAAAAAGTTATTAATAGAGTGCAATCTAATTTATTTTTTTTTAAATAAACAAAATTAACAACTTACTGAAATTAAGTTATGGCTTGGGAGTTTTAATTAGAGTTCACTTGATTAGGATGGTTAATTTTTTTCGCATACTATTTTAATTTATTTTTCTAAAATTAAATATTTATTTTTCCTTAGTTGTATCCCGGTATTTTCACCTGTTACTTATCTACAACAACCATATTATCTTTTTTTTTTTTAATAACTGAATAACAATCATGATAAATTTTTTTTTCTGGACAACCCTGATAGATTTATTCTAATTTAATCGGTAAAAACAAATATTATTTTTTAAACATTTACCGTTATATAAATTAGATGCTTCTTCTGATATAAGGGGCATTTTATTCCCTTGTTAGATGAACTGTCTTGTTAGATTAATTGATATAATTTGTTTAAAGATGTGAGAATATTAATATATTTTTTAACTAAATTACTAATTATATTACTGTTACATTTAAGCTTGTTTTAAGTGTAAAAAATTAATTAATTTTTTTAATCAAAAGAAGTATAATAAATTTTATTTATAAGTTATAAAATTTATATATAAATTTTTTAAAAGTAAAAAAAAAAAAAACACTTTGACTAAAATTTTGAAAGTAAAGATACACAAACAGGCTCGTAGAATATATTTAGATTCAAGTTTAATTAATTAATTGGTGTTAAAAAATAATTTATCATATTTCATATTATTAAAGTATTTTTCAGTTTTGTTTATAGTATTTAATTTGAATTTTAGTAAATATAAATATATTAATACTTATAGAAATAGTTTTATAACCTATGATAATTTTATTCGGTTCAAGTATGATTGTTTTTAACAAAAAAAAAAATTAATAGTCTAGACAACAAAAAAATTGCTAAAGTGTAGGCATGTTTTACATCCTCCTAAAGGTATATAATATTTTCACATTATCTTATTGACTTGTAATAATCTTTTAAATTTAATGTGTACTAATATTTTTTAAGTAAATATTATTTGTTAATTTTAAGTACCCCACCTTCGTGAGATTTATAGGACCATACAAGAAAAATAAAGTTAAATTATTGTCATTTTAATTTTTGTATTATAAATTAGTACTCATTTTATTATTATAAAATAAGATGAAAGATATTGAGTAATATGCCTCTTGTTGCCTTGTAAATAATAAAAAAAACAAAACAATATTGCTTCTATGACCTTATGTAACTTTATTAAAATAAATTATAAAATTGAAGAAATTGAAACATTTGATAAAAACTAAGAATATGAAAACAATGACGAAGAGGAAAGTGAAGTTAATCCTTGCACTAATAGGTATATGGGAAAATTTTAAAGCTCACAGTATTTTACAAATGAAACAAATTAAATAATTTATTAAAAATATGTTTCATGGACGTGTTTAATTTAATTTATTTTTATTATTATTAAAGACATTGTTTGTATTATTTGTTCCTATCATTGTTTGTATTTATTATATTTACATTATTGTATGTTCATGATTTAGATTCATGATAAATTATAATTAGTATTAATTATATGCATAATAATGTTATAAGTTAAGGATATTTTATATATGCCAAGTTATTATTGTACAGAGGATAATACAATTATCAATTCATTGACAAAAAAAAATTTATAATAATTTTTTACATTCAAAATAAATAAAATTTTATATTTTCTTAAAATAATGTCTGGATATTTTTGTATTAAAACTTTAGAAAAATATATAAGAAATATCTACTTTTAGAAAATATATATTAAATTTGACCAGTGAGATATTTTAATACTTTAAAAAGTTATTAAATAACTGATACTTTAAAAATACAAATGTTGAAGTTAATTTCTTAAAACTTATCCTTTTGGTAATTTTATTATTTAAAAATACTTGTATAATTTTATCAAAAAATAACTTATATTTTGAACAAGTAGTTGTATAGGTGTCATCCAGATACAAATTTAACTTTTCTGTAAGTTACTTTTCACATTAAAACATCTATAAAAAGTTATTCTATCATAAGTATTTATATAAAAATTTCATCCAAAAATGGCTAGATATTTTATTTTTTTAATAAAAGCTACTATCTTTAGACATTTAAATTTATATTATGTTTAGTAAAATCAGCTTAAAATCTTATAGATTGTAAAAACTTATAGATTATCATTGCTAAGTTAATTGAAAATTTACTACTTATATCTGGCTGATTGAATCAGTGTTGCTTGATAAAACTAACTACACAATTAGTTAAAATGTATTAAATAACTAAAAAAGTTATTATTATTATTTCGTGAAAGTGAAAAATATTTGAAAGATACAAAATTAAAAGAGCTACGTTTTAATAAGCTTAAAATTATTTGAAGTAACTTTTTACTTTTTAAAAGCTAATATATATATATATATATATATATATATATATATATATATATATTAAAATCTACATTTCACTAAACTCTCTAATTTTTTGTTTATCACAAAACTCTATGAGTTTATTAATTAAAAAAGTTATAAATTTATTAAAATTTTAAATAAATCATAATTATGTATTTTAAACTCAATCTTAGTTAAAATATTGATTAGTGTCTTTAATCTATTATAATTTTAATGAACATTTTTTTAAAAATTCCAATCTGTACTTTTAAAACACTAACTAATAATTTTTTCTTAAAAAACATTTATATGTGCAAGCAAGGCATTACTAAACTACAAAACAGTAAACACCTGCAAAAGTACTGTAATGAATGTCACATATAGAGCGGTCAAAAAAAGTCCATTTAGCTCTCTAACTTTAATTTAATAAATTTTATATTTAAATTAAAACAATTCTAAATTTTTATTTTAATAAAAATTTGAGATACACACAACATAAAAATTTAAATTAAATATAATATATATAAATAATGATAATAATAATAATTAATAAATTAAAAAAATAAAATAATTATAAAATATTTAATTTTACTTGTTTCATTTATTATTTTAAACTAATAAATATATATATAATTAATTACACTATAACATTAATATAATACAGAAAAATATTATTGATATAATAAATTTAAACATATACTTATATATTATATATAAATTAATAAATTAATTTTTTTATATTTTTAATTTATGTAAATATTTATTAATTATTAAATTATATATATATATATTAAAAACTATATTTTTTTAATAAATAATCTATCTATATCTATATAAAATTCATTAAAAATTATTTAATATTCTACATATTTATATTTATATTCAAAATAACTATATTATATATAAATTTAAACTGAATGTATAATTATTAAAAGTTATTAAATAATATCAAAATATATAAAAAAATTAATTAAATTTTTTAAAATAATCATTAAATAGTATTTTATAAAATATTATTTTATTATTTAATTGTTATTTAGTTAAAATATTTATTATTAATTTTAATTAAAATTATAAATTATTAATATATTATATTAAATTTTATTAAAAAAATTAAATATAAAAATTAATTTCATTTAATTTAATTTTATAAAATAATTTATTTTATATTATTTTTATGATAAAATTTTAATATATTAAATAAATATTTTTTAATTTTAAAATTAATTTTTATTTAAAATATAGATTTTAATTTATTTAAATAAAATAATTTAATAATATTATAAATAAATATAATAATTATTAATTATTTTTAAAAATAAATGGACTAACACATTCCTAACACTAGTTCATTATTATTTTTATATTAGATTAGGGCTTCAAAAAATGTGCTATACATTACTTTAACCTTTTTGACATACGTGTCATAGAATGATTGGTCAGGGTGACGAAAACCCGCAATAAGTCCTCTGGAGAACAAGCAAAATGGCACAATCGCATCAGTTAATTTTCAATAGACGTTCAATAAAACCTAAAATCTAAAAGTTCCATTCATTTTCACATTCACAAACCGAAAACACTCACTGAGCGGAATCTCCAATGGCGGAAAACCCTCCCGAAACGGCGTCGTCGAGCTCACAACCTTCTTCTTCGTCTCAGAAATCGCCCCAAGAAGATTCACCTCAGGTTCCACAATCTACATCAACTATGCTGCCCTTTTCGTGCCTATGCCTTTCATTACTCTATTGAATAAAACCCCCATTTTCGTTTATTTGGAACTCAAACAAGGGTTTTCTTTTGTTTTGTATTGCTATTTTTGTTTATTTTTTCCCTCTCAAATCCGTTGTTGTTTGATTTCTTACCTGATAGACCAGAACCATTCTCGGTTCATGGTGCTTTCAAAGCATCAAATCCGTGTTCTTCTGTTTTTTTCCCCATTTCGAACACATTTTTTGACCGAATGGAAGATGTTAAGATGGGGAATCGTTCAGCCTTTTCTGTGTTAATAATTTAGCTTAAATTTGTGCCATGATTTGTCCATATTTTGAGATTGTTCTGTGAACATGTGAACGAAAATGTTCCCTAAATTTTTGTTTTAAATAAAATGTATTTGAATCGTGGTCATGATTTTATGTGCGTATTGTTGGCTCAGGTCCCGGCATTTTCCAATTTTCCGCCGTTCCCAGGTGGATATTATCAAATGTTTCCTGGTATGTACCCTGCGCTAGTTCCAGTGCCACAAAACGATGAACATGCGAACCGTGGAGCTGGTATATATGCTGTTCCTGTTCACCACTTTGATAGACACGTTACTGGCCTATCATACAACACTCTGATTCCGTTGACTTACCGCACACCCACGTAAGTGGCTAGTTATTTTGTCAAGATGAAATTCTGTCATGTGTCAAGCTTAATTACTTGCTACTTATTCATGGACCCATCTATATTGTGCAGAAATTAAACCTTTTTTAATAATAGAAGAATGGGGCTTTAAGGATTGAACCTAGACTTAGGCTTTGATACCATGTCATAAACCAACTGCTTATGGTATTAGGTGAAAATATGTGAATTGTTGTGTTATATTTCTTACAATTACATGCTACGGGGTTCATCTGAAGCTAGACATGCACAATCTTCAAAGTTCTAGCAAGTACTCATAGGGGTCATCTTTGGACATGGGTTGGGCATCAACATGTTCAGGGAAAATTGGTCCTGATTCTGTGTTCTTGACATTTGATAAAATTAACAACAATTGTTGGGTTGGGCTAAAAATCTTGGACTTCTTGCTAAGATGCAGACGAAAGTTCATCAGTGGAATCTACCAAAGTGGTACTGAACTAAGGAAGAAGGCACAAAAGTTCTTCATTTTCATTTTTTCTGCCTTCTTTTCCCAAGAGATAATTAGATATATAGTCTTGGAAGTTGGAAAACCCTTCCAGCACAGGCAAACTCAACTGAGTTTTGCTATAAATTATTATGCTAGTAAATACTGACTGTTGATTAAAAACTATTCTGAAGACTGTAATAATGATAATATCATAACTACCTATAGAAAAATTGAAATCAAGTTATACTTGATTAATATGAAATTAATAAAGCTTTTAAAGAACTGCCCATAGATCATATTCTCACTTGAATTTGGCATCCAAGCATTCAAGGAAAATTGGACCTGATTCTGATTCCCGTAAGCATGTGTTACACTTGTTGTTGGACTTCATTTGTGCTCCTGCATTGATTTTGAATATTCCGTGTGCTTTCAAAGTTATCAGTAGGTTAAGTGATTGATATAATATTATATTTTTCTTGTACACCAATTTCATTTACTGCTTGTTTAAATCCTATTAATCCTTATTCTCAAGTGAAGTTACAAAGAAAGGACATTTTAAATAATGATGGTAATTGTTTTATTGGTGAAAATTCTATTTTAAATTTATTTATTTTGTAAAAACAAATATGCTTGTTAATGTTCATTGATGATTTGTTTGACTGAATGGGCACAATTAGCAATAGGCCAAGTTCTGAAGCTGCTGCTGCCAGTGAAAATCAGGGGCAAGCAGCACAACAACAGCAACCTCAGCAGCCTGGACCTCAAAGACAAGTTGTCGTTAGGAGATTTCAAATTGCATTTCAAATTGATTTGTTGCTTATGTTGAAGCTGGCAGCTGTGATCTTTTTGTTTAACCAAGATGGATCAAGGCAGAGGCTTATTGTACTTGTGTTTTTTGCTGCTCTTGTATATTTGTGAGTATTTACTGTTTACCTTATTATTTTTTTAAGTATGTTTTCTGCTTGCCAGTTCTGCCATATGTGATCATTAGGTTTTAGGATACAAATCCAGAAATCTGATTTAGATCCACCCACCCCTCTCCTATCTTGTGTTTTGTTTATTCAATTCTTTATATACCAGGGTCGTTTTATTTGGACTTGGTATGGATGTGCATGTGTGTAAATATGAAGGCCATGCAATAACGTAACATTGCTGTACTCAGTAGTGTTTAGGTTGTGAATAGGAGCTGTAGTATTTACTAGTTGAAACGTTGTCAGGTACCAAACTGGAGCTTTAACGCCAATTATAAGATGGCTTTCACAAGGGATGCAGAGAGCAGCAGCACCTCCTCATCCACCAAGACCTGCAGCCAGGGCTGAGAATGTTCCTGCTGCCAGGCCAGAGGGTGACAATGCTGCTCCGGCAGGTATGATCTGTACATTTTATGCTTATGCCTTATGGTTTTGCATGTGCTTGTTTTTTCCACTCTAGTGATAGAGCTTATGCGATTTGTGATTTAATTTGGCAAGTCTTTTCTTCTTTGAAGCTTGTAAGGTTCATTTTATTTTATAATATTTTGTTTATTTATTTTCTTTGGGTTGAATTTCATTTTCTATTACTTGTACTGGTTCTGGATGGGAAAGTATCAACTTAAGATGATCACTTAATGACATGATGACACATACTTACCTTGGCTTCTTAACTTTTAGAAGGTCAACCTGAAGTCGATGGGAACCAACCTGCTAATGATGCAGACCGAGAAGTAGAGAATGAAAACGTTGCAGAACCTGGCAGAGGCAATGGGGGAAACCAGTGGTGGGGCATTGTGAAGGAGATCCAGATGATTGTCTTTGGATTTATCACTTCACTTCTCCCTGGGTTCCACAACCATATGGATTGAACTATATTTTGTAGCTTACCAGGTTGTGGAATTGACATTATAGCCTATATGAGCACGCCAGAGACATAGGAAAGGGTTTTCTGAAATAAACTGTATAGATCAGAAGTTCCGAGCATCATAACTGATACATACATAGGTGCAGCTATTATCCAGCGGAAGACTAAAGTATGGTGCAAGTATAGGATGCCATTTTTGTATCTACTTGGAATGTTGATAAAACGGTTTTTGTGGCTTCCAGTGCGGAGGGCTATAGGAGCACCTTCAAGGGCTTTAGCTTTTTTCTTTTCAGTGTCCATTTATTATTTCAAGTGTTACATGACTTGTTTCTTTTCAAACTTACATCTTTCAAAGTGACTAATGCTTTATCAATTTCTCTCCAATTATCTTTAGCTCAACGTTAAAATTGACTCGCCTAATTGGATTTGTACCCAGCACGAGCCTTTGCTCAACCTCTAGAACTGTGTTGAACGTTAAATTCCAAACCACAAAAATATTGTAAATCAACGTCGTATATATAGTTATCTGCAAGCTCCTTTATCACTCTTGTAAAGGTTATATTCCAACCAAAAGTATTGTACCTGACACAGTCCTTCCCGGCTCACGGTCCAAAGCTATGTTACTGTTGATAATTCCTTGTCACCGGCATAATTTATTTATTTTTATTTAGGATCACTTATACTTTTTATAGAAGATAATTTTAATACCTGTATGATTGAACTTGTTTTGAAGAGATAATTGTATATTAAAATAATTATTTTTATCAATTCTTTTAAACTTTTTGAAAATAAGTGATAATTTTAAAAAAATGTTACTAACGTGTTATTGAAGTAAAAACAATGTTAATATCGTAATAAGATTAATTTTTTCAGCATAATTGTTTTTTATATGTAAAGCTCGAACTCGAGACTAAGGTAATTGAATATTATATATAAAATAAAGCTTACATTATACAATACATGTAAAATCATTTAGTAACAAAAATTGTAAATTGTTTTGGGGATCAAAATACAAAGCCAAAAATTAAAAACTAGATACTTATAAGTACTTGCAATTGAGGGTTAGAGATGTGGATTGTGATTTGTGAAATAATTTGACCGTCAATGGTCCATTGAATTGAAGTTTGTTGAAACGATATCTTAAAAATAGAATGATTCAATGACCCGTTAAAAAAAAGAATGGTTCAGATTAATCTTAAAGTGATATTTTCTGAAGTTTGTTAACCTCCTTCCCTACCTTCCCATTAATAGAGTTGCATGTGCCACTTCGTTTGCAACTCTAGCCCTAGTATGACCTATATGGAAAAGAAAGAAAACAAGATAAGAGAGTGACAATTACAATGTACCTTCTCGTGCTTGAAAATAGGAAAGAAAGGAAAGATAATGTTAAAGCTAGATGCTTATAATTTTCTCCCAACTAGGGAATAAATATAAATACATGGGAAGAGGACATTTTCTTTCTTCTTTCTTTTCTATTTAACCAAATAAGCTAGGAAAAAACCTGTCTTTTATTTCTCTTTATTTTCTGCAAGTGCCTATTTGTTTCTTAATTTAGTAAATATAATGCATTTATAAGACACAATCAACTATTGTGATTGAGTGTACACAAAATACAAGAAAGATTGCATTGGTAGTAATATTTTTTCATGTTGATGAAAACGATTTTTCGGACAAAATCAACCAGATCCTAATTCTCTTAATTCAAGCAACTTAAAAATGATATTTTTTCGATTTATTTTCTTTCTTTTCCTACTTTTTTTCACATTATTTCTTTCTTTGATATTTCTTCTCGCATTTAAACAAAGCATACCCTGTCAGTCACCAATGTCTCATCTGCAATTTTCATCTCCTAGTGCTCGTCCATGCCATTAGTAGATTGGTCTTGTCATTGTTGTGGTTGCTCGGTGCGTGCAATTAGGATACTGAGGTATTGGTATTGGTTATATATGGATGTTTGGTTGTTCAACAGCAATGGAATGTACGATATGGCATTGCTACAGGGAAAAAGGACGGTAATTACTTTTTGTAACACCTTGTAGAATTAGATGTTTAATAGTATTTAAGAACCCTGGTAGAATTTTTTTTTTTTTTGGAAATGTATTAAGCACTCTTAAAATTTTAATTCTAGAAGTAATTTACAAATCAAATTCCCAAAAGAAAAAAATGGATTGAAAACATCAAACACCGTTCTATAATGCGACACGGATTGCAACCAAGCTAAGCAGGAGTTATCAATTGCCATAATATACTTATATAACCCGGATAAAAATATATTTACACATTCATCTCTCTGAGAATCTGCAAAATTTTGAAGGGATACAAGGGAGAGCAGAAGAAGAACTTAATTTTATTGGGACAAAAGAATTGTAATTACAAAATCTATACACATGCCCATACATGATTGATTTTCACCTCACATCTCAGACAAAAGATTGCTAATTTTCCTAAGCTCCTTGAGAGCTGTCATGGCAGTAACCTGCCCTTTGCCAACAAGAACATTTTTAGATCTGTTCTCCAATGGGGGCCCCTGGCCACGGTCTTGTTGGAAAACAGATTCAATTACCTGCACCACAAAAAACACTCCTTAAGATGACAAATATGAAGGCAGGGTAAGGGACATCACCTTGAAGTCTACAACATTTTATGTAAAATCAAAATTTAGTGCATGTTTGGTTCAGCTTATTCTAAAAAACTAATTGTTTATTTTTTCAGTTTTATGATAGAGCTTTTGAAAAAAATAAGTGATTACTTCCTATGATTTAATTGTTTTAAAACATGCTATTATTCAACCAGTTTCATAATTGAACCATTGAGAAAATGATGAAGAAAAAAAAGCACTCAAATTGTGCATATCTTTCTCAATAATTTGTCCTAGAAGAGTGACAGTGGGAAAGAAATTTACCTGAATATGGTCAAGCATAGATTGCCCAATATTCTTCAAAGTGCCCATCACATTCTGGTCAACAGAATCTCCTCTGGTACTAGCAGAACTACAATGCCCATTAGCTTTAGATGAAACAGGTTGTGCTGTGTCATTTTGAGTGCAACTGTTGGCAGATTTTGTAGCCTCGGCAGCATCTCCAACTTTCTCAGAGATAACCTCAACAGTGTTCCGTCCAAACATCCAAAACCACTGGAACTTATTCTGCTTTTTCTCTTTAGGAGGTGCTGCTGAATTTCCTGCATCATCATTGTTGCACCCTGATGTCAGAGGTATGTTCTCAGAATAATCAGAGATTGGAAAAGGTTGATCATTGAGACCGGCATCTGAAGTTTCATTGCATTCATAATTTCCAGCTTCATTATTATTGCATTCTGATGTCTGATGCATGTTTTCAGGAGGATCAGATATTGGAAGGGGCGAACTGGTACCTGAAGCTTCATTGCATTCATCAAGGGGTGCATTAGATGCAACACTGCTTTTCCCTGAGGTAATTTCATGATCATTGGCCCCATTTGGAGGAGTAGTAGGGTCAGAAAACATAGACAAGTCTTCCTCACTGCCAGAATTTCCACTTGGACACCTATCATAAGAAGAGGAATTGTTGTTGCTGTTACAGTCACTATCTTGTCGTTGTCCTTCAACTGTTTCAGAAAGATTATCATGCTGCATTTGTTCTGCATCTTCCTCTGAGCCAAGTGCCTTACGAAGATCTTCTAACAAACTGCGCCTAACCTTGGATTCCTTTTTCCCACTCTGAATCCTTGACTTAGGAGGGTCAGATTCTGCTCTTCTTAAACTGAATTTTACCTTTTCTGTCCATCCCTTTTTCCGAGTGGGAATCTGCTTTTCATTACCATCTTGCTTGAGTTCTTCAGCCTCATGCACAACTCTCCACTTTTCTTCCCAATAGCTTTCAGGTAACAAACTCAGAGGAGTTTTTGGAGACACAGATTCCGAGGGAAGTGTCACAGATCTAGTAAACATCGACTGGTGATGAGACCCTATGAACAAAAGTGACGAGGATGAAATATCAACACTTAGTGCAACAGCCTGCAAGGATTTAGCCTTCTCTAGTAGTTTTTCAATATTAATGTTTTCAGGGAAGTTTAGTAATCTCTGCAGACACTTTGTAGGGTTTTCAGTAGCAAGTAACGAAGATCTTAAATGAAGCAACATTGCCACTGCCATAGCTGAGATAAATGCCCCGCGAGGGGAATTTAAGATCCTGAACTCACAGTCTGTTATGTCATCCGCACTTCTTTCTGTTCTGCTATTATGTGATGCAAAGATTTCATCCCAGATGACCAAGAGATTAGCTAGTGAAAATTCTCGTCCAAATAAAACTCGCAACCATCGAAGAGAAAAGTACTGAGGTTCAACCCCAAGTTCAAACAGATGGCTATGCAGAGATGAATCCACAAGAGACAACAAATAATACAATGCAGTAGAAGCTTCAATTACAGGAGGCAGGCCAGTATGGGACCCAGATACAGGGGAGGAAGAGAAGAAATCAGCCATTGCAACTGAACCATGGGCCCCATTCATTAAAGCATCAAACATACAGTATGCATCATGTTCTATGAATTTCTCGGATAAAACAATGCCTAGCTCACCTTCAGCTCCATAAGCATCACTTAGTAATACAATGGTCTGTATCTCAGGATCAAGTTCATCAAGACTATTGGCTTTCAGGGCGTTTCCACCAGAACCAATTTCATCCTCAATAGAGTCTGGAGTTTTTCTAAAATCAAAGCTGTAAGAAAGATCATTCTCTTGACATAAAAGGCCATCAAATCTGTCTGTAAAGTGATTTTCATAAAGCTTCCGAACTTCTGAAAGGCACTCCAGATCAGCTTGGAGAACATAAAGCAGAGGTGCAAGTAATTCATGCATCCCTATAAATAAGTGAATAAAAGAAATCCATTAATGCAAAATCATTAGTTTCACAGCATATAATACTAAAGCAAAAGTAGCTATCTTAAAGCTAGGAAGCCAGCCAAACTGATGGAATTTGCATTTTACTGAGTATCAATCAAGAGCCTATATGATTTTAAATTTTGATAGAATTGATTTGTGTTTCAGAATGATAATCTAAAAGTGAGTTTTAAAAAATTGTGTTTGCATAGAGTAACTTAAAATTACTCTTAAAAGACAAAATTACCAAAGAGAGTAAAATATAATATTAAAAAAACTGCAATCATCGTTGTTATTTAGCAAATTGAAGTTGGACTGTTTCTCTTTCATCACTTTCTGTGACTTGACTACGAGGGTAACGTAAAAAGCTATGTCACGGTTCAACAGTGAAAACAAAAGCTATCAGCCTTTCTTGTGGGAAAACTGCAACTTGTTTACCATAGACTCACTTCCATTCAACACAAACATTTATCCAAACAGCCGTTTAGCAACTCCAAATTCTAAAACAAACAGATGCTAAATCACTTAATTTTTAATTATCTTTTCTATATTTGTGATTTGAATAACAAAGGAATGCGGCAGTAAATTTAATTAAGGTTGATGTATTGTTTGAGCAATTGCTTGGCTGAGAAATTTACCTTGTCTATAACCAGATTCTGGGTGCCTGAGACACCACAGTAATAAAATTCGTCTCAACATGCTTTGGCATCCTGATGTCTGAAAATAACTGCCATGTTCTGGATATAAACGTGACAAATCCTGGTCAACCATTCTCTCCAGCTCTACGTTGCGAAAAAAGCGACTCCATGTACTATCTGCATATGAAGCCCATATTATATTTAAAACGGATAAAATTCAGTTGTCCATACTGGAAAGAGAAAGAGATGGCTAACCGTTGGAAATTCAGGTAACATAATGCCAACAAAAGGACAACATAATATACGACAATTTCCTTCTTTTAAACAGACTGCCTTTTACCATAACCAATGGTTGATTGCCACTAATAAGGATCTTCACATGCGTTGAATTTCCATAAAATAAGAAGGGCATGTGGCTATATTCCACCATAACAAAATAAATTTTTATTTATGTATCCTTAAAAAAAAAGCAACAGGTATATAATCTGGCAACCCTAAATGGACACTACATGGTAAATATAGTGCACATTAGCAGTGCAGATATCAAACATGCTATCTACTTTGTAGAAATTTAGGAAAGTACATTGGCTGAATCACAGATCCGTAATTAGATTAACAGATTTAACTGCGGATAAGATGCCGGAATGGAGTGAAAAAAACTTAGATTTACCTGGATTTTGTGAAAGGGGATTGTCCATGACAAGATTGGGTGAATTAGTTCCATCCTTTGAAACATTTGGTTCAACCAGAAGATGCCTTCTCAAACTAGCATACCTGACAAGATAAAATACATTCCATGATTACTAAAACTACAAATAGCCATATGAAAAAGCAATCATTTTTAATGTGAAATTATGATAGATATAAAAAAACACATTGTCAAAAAGCTAGGTAAACACTGAATTCATAAATTATACAATCAATCCTCAATACCAGACAGAGAAACAGCAATCATTTTTTACTTTCCACCAATGAAATTATAGACGCAATCTACACTCGTAGGCAGATATTGACACAGAAGAAGATAGATTGCCTTAAACCAAAAGAAAGCGTCTCAAGTTCACATGTCAGCATTTTCTTTAATGAAAATAAAATTTATCTCTATATCAGTATGGCTTTATCTACATTACAAAAAAATAAAAATCAGCAGCATCTCCCTTTCTGCTGGGAATCAAAACTAACTATATTCAAACAAAATCAGCAATCAGCATAGTAAAACTACAAGAATGCTCACAATCAATACGTAAAAGGAAAAAAAAACAGGTAACTATTACATCAATATATCATCTATCAACTAAAGCAATGCGATTTAAGGAAATTTACTTCTTTATTAAAATCAAACCAAAAAAACAGTAAATAAAAACACGATTAAAGACGTGATGATTTACCTCCTTCTAGAATTAGCGGTGACCCTGCGAAGATCATCAATGGAAGTTGAGGACGAAGACGGCAACACCCCAAGATTTACACGCCACCGAAAGCCTCTAAGATCACCAAATCGCCGATTCTCCGGTGCTGATCGCCGAGAAGCATCGTCGGCGCTCGCCGGAGACGGCAACAACGGATCCTTCATAACCGGTGGCATGATCATGCAGCAATTCCCCACAAACCCAGATGCTCAAACGCCACGAAAATCAAGAAAAACTCGAACTTTCTAGATAAAATCACCAAACTTATCCTCAAAACTCTGAACTCAAAAGTAACAAATAAAGAAAAAACCCTAATTTACTTTATTACTCTATCTGTTAAAGCAATAAGAAGCTCACCAAATTGAGTTTAGAGGGTGAAGAATGACTAAATTTATGAGGAAAAAATGAAGTGGGTGGGTAAGTTTTTAGCAGAAAGAATGAATGATTTGCACAGTTGCATGTTTGTGTGTAGAAGTATTGGTATAGAGAGAGAGAGAGAGAATAATTAGTTTGTTTTGTGCACAGAAAAAGGGGAGAGAAGAAGGAGAAAAGGGAGTGGTGCAATGGTGTTGGTGTGATTTGTGCTTGACCTGTTAGGATGGAAGGTATGGTGAGTTGTCTTATTCTGCAAAATTTCTACATCATTTTGTGGTCTTTTTCTCTTTCTCTTCTTTCTTAGTGTTGTGTCATAAATTCATAGTATAATATCACATGGCTATCGTGTTGTAGAAGTGAAAATTGCTAATGTTTTGTCACATTCTGGTCAATGGTGGCTGCCTCTGGCTGTTAGTATTATCCTTAACTATTACAACTCTTTCCAAAACTATTTTTAAAATATAAATGCTTTTGTTTATTTTAAATTATTTTATATTTTTAAAAAACTTAAGAGTCTTAATGAAATGAGAGAATAATATAGTTAAATAAATTTATATTTTTTTTAAGTTGAGGATGTTTAATAACTTTTTATTCTCATACGATATTATAAACAATAATCATGTTAAAATAGAAAAAGAAAAGAAAACTATTTGTGTCGTATTTGCCTCTAATTCTGCAGTTTCTTTTCTTAAAAAAAAGTTACAATTAATTTTATATTTTTATTTTTTTAAATGCTTGCATCTTTGATTGGTGAGTTTCAGAATTAGGATTTTTTTCATTAATTTTATTTCCTTTCTAATAATTATTCATGGCCCGTGCAATAACTTCGAGTTCAAGAGAGTTCTTTTCTCTTTTAAATGCAGATTGATGGTGTTTTAGATATTACAAGAAAAATCAATCATTTTTGCTTATATTAGTTTAACACAGCCATTAACGATGTTAACTTTTGTACGAGTATTTTTTATGATGTAAAATGCAATGAAAGTGTGGCTATACCTAAACAAAAAAGATAATCTTAAGTTCATTGCTATAAAGTGATAATAAGAAATAGCATTTTTTTTTAAAGAAAAACCTCTATAAATAAAAATATTATCTAGCATATATTCTAAATTTATGATACACAAACATCATTCTAGATTAATGTATAATTTTGCTTGTAGAAGGTTCTTCATTAATTTCTAAGTCATTCAGAAGCCAATTTGCGTGTTAGGAACGAAGGAATTTGAACTTAATTCTTCAAATTTGATGAAAAGACAAAGTATCAGATGGACTATTCTTAAAGTGCTTAAATTGTCTTAAATTTGTATGATTCCAAACTAATAACTAGTTAGTTCGTGAATTATATGTTCAAAATTTGATATATCTAGCTCAATATTCTTTCATTGTTTTAGTTATATTGGTAATAACTTTGCGTTTATAAGGAACTCTTGTATATAAGATTAAGCGAGCGAGTGGATCAATTCAATCATATTCATATCAAAATTAGATGCAATTTTGTAAGTGTCTCTCTAGTTTTTACATGATATCATAGCTCCTTCCATGCTAGGAGTTTTGCAACCCTAATTGCATGAATCTTTCCTCATTCTTTGGTTTTTTTTTTAAATACCAAATTTATATTTTATCCATAAATCACCCTAATGAGAACTTTGGTATTCTCATTTCAACTCCCTTTGGAAAAATTTCAAGTTTCAAGATTTCAAATCATGCTTACGAAACGAAGACTTTACCTACAATCAATAAAGGACGTTTCATTATAATCAAACGAAAAAGCCAATTAGGTGAGATTATAAAAAATTACTATACAGAACAAGAATCGAACAATGTAAAACTATTGAACTAGTTGAACTAGCTTCTCATTATCTAACACAACACTTAGGAATGCATGACATTTACATTCACAAATATTCTCTACTAGATTAGTAACGAATTAATGCGGTTAATATATACTTAGTTAATTAGTTGATACGTCTAAATTTTAATATAGTTGCGTAATTTTCTTTTATTATCACTACAAAAATTATCATTTACTAATGAGTTAATATTGAGTTAGCTTTTATCAATATAACAAAAATTAAACTATTAGCATATATTTTGAATTTTTACTAATAATATGATATATTATATTAAAAAATGATTTTATTAAGACAAAATATTAATATATACTATTAATACGTACGATTGAATTTCAATCAAAAGACATTTCTATTATTTTCCTCTCCTTTTGACGTGTTTCAATCTTTTTTCTTTCATTTTCATGAAGTTCTTATTTATAAAGTTAAATAATTATTTTAAAACTATTTGCAAAGTGTTAATATAAATTTATAGAAAAATATTACTATAATCCACTGTTTAGAGAGAATGAAATATATTATAACAAAAAAAGGTTTTTATAATAAAATAAAAAGTGTTAAACAACTTTGTGTGAGTCACGTGCTGTAAAAAGAAGAGATAAAATGTTTGTATATTACACAGAGATGACATTTTATTCAATGCAAAAGCTTTAAAAACTTAATTTCAGAATTTTCCTAATACAGAGATGCATGAATTTCTCGTTGATATAAATAGTGAAAATGAAAGGAACGTGGCGGGGCATATTCTTTTTGGGTGCTTTCCCCTCATTATTATGCTTTTAGTCAATATGCACTTTCCACGTAGGATTTTATAAGGGATGTTTAAAATATTTGATTGGATAATAAGTTAATAATCCGTATTAACAAATTTTATAATTTTTAATAAAAATAATTTATCATGTGTAATTTTACATAAGTTTGGAAAACTCACAATTTTTAACTATCAGTGAAACATTTTCCGTATACGATTGAATGCATTGATGAGTTCATGTATGCAAATATGAGTTGCATGTGGATCATAACATACATGGGTTACTGTAAATGACGTGGCGGGTACGTGTCCATCTCATCACAATGATTTTGTTTAAACACTTTGATTTGGAAAAGCAAGCAGCACCTTCCATCAAGCGATGGGTATGATGTGGACATGCAGTGCATGACTTGGTATTACGTTTTCTTACACGAAAGTTACATGTCGCCTGTACCCTAATCTCAGCCGTTCATTCCCAGAGTTGATATTGATCAAACCACAATGGACGGTTACCGTGGTGAGTGGTAACTCGCTTAACTTTGACATTTGTAGTTGCGCACTTCTCAGGGAGATCCATCAAGATAAGCCACAAAATTATCTTAACATATAAATTAAGTTTAATTAATATTATGGTCAATATATAAGTCATGGATTATCCCTTAAGGGAATAATTTTGACATAAATATTCTATTTAACATATACATATAACATAGATGGCTTACCATGAGGAAATGGTGGATGCCCCCATCATGAGTTTCCCCACCATGCATGCATGCAGATAAGGACACGGTGGCCCTCTCTGTGTATGTGCTTCTTATCTTATCTATTGCAGAATCACGTTTCACTTTTTCCTCTTTTTGTATGTATGTATGTACCCATCTCATATTTTAATAATCAAATCACAGATATATCACAAAAAAGGGAAATAAAATAGCTAAGTTGGATTGCCAAGTTTTATGTACATGATTTGGAGATCACATGATCTCAACTACCTAATAATTTGTTCTTCTTTACCACTTTTCACCCTTCATTTATCAATTAACTCATAATATATTTAGTAAAGAAAGTTTTACTGATTTTAGTGTCTTGCCTTGAAACCCAATACATGGGTCAAACTACAAAATTAGCTTCAATAAGTTTGAATAGAAAATATTTCTATTTTTTATAAATTTTGAATTTTATTTAATAAATAAGAGAATGGCTTCTATATATATATATGTGTGTGTAATTAAGTTCTTAATTTAGTAAAGTATTGCTTTTCAATTTTACTATGCCACGTTCATTTGACTTTGGTTCGTAAAAGACAAGATTTCCGACTATGTTCTTAACTTCTCCTTAATCACCACAAATCAGCTCCAACAGATGTGGTTCTCGAAGCTCTTAGAGATTAAATAATTAAGTTAATCTTTATAGTTTGAATAATTAAAATCACATTATTGAGATGAGTCCATTTGTTGTCACTTGTCAAACTACTCTTTCACCGTTACTGATATTTTTCCTTTGGTCGGAAAGTTTCGCTGTTAATTTGGCATAAATAAAAGACAAGTGTTTGGTAAGTCCATTACCATGGACACACACAAGCATGCTACGATGGTCAAGTTAATAATTGTTGGTGTGCTCTTAGATAATGTTAAATTTGCTTACTGCATTTCAAAAGTCGGTGTTTCCTTGTACATATCCCAAAATAATATGTTTAATAAAAAATAAATGTGTAAATAATTTAGATATCCCATTTGTATATGCTTTCTTACATGATGCACATGTATTTTATTTCCTACGATGGATTGTCCTATTAATTTGTCATCATCCACCGTATGATAATGACCTGTATACCACCTACGATTATTTATTCACTGTAACCCAAAATATTGTGGGACTATCGGATTGTGTTAATATTATTTAAAAAGAAAAATAATAGCCAATAATATTTAACAAAATAATTTTAAAAGCTAGAAATTCAAATAAGAAATAATTTTTTTAATTGATAAAAATATCATCAACCAAAGTTTTTAATGAGTGGAGAATATCTAAATCCATCAAATACATTTATGTCCATATTATACAGTGACAAGCGGGTCATAATCATCTAATTATTCCTCAAACTCAAGTTTCATTATATGGGGTCCTGGAGTCCAAAACAACCTATCATAGTAGTCAATATGATTAATGGTTTTTTTTTGTGTGGAAATTTTAAAATATATTAGTCAATTTTAGAAGATAAATTAAATAATATTAAAAGCAACCACCACAATTTATTCTTTCATCATTTTGGAGGTGGCATCAGCAGCGCCAAAAGTTTGTGTGTGGAAACTCCCAATATTATTTGTTCTTTGTATTGACATTCATTATAAACTTTATATAACAAATTGTTTACTTATTTTTAAAAAAACAATAGAAAATATAATTTTTTTGGTCGTGAATAAAAATGTTTTTCATAAAATAAAGGATGCAGAATAACCATGTCACTGTCACAACACAGAATTGAATGGTGGGTCACAGAGCACACTTCACCAATCTCTGAAAGGAAAAGTACAAAAGTTTTGGAGAGAGTCATGTTAATATTTTTGTGAGCGATGTTGGTTTGGTTGCAAGGTAGAGTAGAGGTTCCACTTGTCTATTGTAAAGCGATGCAGTTAATAGCATCAACTTGTTTCAAATCAATCATTCATGATGATAAGGAAGATTTTCGCAAACATCGTATGGTTACTCGATAAAGCACAAGCCTAGCTTGCCAAATGTGCATTATCTTTGACATCAATCTAATGAGTAAAGTAAATTTGAATAGCTTTGTACAGAGGGAAAGAATATACACTTACGAACGCTTTTATAGAAGATAAAATAATAACTTGTTTATTGAATTTGCACCTTCTTGATAGGAGGATGCTTCGTTAGTGCTGTAAAGTTTAAAAACTATTATGATTTGAGATTGGTTTTATTTAGGCTGAGAACTTTGCAATATAGTGGACATTAAGAGTATGTTTAATTTTTTAAAAATTAATTAATTATTTTTAAAATGAAATATAATACAAATTTATATTATATTTTATATATTTTTTAAAAATTAACACACCAATCAGCTTTCCTGTAAATATTTTAACAATTTTATAAAATTTAACTAATTTTTTAATCTCTCTAGCTATAGAAGAGAACATAAGAAACAAAATATTACTTATAATCTATATAAAAAAAAGTAATTTAACTCAAATATTTATAAAAATACCCCGAATCAATGAAAAACCAAAATAAATAAAAATATTTATTACATTTTATATCACTTTTGATCATAAATCATACTATATTTCACAAACATTTTTAATATTAAATAATTAATTTAATGTCTTTTATATTAAATAAATAAATATATACACTTAATAGATGACTGACAATGTTTAACATAAATCTACACAAATAATGGTATAAAAATATTGAATAATTAATATATTTAGAAGTCTTTGTTTCTTGTAAATATGATGTAAAATATGTATTAATAATTAATTTGTATAAATAAGATTAAAAGTAATATTTTTAATCAAAATTTATTAACTTTTAAATGTATATTTAAACATGTATAATATAAAATTAATAAATAATAATTTGTTATTTAAAATTATAATATTTAATGTTATTAATGTATTAGATTATATTTTCTTGCAAATTTTTTAATTAAAACTTACAAATTTTTGAACTTGTGTCTGAGGACAAATTTTAATAAATCAATAAACAATAAATTTTTAATAAAATTAATTATATATAAGTTTTTTATTTTATGCCAAAATGTGTACATAGCACATGTTTGAAAAAGAATAAAACTTCTTATACATAAAGTTTTATGGTGTGTTTTCATAGATTTATTTGATATATTAAAAGTTTATTTCTTTTTTTATTAGCAGATTTGTTAATTACTTCTTAATGTGTATCTATGAACACATAAGAAGATAATAAGCAGTAATTTTTTAAACTATAATATTTGATATTATTAACGTACTTGAAATATTTTATATTTTTAATTTAAAGAATTATTATATATAATTTTTTAAATAATATAATTTTAAAATCAAAATATTATGTATTAACTTTTATTATATATCTTTAGACAAAAAGTAAAAAATTAATAAATTTCAAACATGTTTTAATAACTTTGTACTCGTGAATGGATTTTAGCAATAATAAAAAATAAAATATATTTATTCTTATGCAGTTCAACAACATTTTATTGAGTAATTTAATCTTAAAATTAGTTACTAATTAAAAATTTCAATCGAAAGTATTATATTTATAAAACTTTAGACTAATATAAAATTATTTAATATATTATTTATATATTAAAATTAATATAATATATATTTTAAAAAATATAAAAATAAATACTCTTAAGTATATTTTATAATTTTTTAATTTAACAAAATTTGATAGAGATAATCAAGAAATATATAATTATAATTAAGTGATTTAATCGACTAACATTAATTATATATATATATATATATATATTTATTTATTTATTTATGGTCACGATATATTGTTTAAAGAATCGTGAAACAAAAAGAAAAATAAATAAATATTCCGCCCAGGGTTCAGTCGAGGTTTAGGGTTCTCTCCGTTCAGTAACACAAGCCACCCCAACGCCATTGTCACTGTCCGCATCTTCACGTCCTCATTGCTCCTTCAGGTAATACTTCTTCATTTCGTTTTGTTTCGTTTTCTGATTGAGTTTATGGTTTAATGGTTTCTCATACTAGTGCCTTTCTTTCAATTATTATTATTTTTAATTATTTTTTTGCGTAGCAAGTGATACGATTTTATAGGTAGACTCGTAAATTACATTGTGCCTATGGTTAGTGTGTCTGAATTACACTTCCAAACGACGTTAATTTATTTTTTGCCGCAAAAATTCTCAAACTCTTCAATATGATTTAGTGTAATGGATTCGGAACCTGAAGACGCAGAACCCAAACTGCAGCCACATCCCAAGAAGGAAAAGAGCAAGAAGAACAAGAAGAAAAATGATATTCTGCCTCAACCTGAACAGATCGAGGTCACGGTCGAGGTGGTCCACGAGCACCCGAATAAAACGCCTCCAGTTATTGGTTATTTCCCTTCGGGATTTGATCCGCTGAAGAATTACGGTGATGGTTCCGGTCCTGCCAGTTTTCAACTTTACCGGCACAGGAACATGCCCAAAAGGCTGCAGCTTGTGGTTCGCCCTGAAGGGTCTCCAGGGGAATTCGTTGGAACGAGTTACTCCGGTGAGGCTGCGGCCGGACACCGAGCCATGTATGCACTTGGCGTTCTTGACAAGGAAGCTGGGAGCCTGAAGATTGTGCCCATTGCCGGTAATAAGGTAAATTATGAAGAGTGGAAAAATATTTATCTTGCTGTTGAGCTTGTCATGAGTATATTGTGGTAATGAGTGGGTGTTGTTCAGATATTCAGAATGGAGCCAAAGGTTAAGGGCTTGGAAGCAGCTGATCCGGAGCCAGCAACTTCGACGATGGAAGAGTTGACTCCGCATCAGAAGTTAGCACAGACTACTGCTATCTGGGGAACAAAGAAGGAAATAGAGAAGGTATTATCTGACTCGTATTTAACCCTTTTGCTACCACAACTACTCAATCCTGACTTTGTTAAACTAGGAAAAATCCAGCTTAAATAGCTAATAAGATATAAATTATTATTAGGACTTATTTATTTTAAAACTCTTAATAAATCTTTTATGCTAGTTATCTGCAGAACTTCTTTTGTTAATTTTCACACAGTAAGCTCCTTCAAACCAAGGAGCTGTTTTGTAATCCTCCATAAATAAATATATTCAATTCCTTGGGTAAAGTGATGGAGCTGACTTACTATTCGACTTCCTTCTGCTACTGCATTTCGACATAACAGTCTGAGATGTGAACATGACACTGAGGTAAGACAAAATGAAAATCTTTTTTAAGAATCATAGGAAAAGGAAAAAAGTAAATATAATGACCGGTATAAAGCTTCAAGTTCCTTTTCAGTGAAGTTAGAAGAATGATTAGTATAGTCCATCTCGTGGAGCACCTGGTTCAGTGAAATTACTAGGCCATTCTTTGATACTCATCCTATAAGCTTTTAAGCAGTTTATTCCACTATATTGTTTGCATAATTTAATTCATAAATGGACCTAACAACATAAATTATGAGGAAAAGTAATACCTTATTGATTTTAATAGATGACTTTCACAGTATACATTCAGAATATGTCATGCTGTTGAGCTAGTTCTGTTTTAGTTGCAATTTAATTTCATAGTAACCCCCTAAAATTCCGGGCAGTTTGATCATAAAAAGAGTGGCATCCCAACTCTTACAAGCCACTGGTAATCAGGTCAAATTGGACTGTATAACTCATGTTCTGTTTTCTTGAATACTAGCTATCTGAATCCAAACTGTTTTTAAATAAAACTGGTACCAGACCAGATAAGTACAAGCTATGAATATCAAGTCAAGATTATACCATCATTTTACTTTTTAATGAGATCAAGATATGCAAGAAAAGAAATTAGGCCAAGAATCCTAGACATACAGAATGTATTTGGCTCAAAATTATCACTATACTGTGGCGTAAGTGTAGATAGTGGAAGAAAACCTCCAAAACTAAACATTAATGATTTATGCTAAAAGAATAATTAGAGATGAAAATACAGGTATCATGATGATATAAGACTTAAGAAAAACAAAAACTTTTTTAGAACATGACAGCCAAGTTTTCAGGTTTAAGGACATGAACAGAAATTGAAAATCTTGGGTCTATATTTCCTAGTTCCTAACCAGTGGTTGATATTGAGCATTGATGAACCTCTGTTATTCACAATTTCACTCCATATACATTTTTTAATTTCTCTGGTGAATGTTTGAGTTGTGTGTGTTTAGCAAGACCTTGCATGACCTTTACTCAAGAGTTCCTTCCTTGAGTTAGGTTAAGTCTTGATGTCATCCTTTTACCTGTAATCCTATTGGGCAGCTGTGTGTGTGGAGCTTGCAGCGTGCTGATATTCTGAAGTCGCAAATAATTTGACACAAATAAAAAGTGCTCAAGTGACATCTAATCTAATATGAGATAGAAGGATTATATAGTTATGGCTGTATTTATAGGCAAGGATATTATTGATAATAATTTAAGTGACTGTGTCTTCCATTAGTTATCATTCAACTATGTTCAATTATTTTTATTGAAATTGTTTTAAACTAATCTTTGAATCTATTTTTCTGCAGGCTAAGAAGAAGCTAGCTCTCAGACAAGATGATAACCCTGATTCTCAGAAGAATCTAGATGTGAAAATGAAAAATGTTGTTGTAAACAAAAAGGCTCTTGAAAGTACAGAAGCTCATGTTTCTCGAAATATACCACCATATGATGCTTCTGCAACTACACCTCAGGAGGCATATCTATTGGACCAAATCATCCTTACGGGAGAATGGGATTACCTTGTAGACATTTATAATATTTTGCAAAAGGGAGAAGAAGCAGACTTCAGTGCTTACCCAACTTTTGTTTGCAACAGGATAGGGAGAGTAAGGAAAATTAAGGTATTGGTACAAATTTAGCCTTTTTGATAAAAATAATAGCATCAAAGTTCTTAATTATTGGAAAGATAAGAAATTTTTAGACTTTTGCTTTATCAATAATTAAATAATTTATTATATTAACATTATGGAATCCCTATCTAGGGACACTAAAGAAATTTTTTATGAACTCACATGTTGGAGGTGTATGATTACCCCGATGTTCTAGTGGTACATAGGGGAACTGAACTTTTGAATACTAATTTCTGTAATAAATCTATTTTTTGAGTAGTATGCAAGTTTTAATCTACAGTCTGTTTACAGGATGAGTCAGAAAAGAAGAAGCTTTCGTGCATATTGTCATACATCAATCATCTTATAAAGTTCAAAGATCAGCATTCCATTGATTTTTCCTCCGCAAAGGGCCATAAAATCCCCAACATCCTGCGTCATAAGTTTACGACAATGTTTGCTGTTTCTGAATCAAAAAGGCTACCCCCTGAAAAGATAAATCTCCTAATTTGTTATATCTTGGTTCTTACACTATTCTCTGATGACTTCCGAACATCCTACACCGATATAGCAAAAGATCTGAGCATGAGTGTTGTGCCTGTGAGACAACTCTACGAGCATTTGGGTTGCAAAATTTCACGCCAGAAAGACGTGTGGTATGCCACGCTTCCTGTCCCTCTAAAATTTCCTGATTTGAGGCAAAGAAAGCGAAAAAGGTAGACAGATGGCTTTTCTGAGTCTTTTCGTTTGTCATTGACTGTGGCAAATCAAATTGTCTGCCAGTGTCTTTGGTGCAGTGATGTCAAAAATTGTTATTCAACACCTCTACTGGCGGTATGTTTATTATTATTTTCTAGCTGCATACATTTGAACTATGCTTTCTGTTTTAGTAATTTGGGAAATGATTCTGAAATTAGCTTACTCAAATTATTTGAATATGAGATTACTAGCTGTTTACTAGTGTTAAACAAGCTCGGTTTGGAAGACGCTGGTGTAAGAGAGGTGTAAATTTCTGACTTTTTTTACAATATAACAAACAAAAGGCTGGATGTATCCTTAATGCAGAACGGAACATCAGAAACTTGTCTTATTCTATTTGGAAACAGTGAAGTCGCAAAGATACTATAACATCAACATCTTTATGGAAACAACAAACTAAACCTGAATTCGTGCTTCCCACAATCTCTCAGATCATGGTAATAAAATAGTGTATCTTCCTTTTTTGTCCCTTTGCATCAGTGTTCCCCATAAACAACTCACTCTACCTCAGATTCCCAAAGTATTTACAAAGATTCGACTTTGGTGAATTTAGGTGCCAATGTTAATTTTAGCAGATAATGGTATTGACAATAGTTTCTTGAAGCGGAAAACCCCAGCCACTTGTAGCGATAATGGATGTCCAATGCCGAAGTTTCCTCTACTCTTGATCCTGGACATGGAAGAAATACTGTTCTTGGTCACATAAGGATCTTTTCCTGGGAAATTAGAAAGCATAACATTCCATTTAGCTGAATACTATCATTTCCTTGATCTTGGAAGCTTTATTGTGTTCAAGTTTGATTTTATAGCAAAATACATTTGGAATTTCAGTTCTTTGTAGGGACAGCGAATAAAACACTCCGATTTGATCACGAATCCTGACACCCTGATTGGGCTTTCATTTGGGTTTAAAACTGAAGACCATGCATCTTAAACTAAATCTTCCTGTGGATTGTACCACTTTCATAGATATGGTATGAATAGTATGATAGAGAGCATGCTACTCTCTTTAAGGAGTTTATTTTCTCTTTTTTAGTTTTCGGTCCTGAACAATTTCAAGTTCTGAAGTATCCAAAATTTCCTTACAAGGCCAACTAAGTTACCTTTTACTATATTAGTGGCCGAAGAGATATGATCAATGATCATGCGCTTAACTGAGACACATTTATTTCAATAAGTCTTACGGTTACAAGTTAAATAACTCAAATTTCAAAGTATTTATTATATTAAAAATATAAAATTTACTAAATATTTAATAAATTATATATCAAATAATGTCTTAAGGTACTCATTTGCATAGTCCTTTTGCAATACGTGATTTTACTATCTGGTTACGAAGCTTCTAGGATGAGCATTGCTCTATTTAGGGAAACATTTCAAAAATGAGTTTGTATACAGTTTATACAGTCTCATTATGAGATTGTCGAATCAAATTTTGAGTAATATTAATTTGGTGATATAGGAGAACGGATTTGTTGTCAAATTAAATTTGAGAATTTTTAATAAAAAATATTTATAAAAAAAAGATTTGAAGAAATACTAATTTGGTGACGTAAGAGAACGAATTTGTCGACAAAATATTTTTTTATAACTTTTTTTTATTGAAAAAGTGAAGTGATTATATTTTAGACATTTGAAGGAGTATTTGAAATTAGGGATTAAATTGCACCATCTAAATTTTGAAATAATTTCAAATAAAATTACTAGAAGAAAGTGCGTTAAAACTAGACAAGCATTTTCGTTTTTTATTTTTTTAAGCATTTATCATTTTTCACTCTCAGTTAACAGGAAAGCTGGTTTGTCAAAATATATAACAACCTTTTGCATCTCAAATTTCATGTTTCATAGTAACAGCATAGAGTTTGGTAAGTTCTTTGTTATTTGTTAATTTGGATATTTGGGGTGGATTATTTATCCGTACTTTCAAAGCACATGTCGAAAGATAAAACTTAAATATATAATTTTTAAAATATTGGTACTGTTATTTTTAATTAAAATTTTATTTCAATAAAAAAGATTATCATAAATTATTGAAATAAAATTATAATTTTAATTAAAGGTTTTTATAAACTACTGTCTTAAAAGTATTATTAACTAATAAATAATACATTTTTATAAAAAAAAAGGTTGAGTATCTTTTTACATTTATAAATATTTTTTAATTTTTATATTAGCATTTCCTTAAATAAAAAAAAGCTTATATTAGTAACAGGTAGTAGGTGAATCGCACCGTCAGGTCTGAAGAATTCAGCAAATTTAATGGGTGATTCAATTATTGACCAAAACCAGCTGTGTGATTATGTACCCTTTACATTTGACAATCACCATTTATAACCGATGAACGAGTGCATGTCATATTCATCAAGGATGCTGCGTCCTATTACACATATCAATCAATCAGTGATGGCATAGTGCAGTTTCCTATCTTGCATTTACATTTATAGGACAATAATAAAATTTTCGACCTTAATGTTGCAAGTATTTTTTGTTTGTTTGATTAATTGTGACGTATAGAGAAAGTAAAAGGGACTTATTTGAATTATAACCCTATGAAAATTGCATTCCCACATAACACGTGGGGTTATAAACATGAAAACAATGGTGGTGGGTCTGGCCTACATGTGTAGAGAAAAACATCTATCAAAGACCTAATTTCAATCTCCCAAAATAAATAAGTGGGGAAAACAAAACAAGAAACTTCTGTTTGTTTGATTCCACAATCATAGCAAACTCTATCTCTTTTCTCACCCTTGGGTATATGGGACCATCCAAGTTCCTTATATTATTGCATTTATGATAGTGATTTACATGAAAATTACTTTGCAGTAAGTTTTCTTTTTCTTATCCTAAAGGGCATTCTCATTCTCATGCCATCATTCATTCAAACTGTACAAGTTTTGTGTTACTACATTCCTTTTCATGTAATTAATTGAAATTAAAGTTATATTTAAGTTAGCCTTTTAAAATCGCATTTCATGTTATCACTGAATTATTTTTTTTATAGATTTTAAATGATCCTATACTCATTTTACAAGAAACAAAAACAAATACAAAAGAATATTTTTAAGGTCTATTTAACAACAAATTAAATATTAAAGAAATAATTTAATAAAAAGTAAAAGATTAATATATATATATATATAGTTATGTTTTAAATTATTTTAAAAATAGAGTAAAAAAATCAAAATAATTTTAATGATGATTCTCACTTTAAAAACCAACTTAAAAATGTACTCCATTTGTGATTTATGAAAATAATTTTTTTAGATGTTCACATACACATATTTAGTGTGAATAATCCATACCACATCCTTGTTTGATTCTGTTTTTTATATTCATGTTTTCAGAAATTATTTTTAATTAATTTTAGAAAATTACTTTTGATAAGAAAATAAAAAAATGTTTGGCGATTCTAATTTTGAAAATTGTTTGAGACAAGAAAGTAAAAGAAAAAACTTATTTGGTAAATTTATCTTCAAAATATATTTGATAACAAAGCAAGAGAAAGTTATTTTATTTTATTGGTTTTTTCTATTTTTATAAATAAAATGAAATACGTTAAACATATCTTTATCTTAAATTATTTTTTATCCATTGTAAAAATATAAGTTTTTTTTTATCAAAAAACTTCTAAAATATAATATTTTTAGAGCAGAAGAGATATTATTTTATACTTCTAATAGTTTATTTAGTATATATATGTATATAATATTAACTGAAAGAGACATGTTAATAGTAGTAGTTTAGGAATCACTTTTAAAACGATAATTAATTGGAAAATGATGATGCAATAACTCATGATTCATGAGTCTCGACCTTTGATTCTCAAACCAACGATTAAGATGAATTGAAATATTTTTATTAGATTTGACATTCATTCATTTTCTATCCCTTTGACTGTCTAGTTGTTGAGTTTGAGATTATCTCAAACTCTCTTCATGTCGATAAATTTTAATAAAAAAATTACATTTTTAAGTAATATTAATGTTTTGCTTGAGATAGTTTAAAAAATATAATTTGAATAAAAAGATCAATGAAAAATAAAAATATTTAAAAGAATGTAGAATAACTTAAGACATTTTATTGTTAGGATTATTTTTATTACTATTATTATCAATTTCATTGTTACCCTTGATTAACTGTTACTGTTATTATTATTATTATTATTATTATTATTATTATTATTATAGTTGTTGTTATTATTACTATTATTTTTATTTTTTAAAGTCTTAAATTAAATAAGAGTTAAAGGTATGAATATTTTGGGCTTTAAGCACTGTTTATGAGAAGAAGAAAAAAAGGTATGAATATTTTATAATTAGTTGTCTTCTTCAACTTATTGAAATATCTATTAAAAATAAAATTATCAGAAGTAAGAGTGTTAAATTAAATAATATATTGATGTGTTGAGGCCAACCATGCTTTTGAAACTTGAACGAAACAATACTTTGAAATTCATATTTAAACTTTAATATTGAACTTTAAAAACTAAAAAGAAAAAAACTATAATTCTAATAATGGTTTTAATTTTTAATAAATTTTTAAAAATTTAAAACTATTAACTAGTCGACGTAGACATTTAGCAATTTTGCTATTCCTTTTTCAAGAAGCACGTACATCTAAAAGGTTGAAACAGTTATTTAATTTTTTTAAGTTTAATTATATTTTTTGTTTCTCTAATTTTACTTATATACAATTTATTATCTGAGTTTATTTGAGTTAATTGTTTTTTTTAAGATTATAAAAATTTATCATCGTTACTTTTTTATTTACTAAAACTCCTAAATTATAAATTTTCACTCAAAATATAAATTTTTACTCAAAATTAAAATTTTATTTTTTATTTTTTACTTTTAAACCTTAATCTCACATTGTGTAAAATACTTTAAATTTTATCAATTATTCATTACTTTTTTACTTTTAAACTTTTAAAATTATTATTACATGAAAATCAATGATCTAATTAATATATTATTATTGATATAATAAATTATTTATGGTTGTTACTTTAGTTGGAGAGTGATTCATAAAATTTAGTCATCTTGATAAACTTTAATTTTATTTAAAGTTATTCTATGATATTGAGATTTAATAAGATACTTGTTATTTTATTGATACACATAATCTCTTTTTAACATTATTAAAATTATACATTG